GTGAGGTTTTAATCCGCGTGAAGGCTGCTTTCATGAAACGCTGGGAATGTCGGGATCTTGGTGATACCAAAGAATTCCTGCGCATGCGACTTACCAGGCCGAACTTGTCCACAATTCGTCTGGATCAGTCGGACTACCTGCGGAAAGTCCTTGTGCGCTTTGGTTACCACAACGCGCGCTCAGCGCCTACGCCACTCCCTACAGGGTACACGGCAATACCAAATCCAGACCCGGTAAACCCAGAGCGCCGACAGGAATATCAAGAACTGATCGGGTCCCTCATCTATTTGATGATCGGGACGAGGCCTGATATAGCCTTCGCAGTCACACATTTGTCACGGCATGCCGCCAACCCTTCAGAGGACCACCTGAACAGAGCAAAGTACATACTGCGCTACTTAGTAGGGACACAAGATTACTACATCGAGTACAACGGGACTCTGCGGAAAGGCTTTGTCGCCTTTGCCGACGCCGATTGGGCTGGTGATTCCACCGCCAAGTCGAGGACCGGCCATGTCTTCATGATGGCAAACGGACCAATATCGTGGTCCTCATATCTTCAGAAATCCGTGGCTCTGTCTACGGTTGAAGCCGAGTACATGTCCATCTCGGACTGTTCTCGCCAGGCCAAATGGTTCGCCCAAATGATGGGTGAACTTGAGTGTCTGCAGGTCGGTGCTATTCCGATCGTGGGCGATAACCAGGGAGCCCTGCATAACATTGCGAACCCTGTCACTGAGAAGCGGAGTAAACACATCAACATCCGTTATCACTACGTCCGGGAACTATACGAGGATGGTGTCATAGACCTCTTTTGGATCCCGGGCACCGAAAATCCAGCGGACTTGTTCACCAAAAACTTGCCGTTGGTAAAGTTTGTCAAGTACTGTCGTGAGATCTCGATCTTCTTCACGTCGCCGCTTCCCAAGAAGTAGAGCGAATACAATTCGAGGGGGAGTGTCAGAATTACGTCTAGTATTTGACCCTTTGTGGCTTTATTGGTTCATCCAGAAGCCCTCGCACTACGCGGTATTCCTTCTCCATAAGGTCTACAAGTAAATACCGCTGCACACGTCTACACGGCGCTAGGTATCCTATGGGTAGTATTAGCGCCTCCATTGCATCCGTGTGACTCCGCGTTCATCGCATGAGTCACGTCATGTAGCTTACGTAGCCGTCCTACATTACCGTGGGACTCGGACTATATAGCTTTACGCATATGGTAGTGACTTCACACGCTCCTGTCATATATATACAGTCGCTACCATGAATATCATCTAAGTCTTCTCTTTCCACCGAACGACTACCATCGTCAGCCTACCAGCTACCAAGCTACTAACTCAACCTTCAACACTAACTGCCCGGTGAGTTCGCGCTCTTATAGACTTCTCAGCTATACTCGCGATCATCCTTTGTCATTTGGGCGTAGGCATCAGCCCCAGTGAAAAGTCGATCTATTCGTTTCTGTTGAATTCTATCTCTCAATAGAACTTTTTCCAGCCAATAGAAACGAATCGAAATGAATCTTAACAAAATATTTTGATTTTCTAAAAACATTTCTATTCATTTCTATCTAAACCTATTTGTATCTATACGAAACGAAACAAATAGAAACAGAAAGAAATGAATCACGCCCAACATACCCAGCACAAACCAGAAAAGCGCGCCTCGAGTGTCGCCTGAGAGGATAGAAACGAATAGAAATCGATAGCAGTCGAGAAGTCACCGAGCAGAGCAAACACGTGCCAAGAAAATTTTGAGAACAGAGCAAGCGCACGGAGAGAGTTGTAGCAGGGGACCGAGAGCGCTTAGTCCAAGGTAGAAGATGAGGAGGATGTGGCGGCCTTTTCGGTGGGTTTGGGAGCAGCGTGCTTGGCAGATTGCTTAGCAGCCTTCTTCGTGGCCTTCTCCTCGTCCTTGAGTTTTGTGAACCCGACAATGAACGGCTTGGGGGTAGCCATCGGTAAAGAGGCAATGAGAATAGAATAGATGGGCGTACCGCCTTTTCCTCATCCGACATCTTGCTCCACCTGCCCTCACACTCGTCCTTCGCCCCCTTGACTGTCACTACGAAGTGGTTGACTGCATAGTAGAGCCTGGAAGGTGTAATGAAGCCAAAAGGAACGGTAGGATAGTACATATTACTCACATTGCGTTCGTGATCTTCTTTGGCATGGCCATCATTTTTGCGGGGCGACCTCGTTTGCGTGGAGCTGACGGTGCAGTGGTTGACTTGCGCTTTGCAGGGGTACAAACAGCGGCTGAGTCGCTGTTGTTGTCGGTGTGGGCCTCGCCACCGTTTTCTGTGTGATTATAGGCAGGGAGAGTGGTGCTGGTCGGGAGGGCATCGGACGGCTCAACCGCAAAGTCCATACTAGATCTGCCAGAGGACGTGAGTGACACCAAGAAGTGAAACAAATACTTACAGGGGGTCTGTCAGTGCATCAACCAGCCCACAGTACTGGTCGGCGGTGAGCTCGCCGCTCCTGTCATGGAGATTAATGGTGACCTGAGAGTGTGTGAGGGTGGGGCAATGATAAAAGCAAGGAGCGTACATCACCAGCAGCCATCTCAGTAGTGTTCGGCTCCGCAGCCAATGCACCGGTGTCAGTGTCCATAGGGCCCTGAGATGATGTCAGTAACGTGCACATGGAGAGCAGATCAATGGAAACATAAGAGAACCTGGGCATCCAGCACACTGGGAGAAGGGTCACCGGTGAGAGGCAGAGGGTCACCATGAGAGTCTGCCGGAGCCTGGGGAGCTGCAGTTGAAGGAGCCGCCTGAATCTCGGGAGCCGGCTGGGCAACAGCAGTGCCGGCAGCAACATTGCGTCGACGTCGTATAACCGCCTGCTTTCTCCAGTTGGTATAGGTCCTCGAGCCAATCTTGTCGCATTTCCAATGGGCAGAGCAGAAGCGAAGGACAGGGTACTGCTTCTCAAAGAGGTACCAGAAGAAGATGCACTCTTGTAGTGGCACGTCGCTCCATCTCGCGTGGAGCTCGCCAAGACCGTTGTTGTCAATGATTGAATCGAGAAGCCGTCGACCATACTTGAGAAGCTCCCGGAGCACGTACCCGTTGATCGCATTGCCATGCTGGTCCTCGATGAATTTGTAATTGTTGTTGTGGCCATTGTTCATGCGTGTCAAGGCCCTGTTGCTGGTGTTGGCAGTCTGGTTCGCATCCTGGGTCTGGTTTGTGCGAGCGGCCTTTGTGGAAGTTCCCCATCCGGTGGATCGCCAAGAGCCCACAAGAGATGGGTAGTCACCGAGATCAAGTGGTATGGAGGGATCGGAAGCCCACGCTAGCCCTGAAAGTGGATCGATCCCAGATGAAGGTGCTGCCTGTAGTGCCCACGCGAGATGGGGTGGCAACGGGGCATCGGATCCTGGAACAATGCTGCATATAGTTAGTACAAGTCCACCAAAAGGGGAATAGGAGACGTACATGCCTGCCTGTTGTGCTGCAACGTGGGGCGCCGGTGCCTGTGGGGTATATACACTTCCATCATCCCGGGAAAGTAGCAAGATGAATGTACCTGGGCGGTACTATTGTTGACGTTGTTCTCGCTCATGTTGGTGAGGGTGCTTTGGATGAATAGAGGTATGCAGAAGTGACTGGCTTTTTGTGTCAACGAGAGCAAGGTGGATCTCTCGCTGACTGCAGGATCTTAACAAAGATTATCACGACATGAAATAAGGTTCACACTCCGACAGGTGGCTAATCTACACCGCATCTGCTAACACCCTAACACCACCAAAAATGACAAGTCCGACACGCCGCATACATACATCAATGACATCCCCAGGCCCCGACGTCAATGTCACAAGCGATGTGCTAAGGGATCCGCAGCAACCTCATGTTGAGTCCCACGTTGTGTCCAACAACTCGCCCGACCACACCAAGTCATCTCATATCACCGATGACTTGCTGATTACAAATGCTACGGTGCCTACGGTACGTGAGTCCAACTATAGAGTGTTTGTAGCTAACCACAATTGCCATGTACAGGGCCCCGATGACCATAAGGAAGATGATGAGGAGTCATCGTTTTTCTGCTCGGATGAAGAACCGGAGCCACGGGCTCCACGCCGAAAGCGTCGACAAGGCCCAGGCTTTCCTCCATACATAGTCAAGCATCGTCGCGCTTATTGGGGCTGCCCCCATTGGCAGATCTCAGAAGAAGAGTGCCAAGAGCACGAGCGTGAGGAACAGAACGAGGACGAGGATGAGGATGAGGAGGAGGAGGAGGAGAAAATGAGGAAAAAGGCGGATGAGGAGTGGGCGCGCTTTATGGGCGACCGTGCACAGCGTCAGCGCTCCCGGGCCGCTCAGAAGTAGTGTTTGCGTGTACACGCCCCAGGAGCGCTTTCTTGACACAGATCCCGTGTTATGTACTACTATACCGTGCTCACCCGTGTTATGTACTATACCATGCTCAGATTGTAGTGATGTTTCTTGCTCATTCCCTTGTGACAACAGCGACGAACTTCTCGGTACTGGGACCAATGTCTCCAAGATGCCCGTGCAGCTCTCAATGATGCATGCTCTGCTAGCGAGCTCCCACCAATGCTCCCTGGATAATGAGCGTACGTTGCATTGCACCTCTAAGTTATATACATACAACTTCAAACTACTGTACATTCGCAGACATCTGCTCCTCTAAACCGCCAAACACGGCTACAGCCAGCCCTGGCTTTTCGATTGCAAAGTACAGCAGACGGTTAGTGGGGAACTTGTGAGGGAGCATGGCAATAACAGTTTTAATACAGCTCACATCAATGACGCGAACGTCATTGGGTCCAAGATACTCACATGCATGGACAGTCTCCCATGATCGTCGCCGAAGGTCTGGGTCAGGGGAGCCATACATGTATACCATTGCAAAGGTTTTCGGCTGGTTGTTCACACTGAGCCGGAAGTAATATTGCACCTCCGCGTAGGAGGGCTCTGCTTCGTTGGGAAGCTGTATCTAGAATAGGATTAGACGCAGAAACAAGAGTGAAAAAAATCACACCATGACATTGCGTGCACGTCGAAGATTCCCTGACATCCTATTCTCCTTCCAGGCTGAGCGAGCGATTTGGTCATTTGGCAGTCGAAGACGAGCCCAACGCTGGAGCTGTGGGTTGACAGTGAGTGTGACACTGTGCTCGGCGAGAGCAGTGGTGAGGGCGTCAACTTCGGGGCCTGTGATGGGTCGCTTGATGTTGTCACGCCGACCAAGGAGAATGTAGCCTTCTGCAAGCGGAATGGCAGTAGCAGCGAGGGGAGCTGGGGGGGTCACCGAGTTGGACTGGGAACATGGCTGCAAGGCAGTTTGCCTGTGCCCGTCGTTTGGCTCGGTTGGCTAGGTTGGCATAGGGGAACGTGTCAGACCGGAGCTCGCGGCCGAGATCGCTGATTGTGCGCTCCATGGTCCACTGCGATGAGCTGACGGGTGGACCCTTTTGGATGGTCTCGCGAGGCATGTGGAGGAGGGCGTGGAACCAGGAGCGGACCATGTGAAGCCGATAAGGATTTTGCTGCACGTAGAGGGTCTCAAAGTCATAGGCGAAGGAATTGAGACGTTGGCCGGCCTCTTGAACCTGCTCGAGGGAGATTGAGTGTTGCTGCAGGAGCCGGACACCGCGTACGAGCTGGCAGAAGTTTGCCCAGTACTCGTCTCGAAGAACACCTGATAGTAAGATTAGTGAAACATTAGTTAAAATTGGAACACGAGATGTACCAAAGAGTAGGGCAGGTGCCATACCATACAAGTACAGCAACCATTCCCATGCCTTATATCCGCTATTGATTTTGAGGGCGGGATTGCGTGGGGGGCGATCAAATGAGCCAGGAAGGTGGGTAGCGAGATCCTGTACGAGCTGGCCATGTGCGTTCCAGACCCTTGTTGACTTTAGCTGAGTCCAGGCCCAGGGTTCATGATCGTGTTCATCATGATAGAACTTGCCACGCCAAAGCGGAATGAGCTCATCGCCAACGTTGATGGCAGTGACATGCATGATGTCAGAGCCGAATGCATGGGGGACAGGGAACGTATGTGATGTTGAGATGCCGAGAAAGATTGTGGGGCGTGAGATGCCCGTTTGCTTGCGTGCATTGCGGTAGCCTGAGAGCGTTGGGGCATTGACAACACGAGCGAGGTTGCTCATGTAGTCGTCTGCACCAGCATGCGGGAGATCGTGAGGCTGACAAGTCGCATGATCACAGCCATTTTGATTGTAGTTGAACGGTAGCTGGAGTGCGGGATAGTAGTGGGGTTTACGAGGGATATGCCGGCCTGGAAAACCACAGTAGAGACGACAGCCAAGTCGGCCATGGTAGCCGACAAGGGCTGTCATGAGAGCCATACCAGGGCCGTCAGCCGTCTCGACAAAGAGGAAGGGGTGGTCATCCCTGATGGTCTGTAAGCCGCCGTCGAATACCTTGAGGCCCTCGTGCTGGATGGCCGAGAGATGGTAGAGGCCCGGAAAGAGAAAGGAGTCTAGATCCTTGGGTTTGTTCGGGCCTGGGATGACAGCACCGGGAAGGACGAACCTTTTCTTGTAGCGTTGGTTTGGGGCAAGATCCATGAGAACCCAGATGTAGATCCAGCAGTCTGACTGCTTGGATTCGTACAGCTGGGCCCCATCGATGGAGAACATCAACACCGAGTCCTCGGGTTTGATCTTCTTGTCGACAACAGCCTGAAGGTAGCGCTTGCCCTTGATGTAGTCGTCAAAGGTGTTGAGCGCGTCCCGGTCGGGTTGACGTGCGAGCCCCGCCGTCACCTGAGCACGGTACCGTAGCTTGTCAGCACTGGTAGGATGCCTCCAAAGCGCCTAAATCTGTGGGCCGACGGGCAGCGTCACAAACTTGCGCTGCGGGACCTTCTTGCGTGTCGTGGATTTTTGTGAGTTGTATCGGGGAGTATCGCATTTTGGACAGCTGATAAGACGCGTGAGTGGTGTCAGGGAAATGTCAGATGAGCGAAGTTGACGCACCAGGTCAAGTCCCTGTGCGGACCTGTGTATGCGAGGCAGGTGTTTACGCACATGTCATCCTCGATGCCTTCAATGCCAGTGAGTCTCTCAAGTTCCTTGTCGACGCGATATTTGCTGTACATCTGCATGCCTGGCAGCTCGCGTTCCAGTATACGGCAGACGGCACGATAGTCGCTGTCGGTCCAGTTACGAAGACCAAGCTCGAGAGAAAGGTGTTTGTCGCGGTCTTCATCAAGGTTGATGAGTGTGCGGGGAGGGTTTTGAAGGCGCTGGCGTGCTGCTGTTGACATTTTGTGGTGGGTGGTGTTGTCTATGCGAGCCTCTTGGAGCAGGTTGACAAAGTCCTGGGATGAACGTACATCGTCAACAACTGTGTTCTCAACTGCAGCCTCCTCGTCCTCTTCATTAAAGCCCTGGGTAACGTGTGGGCCAAGCGGTGTTCTTGAGACGTTGGCGGGGTTGGTGGTACCAAGGGCGACTGAGCGCTGGCTATCCTGAGAGCCTGGCAGCTCGTCTGCCTGCTGCTGCTGCTGCGTCTCATCCTCTCGTTCATCGTCATCCAGCCCGCCTCCTTCAACATCTCCCTCGTCCTCGAACTCCTCCTGTGCCACCAGCTCCCATTCCTGCTCGTCCTCTTCTTCCTGCTCATGCTCGCGTAGCTCCTCGAAGATGAAGACGTTCTGTATAAAGACGTGAGCTGAGTATTTTTATATGATAATACAGAGGACATACCTGCTGCTCACAAGGACTCTGGCTCTCTCTTGGAGTTTGTTGGCGTGTTCCCAGCGGGTCCTCATGCTCCTCGGAAGACGCCTGCTCGCCCTAGTAATGGTAGAGAAGTAAGCCCATGTCAAAGTGAGATTAAATGAATGCACGCACCTGAAGAACATCGAGCTGCTCTCCAACGTCATGAGCTGCTGGTGTTGTGTGCCTTGACGCTGGCATTGCATGCCTTGAGGTCTGGGGAGAACTTGCGAGCAGCTCAGGTGGCCGTGACTGCCGACTAGGAGGTGCCTGTACAGATGCAGAGCTTGTCGCAGGCTGAGGCTGCCTGTACTGGCTCTGCTGCCACTGAGACCGCGAAGCGTTCATTGCAGAGAGCGCATGGAGAGCATCTGCAGGGATGGTACCAGGTGATGGATGTCGACCAGGTCGCCGCTGGCCTGGGTTATGTTCATCCCAGCTCTTGAAGGTGATGATCCTACCTTCTCCGCCTGATCGACGCAGGCAGTGTTCACAGACACACCACGCGTGGCCCGCAGGCGGTGCACAGTGCTGCATAGCAGAGGAGGGGATGCAAGCCAACTGGTATTGGTGGTGGTAGTCGAAGCGAAGGTGTATATAGGGGACTTGGATAAATGTAGATGCATGCTCGGACTAGCTTCGGACCGAGTCTTAGCTGTACGCAAGGGGAAACCAAGGGGAAACTGGATGTTGGGCTCCAAACAAGTGTTCCGATGGGACACTAATTACGGATAGGGACCATATTTTATTTTGACGAGAGCGTATTTACTTCATCCCCGTTAATTAAAGGATGGCCTCACCGAATTCAGCCCGAGGTTTCTACATTTACTGTTCATGGATTTGAAAAATGTCGTGCTCAAGGCTGATTTGCGCTATCTCGGTATCCTAAATGGTCATCAAATAGAAACTAATAGGTATCAATAGAAGTGAATAGAGACCAACAGAAACGAATAGATCAACTTTTCACTGGGCATCAGCATCCAACCAAATTGATCGAAGTATGAGTGAATGTCAGATCGCACTGGTAAAATCGGATTAATATATTGGAGCCAATATTTATTCGTGGTTGTTTAACTCACAGAAAATGACGTTGAAGCTACTGTCAAGGTTAAAGCCTTCGGTAAAACCCCATGCACGTTCCATCCGTAAGATCTGGTAAAATAACATGAGACTGCGAGAATCAAAGTGGAAACAGCTCTAATAATACTCACAAAGCTTCTCTTATGCCACCATTTCCTTGGTACAAGGTGAGCAAGCTGCACTCCACCCTTAAATGATACTTCGTTTGTGACCAGACAATTGCCATGGTTTGGATCGACCCTTAAAGCTGATCGTCTCGTTTCTTCTCTCACTGTCTTGGATCTCTTGTGAGCAGGAGTGTGACGGACTTGGAGCGCATCGAGCTGTTGGTTATCCACATAGTCTGATAGCTCAGATTCCGGAAACCATGAGATAACGCCGTTATGATTTATAACTACGAACACCGACGGCTCTTCCGGAAGGTCTTCGAACCATACAGCCCGACCATGTTGCGGCAAGTCCTGCTGATCTGAGTACCGAATGAAACTTACGGTATGTGGCGATAAGTTATTAATCTGCTCATACAGCGTTACTGGCCCGGAATTTGAGCTTGGCTGAGTCTGCGCATATGTCTGCGCATTGAATGTTAGATAAAGAGGGAAAATCCGAGCACAGTCAAGATAAACGGACCTGAGGGCTGGTAGCAAGCATCCTGGGCTGCATTCTTCCAGCAGGGGTAGGGGTATTGGGGTCTCCGTATCCAGCATAGGGATTGTAGTTCGTGTTGCCCTGGGTTCTTCTAGGAGTAGTGGGGGTCGGGGGGAGGCCATTTGAGGCAGAAGGTTTATAGTTTGGATACTGGTTGTGGTGAGGTTGCATAGTTAGCGCTGAGATGAGTGGTTGGGTTTGAATGCTGGAATAATCTACTCACCCAGTGTTTATAAGGTCAGGACGCCAGATGTCTTCAAAAGTCAGACGCCAGAGTGCATTATCCAGTGGATGGCGTCCTCCGCAAAAGGAGGGGCTTAGCCATGGCGTCCCTATCATGTTAGCAACTACAGTAAATCCTTCAGTAGGTTTGTCGTGCTGTATTATTCATAACAGTGAAGCTGACAGGTGGTACGAGTAGGAAAGACCTGCGTGAGTTCGATTAGCGAGCGAGATAATATCGGTCATGCCCCTTGGGAACTCGGGTTATCCCAACTACAGCACAGCCTGACTCGGAGGTGGCGCCAAGTCAGCTATCCACACTGGAGCAAGGAACGTGAATTCTTACACCTACGATAGATGAGAATTATATACGGGACGCCACCACGATTGTGCCAGGATCTCTCGTACCATTATTGGTGGCCGCTTACCTGTCAGTGGCGGCAACACCGAACAAACCATCTAATAATGAAAAGGAAATAAGACCATTTATGGAATCTGAGTTAGCACGTTTATTCAGTGTTGCCACACGTAGTACACTGGATCAGCGGCCTATCCTGCCCATGAGTTAAAGATCATTGGGAGCGGGACGCCACATAGAGACTGTTACGTTTCGTACCTTTCTGCTGCAAGCTCGCCGCACCGTTGAATTTTATCATCTGAACAGTTTGAATATGACATATTGCACATCAAACACTGAGACAACACAATCATGGTCAAGGGGCCTGAAGCTGATGTGTTGACCTGCTTTGCTACGACGCGTGAATAAGAGTCCACAGAGGTCCGTGACACCATCCGCCAACATGCTGGAAATTGGTTTGGATTATCAAAGCGGTATTTCGTAGCCAATTCAGAGATAAAGACGCGACAGAGGCGCATGAACTGATTATTGGCGATTAAACAGCTATAGATAGAGAGCTTTGCACGAAAGGCTCAACATGGGAAAAGTCCCTTTCTTCTTCCGTATTGCCCCTATCCGAAATCGCCAATACCCGAAAGAGGGCGCTTAGATGCGCTGCCGAAGGTGGGTGACTCAGATCGAGCATGTGTGTATCACAGCTTGAGCGTAGAATGGTCATTCGCCTCGGTACCTCTGCATAACTCGCTGATTGCCTCTTCACCTCACTCATGATGCCGCCTCCTGCCAACATCGTCGTCGAGCGAGCAAGCCCAGCTGACGTCGAGGCCATCAACCACGTCTCCGGCCAGGCGTTCATTAGCGACGTGCACAGCCAACTTAAGGCGCAAAAGCAGGGCAAGGACGTGGCGACGTGGATGGTGGAGGGATGCGATCCAAACCTGAAGAACTACATCGAGAACAGGACGCTATGTGACGTGTTCGTCGCGCGGGACCGCGACGCGGAGAACAAGGTTGTTGGGAGCATCGTCTGGGTGAAGCGCGGGTACTACGTGCTCGACACCGAGGGCAACCGGACCTCACAGGAGGTTCCGCCGCCGTCAACGTACGAAGATGCAAAGTCCACATACGATGACGCGAAGAAGAGGTGGAAGGCGGAGGACGCTGCACAAACGACGCGGCCCGAAGACGGACAGCCACGGACGATTGCAGGGCTCGAGGCGAGCACGAACGCGAGCATGCAGGAGTGGATAAAGCGGTTCATGCCTCCTGGCACGCGGTGCCGGTTTATCATGGGCATCAGCGTGCATCCGTCCTACGCGGGCAAGGGAGTCGGGTCGGCGCTCATGAGGGCTGGGACGGAGCTCGCGGACAAGGAGAGGGCGTGGTGCTGGGTGCACTCGAGCATGAATGGTGCACCTGCGTTCGAGAAGAACGGGTTTGATGAGGTTGGAAGGATTGAGCTGGACTTGGATGAGTTTGCACAGGGAGATTCTGATAGGGAGAAGCTAGCGAGGAAGGATGAGGATGGAAAGTGGGGAAGGTACGCGTGGAAGTACATGACGAGAGGCCCGCTGCCTATATAGTTGAACGAGTTAAAAGCTCAGAGTCGTGTCAAGGGATCTGGGTTAACATTTAAACAATATATGTAAGGGAGAAGTTCAAATGAGCCGAGTCGTGGGCGGGTGAGGGATCATCCCGGCTTCCCCAGTCCCCTCATCTAATCATGAGACAGCGTCTGGCTGGCATTGTCGGTGTGCTCTTGTGTACGCTCATATATACGCAATCAACTCATCCAGAGAGCGAGCGTATGAAGGTACGAACCTGTTCATGATCGCTGTCAACCTGGATGGGCAGAACGTGGGACAGAATGACTCTTCCACCATCACCTCCTCCTAACACCTATCCATACACCCCGACACCATCTTTCGTCCCGGTTCACCCGCGCCCATGGCTACCTCTCCTGCCTCACCCGATCCTCGCCTTGAAATCAACAGCATACCCACAACTTCCTTCACCACTGCGCAATCCAACTTTCACGGATGACTTCACCCTTACCACCCACATCGTTCCGGGTGCATACCCGCGCGTCTCCCCCGATATCCCGCTTCCGACCTCACCACTTTTCACGGGAAACTCGGCGGAGCGCAAGGCGCGTGTAAAGGAGCTCGCGATGGAGATGATAAACTTGCAGGCGAGGCACGAGCGTGGAGAGCGAGTTGCGCTGGGTACGCAGGGCGAGAGTGATGTCGTGTGGTGTGTGATCAATCGGTTCAGGAGGAAGAGGCTGGTGAGGAGAGGGAAGGAGGGCAAGAGTCTGACCTTGTTCTTGGCGCATGCGAACGGCTTCCCGAAGGAGGTGCATATATTGTGTCATTCTCCAGATGCGGTTGATCTCACTTCGCTGCTGCTTTAGACATGGGAGGTTGCGCTACGTGCATTACTGACGAGCCCAGCTGGAGAGCTCGTCGATGAGGTATGGGCGTGGGAGGCAGCGCAGCATGGAGACTCGGGTCTGCTCAATGACGGAGTCCTCGGTGGACTGTGTGAGTGATCATCTTATCCCTTTCCATGGCCACATGGTGCGAGCTTGACTAACGCGTCGCAGTCGACTGGGCGGACAATGCTCGTGATATGGCACAGTTCTTCCTGTCGTATCTCCCAGAAAGCGCAGACGCGGAACTCCCGACACACCTTCCACGTCTGAGCGAATGGGCCACTAGGTTCCGTAAAGAGTCAGGATTATCAAGGCGTACTCTTGTCGTTGCCGGGCACTCGTTCGGAGGTGCCACATCGTAAGCCCTACCACTTGCGTGTATCACTGTAGCTGAAACGCGTTCCTTTCAGCACACTTGTCGCCAAGGAGTTCCCTGCCCTGTTCGACGCTCTGATCCTCATCGATCCTGTCATCATCCAGAATACCAAATTCAACCCCGTGTTCAACACGGGCACTGTTACGGGTGCCATTTCGCGCCGTACCAACTGGCCAACTCGGTATCTTTCCCTCTTCAAGTTCTTTGTCTATATACGTGTACTCACCATACACCCGCTCGTACCTTAGAGAAGAAGCCCACAAGCTCCTCAAACAATCCCCACTTTTTAGCATATAGCACCCCGACGTCCTCGCCGCCTACGTAGAGCACGGAACAGCCCCTTCAGCAAAGGAAGGCGGCGTAAGCCTCAAGATGTCGAGCATGCACGAAGCCGTGCTCTTTCTCAATGTGCGTGTCGCCGCCGAGGCATGGGAGCAGCTCCGCGAGCTAGATGAGCGCATTGAGCTGAGATTCGTCGCGCCGGACAAGGACAGGGGCGAGGTGACCTCGAACGGGTACGCCGTTTTATCTTGTGGGCGGGGTGCGTTGTTGCGAGGCCCTAACTCGATATATGCAGGTTGGGTGGGCCCGAGGCCTTTGCGGTGCGAGCGTGGCTTCGGCCGGCGAATAGCTCGAATACTGATATCAAGGGCGCGGGGCACCTCGTACGTGATCGCTTGCTCTTTCGTCCTCTGAAGTTACTTAGACTCAGAATTATGCGTTTAGATCGTCCAAGAACGGCCACGGGAGCTTGGTGAGCCGTTACTGTAACCGTTGCAGCCATCGTGTCACTCACAGGAGATGCTTCACCTACAGCGGAGGACATGGCCGGGTTTTTGCTACGCCGTTATGCCAGCAGTAGCTGGAAATCGTTGCTCTGATATGCAGTTCTTGTACGACATTATGCGTCAACAACCATCGCGTGCAATCAATCATATTCGGAAATAGTGCTGATATATCGCACAGGTAGCTTCGGTGCCAGGCAAACGTACTAGAGCTGACGAATCCTATCACCTGAGATGCTCGAAAAACACTCGCTTCCAAACTGAACGTTGAGCTCGACGACCCAACATGCTTGAGTCGATCCCTCGTTTTTTAACGTTAAACCAAGCTCCACGCACGATTTCTGACCCAGTTTGTCGGGTCCAATCATTGGCCCCGTGACTAGAAGCCCAAAGTAAGAAGATGAACGCAAGATTCTAGTCTGATAAGACCACTTGGCTACACGGCCATCGATTGACCGGAGAAGCTACATAAATAGGTTTGGTTGAATGAACATGATGGAGTTCCGCCTACTTTCCATCGACGACTTGGCCCGCTTATGTTCCATTGACAACCTGACTCGAGGCTTTTCTACCGCCAACCCGACTCGAGCGAGAATTGGGGAGCCGGTCCCCGTCGCGCATGGGTGGGTGGGCTCCGCCATCCTGTGGCCGAGTTGCTGGACTCGCGTCATCGACGTTTGCTCTATCAAGATGAATGCGAGGACGTACTATGATGTCTCCATTCTGGAGTACGTGTTCGTCGCCCGGATTTTCAAGTATGAATGCCTTGACACCCTTGGGCATCGTCTTTGCGCTGTACACTGTGGTAGTGAGAATATCTTCACTATAGCGGGGTACACCCCGGAAGATGATTGTCCCCTTGTGGTTGGCCCAGTTCGTGAGTCGGACCTAAATGCAGATACCGGTAGGTAAGTGTCTCTGTCTCTCGGCGCGACAGAAGGATGGGACTCACCTGGCCAATTACCGGATCAAAGACCAACTCTGCATGGTCTTTGGTTAGCGACCGGCTGCCAGTCCTTGTCTCGACTACGAAGCTGGGGAACAACCCATTGTTTGGCTGGCATGTGGGTGGCTGGCCAGACGGAGTGGGACCGCTCGCGAGACCCAACATGGCGCTATAGTCTCCGCTGGCCAGAAGTTCGATCCGCTTGGGAAGGAACGTCGCCCGAGATCCTCTCAGCTGTTCGAGTGAAACGGTGGCAGCGGTATAGTCGGACATGCCTGGGAGGACGTGGTAAGGGGAGGAAAGGGAGCGCAGCAGTGCGAAGGATGGGAGAAGGGGGAGCACTCGGGGGACTGGACGCAAGTGGGTTTTGCTTTGGCCACCTTTAAAAGGACGGGGACACGCGGTATACAGGGTCGAGTAAAAACCAACAAGGGTCTGCAAGCTGGAACAATAAAATGCAGACTTATCAAAATCTGGTCCGCCAAGACCGTTCGAGGCGCGTGTCTGTCAAAAGAAAAAAGAAAAAAAGAAGCACCCACCTTTGGTCTGATACGTGCTCGCAACACGCAGGCAGCCGGTTGGACGAGGGGTTTCAGCATGGCCGAGTGCTACTCGGCACGCATGACCCCACCTCTATTGTATGCGCCGACGTTTTGGTGAGGGATCGACATAAGCGTCGACGGGCGATGGGCGGCTAACAGCTGCGGACCTTGCCACCCTGGCTTCGTTGTGGGCGCTCACTCCCATGGAGCGCCGATGCCGACGTTTTCGCCCCGGTGATAGAACGTTTCGGGATGATTAGAAGGGACACCATACGACGTGGACCTAATCTAGAATAATAGCCCCAGAGAACCTTTTCATTTGAACGCGGGATACCGCGAGGTTCATTTTAATCGAATTCATGTTCGTCTGTCTGGGCGAACAATGGTTTACCATGGTACGTACTGAGCCTCGTTTCAAGTTGGACATCGGGCATTGAGTTCCTGCCAATGATACGGGAGGTGCTGTGCTTGTGCACTTCCGAGGAACATGTCAGGTAGCGCATAAGCGGCCAGTCACAGCGAATAATAACGTCCGTCGCCGTTGTTCCGACATCGCAATGACCAAAAATTCGCAGGAGCATTTGATGGTTTATGATGGCGAAGCAGTAAGGTGCGATCATTTTGACTTTTTTGACTGTGCTCACTCTCACCATAAGTATGTGCAATACCGTTTTTTACCAGGATACTTACCCGTCATTCTCTTTGAATGTGAAAGAGCGAATTGTGACTACGCTTTAGACGAGACAATGCACGTATTAACACCGTTAAACATGGTATCGAATTTACTCTCCGATGACATCGTTAGCACCGGTAGAGCGGCTGGTCCAAGCCTACTATGACACGTTGATTGCGCTTGTATAGCTACATAGCCGGTCCAAGAGATCCCTTGATGACCTCAGCAGCTAGAAGAACAAGTTCTGAGCGTGTTTATCAGGTGATCTTTTCGTCTAGAGTTACCTTGAGCGCCGATGCCGTAGGCTACACCTGGGAATAATTCATATTGTTAGGTGAAATGCAGCGCGAGGTTACCATAAAGACCCACATTGTGTATGGGCAGCCACATGTAGTGGGGCAACAGACAAGTCCGCCACTCGGATATTGGAGGTCCCGTACACCTGTGGAATGAATACTCAAACCTCGAGTTTAGGAAAGGACAGACGAGTGCGAACCCTCAGCTGTGTATCGACGACACCCCCTTTCTCCCGCGGAAGCATCGATAACGTCCCTACGGTGTCTAGCATGCAAAATTAGCATTGCAAAGAGTAATGCGAGGCTAGAACGTACGGAAGGTTGCACTAAGATTTCCCTTAATCCATTCTAAGAACCGCACCTGAGATGACTGCATTGAACATTCGGCGCAACATTAACATACCTTCCAACTGAGTGTCTGTTTCTACTTCTACGCCAGGGTTTGTCTCAGGACCTGCAAATTTCGAGGTCAGCAGCGTGTAAAGTGTACGTCAGACCAACTGACCCAGCATATCGGATAACGGTGGGGTGCTGCATACTTTGCGAGCAAACTTGATGAGCTCGACCAGAGTCTGCAGGTCTGGGTAGACAGAAGGTGAGATCCTACACATAGGGTGGAACAAGTGTACTCGAGGATAGCTGTACGTACCAATGTCATGCTCAAAAGCGTGGGGATCGAAATCGGGATCCTTCGTCGGATCTGACGACGTCGAATGCTGGTGGACGCTTAGATGCTATTATCATAGACTCTGAACAGTTTAGTGGCTTACGACCGTCCCTCTTGAGAAGTTATGGTTCAGTAGGCATGCAACCGTGAAGTACTTCTTTCCTGGCATAGGTGGATCTGTGCACTTCTAGTCAGTCTCGCAGATCGCAAGCACATACAAGCAAACGCACTTGGTCCGTCTAGAAAGCCTGGTATAAAAGACAGCTCTCCGAGCAAGCTGCGTTTCTCAAACCGCTCCATTTGGATGTTAAACTGATCACGGAGTCCCTCAGGATAGGCGCCCCATTCTGCAGCGATCTGCTTCCGTGCAGCAGCGTAGATTTCCTCGGCACGATCTGAGAAGTGTTCTAAGGGCACGAAGAAGAGGCTTCCGACGCCTACGGTGAATGGACCATCGCGCGTCTCACTGTAATTGAAGGTTGTTAGACTTGCCTCAGGAGACGAGAGCACATCGCAATGGACAAAGACTTACAACAGTTTCATTTGTTCTTCAAGAACGCCGGGACCGGCTCCTCGTAAGACGTCCAAGCTGATATCATCCACGCCATCGCGTAGTTCTGCAGGGATATAAAACGTGAAGGAGAGTCAAAGCATGGATGTCCATTACACACCGAATGACACCTCACAGTGCATATGCTCCTGTGCGTTCTCTCCTACACCAGGCAGTTCGAGTTTCACTGGTACTCCGATGGATTTTAGCACTTCTTTATGACCAATTCCCGATAGCTCAAGTAGCTGAGGAGACTTAGGTGCACTAGAATATCATGAGATCATGGTGCACTGGTGCAAGGGAAATAACGTATACGTACCCTGCACACAGGACAACTTCCTGACCAACTTTAACCACGTGTTGTTTGCCTCCGTGGATGAACTCGACACCTTCTGCTCTCAACGTGCCATCTATCGATTTAGTGACGAGCTTCGTAACATGCGCCCCGGTGAGGACAGAGAAGTTTGGGCGTTCTTTGTTTGGAAAGTAAAATGCCTGACCATCTTAGGGCATGCGAATGGAACCGGAAGTGAAAGAAAACTTACAGTTGTTGCATAGCTTCGCTGGTACGTCTCAGGGTCAAATGAAAGCGGACAGAAGTAAAAGCCTGTGGGCTGCAAATAGTCAGAGCAGCCCTCGAAAGACTGCACACACCACAACGTACATCACCGTCCATCTTCCAGAAAACGATACGTGAGACTCAAACCAACCAGCATACGAGGAAAGGCAAACCGGAGCAGGAGCTTTCGGGATGCCCAACTTGAGACAACTCTGCAAGCAATTAAGTCATGTTCAACACAATTAAAAGTAGATGAGGAAAGTACTTCATATGCGCTCAATTGCGATTTTGCCATATTCGCAGAATGCATGAGCTTGATGGGGCCTGATCGCTCGTTCAATACCGTTGCTACCTTGATATAGGCGGACCCTACCATTCTTGCCAATGTGCCAGTCATCAAAGTTGAGACCATGCGCTGCGGCAGACTTCGCGGATGGCATTTGATACCTACAGCAACGTTCTAACGTCAGCGTGTCAAAGCCACTAGCGTACTCGTGTACCCTTCTAGCTCGTGCATATGTTTCTGGAGATTCTTCCAGTTCCAACCTGGGTTACCTAACCGCTCCCAGTCTACGAAAATGAGATTGATAGTGCTACACTGCATACGAATCCTTACCATCGATATCATCAGCAGGAGGTTTCGTCCAGATGAAGAAGTTGGTGGCCGAGCTCCCGCCCAAAACCTTGCCCCTGTTGAAGTGTCAACGCAGCGATAGACATGTCGAACGCAAGAGCATACCTGCTCCATAGAATCTGCGCACCGTTACTGAACTTCTGGGGCGTCTAGAAACATAGGATGTCAGCGAGAGCATGTATGCGCACACAAGTCGGATACAGACAGTTTGAAAGCTCCAATCATATGCTTCTTGTCCGAAATGGACACCATACTGCGCAGGGAGAACTTGAGCGCGACAGGTTAGCGCGTTTCATCTAGGCCGCCGAGAAGTTCACTTACGTATCTTCGGATCATTCTCGCTGACATCTCCTGCGTCCAGTACGAGAACATGGATATCAGGGTCTTCGCTCAGCTTGGCGGCCAAAGTCAAACCAGAAGTCTACACGTGGACAAAGCATCCTGTGAGCTGCTGCCACGCGATTTCTTGTATAGCCGTTACTTACGCCTCCACCTAATAAGAGTCAGTCTGCAATCCTCAGAGCATAATAGAAAGATAGTCACTCACCAACGATTACCACATCGAAGTTCTTGTTCTGCAGCTCGCCGATACGGATGCTGCCTGGCATCGTGGTGGTAGAGAGCAAGCAGTAACAGCCACCCTCACAAGTACGCCTCATTCCGAGTCGTTATGTAAGTCCGCCTGCCCGCGCATGTTCCTAGATCGGGTCCTATTCCACGTATGAACGCGTTGCATCAGAGATTGCGCGGTTCATCTGTGGACAGCATACGTGGGCCCGTCCATGCAAGTGACCGTGACACTCTCACGGCTTCTTGTTGATGCATATCGTTGACGCTCCCCCGTGAACACCTCTAACTGCGATATCAAGGTGATAACGAAAGACGGTGGGATAGCGAACTAGGGTGACTGTCATATCAGAAGAGTTGCGGTATCCATTCAACGTGCGGCGGCTGTGCATTCGGAGATCGGTCCGAATATGCTCTCAGCTCCTATCTCGATGTCTTTCATCCCGTCCATTTCTAAGAACATTAGACGAGCTCAGTCACTCTGTCGTCGTCAACGCCGCTACTTCGAACTTCTCTTGGAGGAACAAAGGCTACCATAAATCAGCGACACAGCACGCTTAAATCTCCGAGACTAGCTAGATTCTGACGGAAAGCCTGTACCAGCAACAAACTCGAACGAAGCGATGAACACTGTCACTCTGAGTTAGCCAAGAATTTGTGTGATCGAATCATAAACGTACAGATCGAGGTTCCGTTACGATTAAACCGGGCCTATTGTCACGGAAATAATTCAGCCATTACAACCAAACATACATACAATAAAGAACCCTACCGTGAACTCATCTCCACGCAAAACCACGCCGTCGCCGTGAACCAGAGTCATCGCTAGCTCGGTCACGATAAGCTCGGGGTGCAAGTTCGGCTTCTCGCCGCGAACAGGCTCGACGGGCTGCGCGGGCTGCTCTGGCTCTGGCGCCGGTTCCGGTTCCGGTTCAATACACCGTGGCTCTGGTAGAGATGGAGCAAACGGAAGAGGGTCCACCGCTCTGCCCTTACCCTTACCCACGTATGGAATCAGGTCGTCCTCTTCATCCGGCGCATCAAAGGACCTATCCTCCTCGTCCACATGTTCTGCGTCAACGGGCTCCCTCCAAATAACACGCCCCATCCTGTTACTCGGACCAGGCTCGTTCTCGTCGAAGGCCGCACGGTGTTCGATGTAAGGCTCGTCTTCCCAGGAAAGCAGCCGGATAACTTCCTCGTCTGACTGTTCAGGTGGATCCACAGCTTTCTCCTTGCCTTTGGACCGCGAAGGAGCCGGCTCTTCCGGGATGTCGTCGCTCAAGGGTGGCAGTAGCGGGATATCGTCCTCCTCGGACTGGTCCGGCAAATCGATGATCGCTTTCTCCTTTCCCTTGCGTCGCTTGCGCGCCGGCTCGTCCAAAACGTCGTCAGCGTCGTCGTAAGCGCTGAACAGCGGGCTAACTTCTCGGAAACTAGTCATAGTCGGATGATATGCTTCGCGTTGAAGGGGCGGACCTTCCACAGCAACCTGTGGCACATCCTCCTGGAGGTCATCTTCGACCGGCTGACGCCGCCAGCCGCCGTGACCAGCGAGCTCGGCATACTCCGAGTCGTCGACGGTAGGATTCCCGTCGATATCAAACGCAGGCGTCGGACTGCTCTTCCGTTGCTTTCGAGACTTGGACGCTCCTGGTGAGGACGTGATGTCAGGCACTAGCACCTTCGTGGCGGTAGGGCCAAAGCCGAAACCGCGTTTCGGTGCAAGCTCGATCTTGAAGGTGGACCCGATGGAGAGGATGAAATACGGAGTCTTGCGGGCATCGAACGTGAACGCCTTGCATAATCAGTTTTGACGTTAGCTTTTTTTTTCGCTGATACTGACGCGGTGATTATCGCACCCCACGCCTTCCAGAAGTGGCCCAGGACCGGACGACCAGACTACGAGCTTTGAAGCTCCCCTCAGGCGCCTCACAGTACTGGGTGAGGTACGTGGCTATCATGTCGAACGCTAGCCTGAACGAACTGTTGTTGTCCTTGTCCATCAAACATCCGTGGCCATCGAGCGCAACTTCATATACGAAGTAGGGACCTGTCCAAAGTAGAAGGGTATTAGCGTTGGAAAGGCACCATCAAAGCGGAATACCGCACTCACTGGTAGGGTTCTCGCGTTCCATGATAATGTCCCCCTGAATACCCACCAGCAGCTGATCCGCCTCCCTTTGCAGAAATTCGCGGTCGCACGTAAAAACGTGGACAGCCAAAGCCTCCGGGTTGACCTTGTACGTATACGTCCACATGCCGTCTTTAAACTTCTTTGGCTCGCGCTTGGATCCTGTCGGGATGGTATCGTAGGGTATGTTGAACGTGTCGACCCGGTACATGTCCCTCAGCGCGCTCATGGGTTCAATGAGGGCCTGCGGTGGCACGCGTGGCTTCGACTAAAGAGCAATGTAGAGTCAACCAGGCGGTCAACGTCAGATAGAGCACAAAATTTGCGTACAGTGCACATTTCACTCCTACACAGCTGGTGGCGGAACCACCATTGGCTATTGATCATCCCGCATTCCTGACACCACCACCCACGGGGGTAAAACTCGCCTCCCTTGAGCGGAGAGAAAAGATCGAGAGGGACGTAGTTGTAGTACGCCAGCCTGAAGCCCCATGGGTCCACTTCCTCTTCTTCGTCGCCATCAACGTCCATCGAGTCGGAGGCGGGAGGCGCCCACCACGGGTGATTGAGTCCTCTAATACCGTAGTTATCGGCGAGGACATCCTCTCCGCCTGGGATCCACGCAAAGCGGACTTTCCAAACGGTGCGTCCAAAGACGCCCGAGGGGATTGTCTTCGGCTTCGGCTGGTCCAAGCGGCCGTACTACACCATTTACTGTTAGCGCATCGCGTCCTAGTGTCCTCTCGCTCCGGTGCGAGAGGATGAGAAAGACGTACCTGGACCTGAGTAACGACGAATATACCGAGCCATGCGTAACGGTAGTCCTCTGGCAGCTGGAACGGCACGATGGGGCAGTCGCGCGCGACCATAATCGTCACGGGCAGCGGCTGCTCGTCGACGTGCAGATACCCGAACTCCTCCATGTCAGGCGGAATCGGGAGGGGAACTGTCAGAGGGTGTGAGGGACCGTCATCGCGAGCTACGTGCGACGCGTCCATGTCGACGTCCTCCGATGACGCGTTTGCGTCGCGTGCTGGACCTTCGCGTGCTGGTGGACGCGTCGTGGTCAGAAAACACACCGGACCAAGAACGACGCGTCGCGTTAAGACATACCATCCGGCCCCTGGCTCTTCCGAGGCTGCAGATCGGACTCATGACACGTGAAGTCAAAGACACTGCAATGAATCACGTATGATCATGAGCATTCGTAGGCGCGTCGCGGACTCGAGCAGGGAGCAGAGGGAAGTAACCACTCACAAAGACACCTCGATTTCCCTATCCCTCCACACATCCTCCGGCCACGCGTTCTCCACAAACAACATATACGGCCAAAAACAGTCCTTATCGAGCCCCGTCTTGGACTTCCACAGATCCGGCAGCACAGCCTTGAGATCGTCCGCGCTCTACACCGTCATCCGTCGTCCAAATCCCAAATCGTCGCGTCAGCAACAGCAGCACTGGCAGCATGCAGCTATAGGCTATAGCAAACACCCACATTCGCCCACACCCGCGGCCTCCTCCCCGTCTCCGGCCTCCGGTCCTCCCGCTTCGCAGACGCCTTTCCCCTCCCCTTGCGCGGCGCGCTCGCGGGCGGCTTGACGAACGTCCACTTTGGCTTGCCCGGTGCGGGTGCGCTTGCGGGTGCGGGTGTGGGTGTGGGTGCGGCATTACTACCGTCGGCTTTGGCTTTGGCTTTAGGGGGCCTGCCGCGCGGTTTCGTGGTCTTCTCTAGTGGTGCCGCTTGTGGTGGTGGTGGTGGTGCAGGTGCGGGCGTGGGCGTAGACGGTCCGACTGCGAATTCTGCCTGGGCGTAGGCTTGTACTGGAGGTGACCCGTTGTGCACCGCGTCCATCGTGGTTTGAGAAAGAAAGAGATAACTAAGAGATTACGTATACGTATACGTATGTCGGAGACGCGGTTGCTGATGAGAAATGGGTAACGCGAGATCGAGGAAGCGCAGGTCCGGAAGTCCGGAAGAGTCTGGACATGATGACACCGTAATGCAACACGCGTCTGAGCGTTGCTGCAATCGCGAGGTAGATGGTGACAGAGATATGTAAACGCGTGATATCAACCTTGAAGTTGAGCGGCTGGACGCGCAAAACGCGACTTCCGGGACTTACAACCCCGACGCAACTTACTACGTTACAACTCGATTCTCGACGAGACCGAGAAATCAAACGCACTGGCATTGCAAGTCCATAAACATATACATTGCGAGCTTTCAAAGACCCTTTTGAATTCCCTATAGACATGATTGATCAAACCCGATTAGAAACATACGTACACCCCCTACTCTAGTACTTGCTTGTAAGTAATATACATAACGAAGCTGAACTGAAATAGAAATTGAAAAGAAAAATCCATAGTAGTAGGGAACGAAACCGCTTTGACGAGGCTCAGTGATAGAATGAGAATCTCGAAGAGTAGGAGGGGAGGATTAGACCAGAGAAGAGTCGGAGAAGAGTCGGAGAAGAGAAGAGAGGAGAAACTAGTGGTGAAAGAACGGAAGAAGCTATGTCCACCCGTGAACATACTGTAGGATGTGTGTGATAAATAGCGATTAAAATAGTGCGGTTCTCTGCGTGGAGGTGAACCATGATGTGTGATGGGTGCACGGCGTGTTAGGGTGCTGGTGAGGTAGTGTGCTCGGGGTTAGAGACGTCCTGAGTGGATTCGAGCTGCTCAGGTCCATCATTGTAGGATGCCCTGTCGGAACTAGTAATAACTGATGGTTGCATCCCGTCCTCGCCCTCGTCCTCGGAGTCCTCAAGAACCGCGGTAGCGTGAGCACCGTCGTCAAGCGCCAAAGATCCAGCGTCAGATTCAGCCTCAGGAATCGAATGCCGAGCCTCATCCCGAGAGCTCTCGAGGACCGACAGGTGTAGAGTGCCAATTGTTATTTGCGTGTCGACCGAAGACCGAGGCGTCCCCTCGCGAGAATTCAGCGCGCTTGAGAAACAAACAGACGTCGCGAGACTCGGAGGCAGCTCAATCTCGGCGGGATCGAGCGACGCGCGGCCGACCGTCTCGATCAGATCTTGGCTCGTGCTATTGAAGGTTTCCGTCGCCGAGTCCGAGTCCGGGTCCAACGAGCTGCAATGCGTCGATACCGATTCGCCACCAGACACCCGCCGCACCCCGCCCTCGTCCTCGTCGAGATGCAAAACAGTATCCTCCCTCGACCCCACAGACCCCTCATCCGACTCAAGCCTCGAGCTCTCGTCCCCGCTCGACTCCAACTCCGACTCCAACCCCCCACCTCCCCCTCCCCCTCCCCCCGCCTTCGCATTCCCTCGAAACGCCGAATCCCACTCATCAACATCCCCAATCAACTTCGTCTTATGCAGCCCCCTCACCAGCGCATCATACAGCTCGTCGCAGCGCCCCACCAGGTCCCGCGCCTTGCACGCCTCGGCTACGGACCACCCGCCGGGGTACTCGCTGATGTCGACGTACGCCTTGCCGAACATCGGCGAGCGTGAGTGCAGCTTGATGCCTGGCACCGCCGAGCGCTCGACCACGGCGGACGTGCTCGACTGTGTGCACATTGGGAGCTCGACGAGTGCGGCGTGCACGGCGGAGATGGCGGCTTTGCATGTGGTGCGCGGGTGGTTGTGCGAGCCGAAGAGGCGGGCCTGTTATATTTGGAATAAAAAGGACGAGGAGCTTTCGTCAGTTACCCGAAAATGGACGACGAAATGGTAGAAGAAAGAGAGGTACGTGGAACAGATAACTCACCAGGAACACGGTCGCAGAGCGCGTCGCCGCGCGCAAACCCGAGCCGTTGAGCGAGTACAGTTTCGTGAGCACGACGCCGGGCTGCACGACAAAGTGCCTAGGCTGCGGGAACGTGAATGCTTCAAGGGGGTTCTTGCGCGGCTCGAGGTTGAAGTAGTTCGCAACGAGCTCCATTTGGTACTTGGAATGCAGGTAGGGCTTCTTCGTGCGCAGGAGCTGCCAGTCGTCCGCGTCGTAGTCGTCTGCACGCGACGTCATCGTCGACATCCAGATGATGCGGGGCGACTGCCCCGTTTTCTGGGAGTAGACCGAGAAAAGCGGGCTAAGAGCGCGGTACTGCGAGAATGGTTACGCAGAGGTGAGATGGGTGGGAGTGTGGGGTATTGCTGTACTCACGAGCATGTAGTGGCCGAATAGATTACACTGCCACACGAGTCCGAGTCCATCTGCGCTCTTCTCGCCTGATTGCTGGGCCATGATCTCTGGGACGGTCGCCGGGCATGTGTCGTCCCGCTGATGCCGTGCAGCCCGGCGCGCGCCCTGATGGTCGTCGAGAGGAGCCATGGCGGCATTGCAGATCAGATGCGAGACGTACGGACATCTGCTGGCAAGTGAGTCACTGGGTCGAGAAATGCAGCTGGGACTCACATCTGCTGAAGCCACTCCGCGAACTCCAGCACGCTGGATGCGACGGTCAAATCGAGGTGGTGCACCCGGATGTCGACGTTCTGGCGGATGCGCTCGGCGCGCGTCGAGCCCCGGGGTTTGAACTTGCGCTGGCGGAACGCCTCCTTGTCGAGCGCCTTCAAGAGCCTCTGACGGGCGCGCTTGGCACTCTCCACGTTGCGACAGGCGAGGACGAGGGTGACGTTCTCGCATGCGGAGAGCCAGTGGGACTGGGGCCTGGGGAGGGTGCGGTCAATGGATGCGTCCGGGGGGACGGCGTAGCACAGCTGTATGAGCAGACGTCGGCATATGCCAAAACCTACACCCCTACTCCGCCACGGGTCAGCGATAAGAAAAGGATGAGAGTGGGGCACGCACCCGTTCGCACCCGTGACGACGACGACTGGGTTAGGCTTCCCCATGGGCAGCTACAGCTACAGGTGGACCCAGACACACTGGACACTCGACGAGAGCGAGAAGTTGGGCGGCGGGCGGGTGTTTGGATAGAGTTGAGCGGGTCGTTGAGACGAAAAAGCTAGTGATAAGTCGAGGTTTCATTTCCGTCCAAAACGTTTTGAAATTGGCATGTCGACGAGGCTCGTGGGTAAGCTGCTTGAATTATAGAACGACCCTAGTCGCTAATTGGAACCCGCCGTGGTACATCGCCTGATCCCATCACCATCTTCCGTCCACTCTCTGCGCTACTTTCCAATCAGATCCCATGTCTCGGTCAGACAAACGTTGTCCAATGTTCACTACAGGATTTTCGTGAAGTTGGACAGTCTACAAGCCATTCTGTGCTCGGCGAGGCGCAGTCCGAGTGCGCGGGAAATGCATCGGATGACGTCGCCTAAACATTTTGGGCTAGATTTAATGTTCTTTTGCTATAATGACGAGCTACTCGTTTAATTGTGCGCTGTCATTTTGGCTCAACTTTTGCTCCCACTGCGTTGCGTTGCCTCTCACATGAGCAGAGCTGCAACCGCAGACACGTGTGGCTCGAGCTTCTGGAGGCTTCTGCCGGCATCGCTTCTGGCATGGCTGTGGAGTTTTGTGCACAGATAATTGCTGGTGAGCGCTGAGTCGCTGATCCGTGGGCCACTCAGTCGGATGGACGGTACTAAAGAGGCCTCGCGACCGCTTACCTTGTTCCAGAGGCTAACCACCTTCCCTTTGGGTGAGGATGTGCTAGAGTCCACTGTACTCAGTTCTGGATTCTCTTGACATTGCGGTAGCATACCAACAAAGGCAAATGATCATGCAATGAGCGAGCCGGAAGCGCGTCGGGCTCGACTTCGGAAATCTCCGTAGACCTCCGTCCGTTTTCACCGCTTGGTTCTACCGTTCACTCACTCGTTCGCCGCATCATACGCGTCACACTTCCCTGGCGAACACGGATAGAGCTCATAATCTCGGCGAACATTTGTCTTACCCCACCACATCGGTCCGGCAAGATTGGACTTGATAGAACCAAAAGTCAGCAACAAGCTAGCTGTGTATCATCGACATCTCGGGCAGTGGGCGCATCGCACGAAACTGGGGTCGGAAGATGGCGTCAGGTCTGCGATCCGCGTCTCCTGCAATGACTTATGCTTGGGTATACCATCCCAGCTGTACAAAGGATTCGTGGTAAGCAAGCACGTCAAGCTGTTACCACAACCCCGAACTGACAGGAAGAATGCAAGCGCTCCGAAAGGTACCTTCCCTTGTCCGACGATTCCAATCATTCATGCAGATCATTTCGACACCACTGACTTCGAGCGATGATAGGCTCGCACCCTTAATCCTTCATTACACGTTCCAGTCTTGCCTTCTGCCTTCGGAACGTTGGGCCTACCCTAGCTTGCTGTAGAAAAACATCACTCGAGGTGTGTATGCACTCCGATGCACGGAAAGTTCAACGACTTATCATTCGTTCCAGCTGTCAATCGCGTGTTGGTTCTCCCACACCGCTCAGAAGTGCTTCCATTGGCGTCCATTAGAGATGCCGTGCCCTGCCAATTCTATGTACGCGTTATGTCTTGACGCCTTGCTCGGCGAACCGTCAAAAAGTATGCCATTCGCCTTTTCCCGAGAGCTCGCTATCACTTGCGTCATTAATGATTGGAGCATAAGGTCGCGAACACTTCGTTCTCAAGCCTGCTGTCCGGCGTTCTACCGTCTGCGTCTTCCTTGGGTCAACGTAGCCCTCGACTTTTCTTTGTGGGTCGGCGGCTAGTCAAATGTTTCTAGCCACATATGGGAGACTATTCTTAGCACTCAGACGCGCTGAGACCATACCTGGTGCATTCGAATCCTCTTCAACCCATAGGTGGACGTTAGAGCGCCATGGCGATGCTAGCATGTCGTACTTAAACGCCAACACTCGGTGGTAAGAACATATTGATTTTGTTTCATTGCAGAACGACCCTGAAAGCGCTTCTTCACCTCAAGCATGCTGTCACTGACCCCATGTGGAAGGACTCACTGGCACCTTCGCAAAGAATTCATCAAAGACTCGACTCGAAGGGAAATATGCTTGAACCCATAAACGGCCACTTATTTTCCTCCAGCGGCGGCCTGGCATATCTCAGCTCCTTCAGTATGAAGGGAGACTATTCAGCTTTGACGAGCTTGCGAAGGTGGGGAGCCGATTAAGGCGCCGTTCAGGTTGGTAGTACTTATATCTTCTCCGAACGAGGCGTTGTACCGTCATTCCGTACGAACCGCCTGGTAGTGCACCATGCCCATGCTGTAAGTCGTCCGAAACGTCCGATGAACGTCCGTCCGAACTATAACTGACTGGTTCCTGTCTTCTTCGTTCTTCGTTCTTCTTTGCCCTGCCTGTCCCTTATCCACGCACACGCGGATCGGGACGCGTCGCGGCGCACAGAAAGGACCCCTCCGAGAAGTACGATGGCTACGAGCCGATCGACATCCCAGACCGGACGTGGCCGACTCAGGTGACGCGCAAGGCGCCGATATGGCTCTCGACGGACCTGCGCGACGGGAACCAGGCGCTGCAGACGCCGATGAACGTCGAGCAGAAGCTTGAGCTGTTCGATCTGCTCGTCTCCGTTGGCTTCAAGGAGATCGAGGTGGCGTTTCCGCCCGCGAGCGAGACCGAGTTCACGTTCGTGCGGCGGCTTATCGAGGAGAAGCGGATACCGGACGGCGTCGCTATCCAGGTGAGCGGCCACGATTAAATTCGAGTTGCAGTGCGTGGGGCTGACCAAATACGGCCGTCGTCGTCGCAGGTGATGACCCCCGCGCGGCGCGACTGCATCTCGCGCACGTTCGACGCGATCCGCGGCGCGAAGCGCGTCATCGTGCAGCTGTACAACGCGACGGCGCCGATTTTCCGGGACATCGTGTTCCAGAGCACCAAGGAGGACATCATCAAGCTCGCCGTCGAGCACACGCACGTCGTGCGCGCGCTCGCGATCGAGTACGAGCGCATATACGGGACGGTGTTCCAGCTGTGCTACGGCATCGAGGGCTTCACGCAGTCCGAGCCCGACTTTGTGATCGACGTGTGCTCGCGCATCAAGGACGCGTGGGACTCGCATGGTCCGAGTCCGACGAAGATTATCTTTAATTTGCCGAGCACGGTTGAGTGTGCGCCGGCGAATCATTTTGCTGATCAGGTATATCTTCTGTCATTCAAAGTGGAGTTTCAACGAGTGACTTACTTGTGGTGTTTTTAGGTAGAGTACTTCTGCCGAAATATTCCCAAGCGGGAAGAAGTTCTGGTATGCTTGCATGCTCACAATGATCGAGGTAAAGACATTTATGCTATATGTTGAGCAACGTTCTAACAAGCTACCTAGGAACTGCTGTATCTGCCACGGAGCTCGGTCTCCTGGCTGGTGCGGACCGCGTAGATGGGTGCCTACTCGGCAACGGCGAGCGGACAGGAAATGTCGACCTCATCATCCTCGCCCTGAACCTATACACGCAAGGCATACCCCCACATCTCGACTTCAGCGACCTGGGCAAGATCGTAGAATCCATAAGCAGACTCACAGCTCTGCCCGTCCACCCACGACACCCCTACTCCGGTAGCCTCGTCTTCACCGCCTTCTCAGGCGGGCACCAAGACGGGATTCGCAAGGGTCTCGTCCGGCGGGCGGAGAACCCAGCGCAGAAGTGGCGCGTGCCCTATCTCCCGGTGGACCCAAGCGACTTCGGCTTCGTCTACCGCCCCGTGCGCATCAACTCGCAGTCCGGCAGAGGCGGCATCACCTACCTCCTCGAGCAGGCCTTCCGCTTCACGATCCCGCGCCCGATGCAGGCCGACTTCTACAAGACCGTGCAGAACATGTGCGACACCGAGGGCCGCGAGCTCGCCGTCTCGGAGATCATCGCGGCGTTCTGCCACAAGTACCACTTCTCGCCGCCTGCCAAGGTCGAGGAGCTCGACAGACCGGTCGAGATCGCGAGCCGCGTGGCGCTCGACAGCTTCACGACGTTCCAGGAGGGCCCGGACGAGCCTGTGCGGTTCGAGGGCACGCTGTCGGTGGACCACCGGGACGACGCGGTGTGCGGGCGCGCGGACGAGGTGCACAGTGCGATCGGGTATGCGCTTGCGCGGACGCTCGCGGTCGAGTTTGTGGTTATGGCCAAGTACATCGAGCCGCTCGCGGAGGGGCGCGGTGCGGCGGGGTATGTGCGGCTAGGCCTCGAGAAGGAGACGGCAGGCAGCCAGGCGGGCTGGTGGGGCGTGGGCGTGGGGTGCTGCATCGAGGAGGCGACGGCACGGGCGATTGTAAGCGCGAGCAACGTTGCGCTGGACCAGGTGTCAGCGGAGATGGGCTGCTGCAGGAAGGGGTTTTAGAGGCTCGGATGGACTGTATTTTTTGGTGTACGATAGGCAAACGGACCTCATACCCTTTACATTGTATTTTTATTGCACAAAAAGGATCTCTGTATCCTCACACTATGGCCATATGGGATGTATGCTCTTCATGCTATATAGACACACTCTTCGTCCCTTTTGCTTTGCTTGCATGGACAACTCAAGAGCACGACTCTGCGCAACACAAGGGAATAGGGGCTAAGAACGCATTCGGTCCGAACCGGTCCGAATGCACAGCCACCCCTATTGAGTGGATTCACTGCCTTCGACGCGCTCTACGCGTCCTGCAACGCTGATGAACTTGCGCGTCTATCTCTTACACCACCTCCGCCACATGTTGAGTCCAAGCTACGCTGGACATCCCTTCCTCTGCTTTCTGTGGTGACATAACGGCGACCTGGTTCCTGAGGCCTGAGTGTTCGCAATCTCGCGACTTCGCTGTGCTTTACATGGTTCTCTCCTTCTTTCCTTGACTTACCTGCCCAAGCACGGTGGACCCAGTGTCCAGCGTCGAAGCTGAAGCACAAGATCAAGATGATTGTAAAATAGCCTTCTCACCAATAACTGCTCCTACCTGTCATGCTCTTCGTGAAGATCTCGCGGTCGGAGGTCAGGCATGGAGGGATAGGTAGATCAAGATGTCATTGTGAGCAGACCCTCCATTTTGCATCTACAGGATGCAGGATGATGTGATGCAGTGTGCTCTGTGCTCACGATCGCGACACCAACTGTCTCTGACTTCGCGAGCCATGAATCGGACTATAGAGGAGATAAGGATGAATGTCGAGTCTGGCAGGGTGGGCACGGTGAATCTCCCCTTCGCAGTGCAATGTTTCCGGAGTTGAGGTTACTTCATCGGGGGCTTCTTTGTCTGATATAGCCTCTTTTCTCTGTTGTTTGCAATTATACATGGTCCCGTTCGTGGACCGTAGCTGACCTACAACGCAACCTTAGATTCCTTACCCTATGCTCTCTGCATAGCGTACAAAGATGTTCCGCCCAGGGCCGCATGGAGATTGGCGTGGTAGACCTGCTACCTTACCGGCCACACGTCCTCAGTCATCCAACTGCGGGGAACACCCTGTAATTCCCCTTCGAGCTGGCGGGCCTACCTTCAAGGGGTAACGCATTGCTCAAGGCACTCGTGTCTACCGGTGTTCTCGGGCTCAGTGCCACCGTGAGGTGACATGCGCCTAAATTACCGGCCCTCTTCTAGACCACCGACGCCGCTTATATCTGGGGACGGCGGGGGCTGGGCATCTCGAGACTCTGCCACTTTACTTTGTTATTAATCAACATGCCCGGGAACGCTACTATCAACGATGTGTCAGGTCAGATGTTTGATATCGTGGTTGTTGGTGAGTTAGGTCGTAACTACAAGTTGTTCGCGAGACTAATTATGTTCTCTCAGGCGGCGGAGTGAGTGTTACCGCTTGCGTATATCACAAAGGAACTCTGAGAGAAGGAGCATAGACTGCAGGACTCTGCCTTGCGGCCAAACTGAGCGACAATCCTAACCTGAGCGTACTTGTGCTGGATGCTGGGGAGGTCAGTGTCGATGATCCAAAGATTCGTAGGTGTTTGGCGTTTTCCATCCCTACGCAGGCTGACAGCATCACCTTGGGTCAGTTCTTCCCGGTCAGTACGGCGTTCACTTCGGTCAAGAAGAGTACGATTGGAGCTTCAAAACGGTGAGAGACACGTCCGTCTTCTAGCCCCTATCATTCACCTTCACTTTCAGACACCTCAAAAGTTCAGCAATGGTCGACAAGTCGATTGGAACAGGTAATTGCTAATTCTTGTCAGTATGACTCGCGCTAACGAGATTTACAGAGGAAAAGTCCTGGGCGGCAGCTCAGCTATCAATTTCATGTGTTGGACGAAGCCATCTGTTCAAGAGGTTGACGGTTAGCATCTTCACCCGAGGACTTTTGAGTCATAGCTTATCGGTGTGACGTAGATTGGGAACGGCTGGGAAACCCAGGCTGGAACTGGGCGAACTTTGAAAGACATTTACATGCTATTGAAGGGTAGGTGAGCTAACTATTCTCAATACAACGAACGACGATTGCTGATTAGCCCCATTGGCAGATACCATCCACCTTTGGCAAAGTCTGTTGCTGCCCATGGGCTGAACTTCGATCACTACAACCTTGGGAAGGAGGGTAAGTTCATGTGACGGATGGATAAAGCCTCGTATAGTACGCTAAGGCCCAAACAGGACCCGTAAAGCTGTATCATTGCGCGACTATCACCCGACCAGAGCGTTATGCATATCAGGTACAGCCACGTCGTCCTTCGTCAGATAGGTTTGCTCATGAAACTCGTGTAGACAGCTCTCAATCTGGGCATACAGCCTGCCCCTGCTCCAGTAAGCTATTTGCGATATATTACGGAGGTGTCTCTCTGATGCGACTTTAACTGAAGATGGGAGGAGACGTAAGTATACGAGTGCTTCAATGGGATATAAAGCTCACGTCTCCAGACGAATGGCGTGTACTTTGCGCCTAAATCCATCAACCATGAGGATTACACACGAAGCTACTCGGTGACGGTCAGTCTGAACTCTCATGAGACTACGCAGCTCTTAGCAGTCATCCTCTAGGCATTTTACGAGAAATACAAGGATCGTCCAAACTTCCGCGTGCTGACACGCGCGTATGTGACGAGACTAGTCACGTCGACAGGCGACAAGCTGAAGGCAGATGGTGTAGAATTCTCGTACGACGGTCGGATACATGTGGTTAAGGTTGGGAAGGAAGCGGTGTTGAGCGCCGGGTACGTCTTTGCTCATCGGACCCAGATCCCTACTGATCCGGTACTGCTCAGTGCCCTGAAATCGCCCCAAATCTTGGAGTTGTCCGGGGTTGGGAGAAGGGAGGTACTGGGGTCGATTGGCGTCCCTGTCAAGCTCGATCTGCCTGGAGTCGGAGAGAACATTCAAGAGCACATGTTCTCTGGAATGTCATTCGGTAAGGAATGGTTTGTCTACTAGTCCTAGAGCTAATGCTGTTGCAGAGCTGGCGGATGGCGTGGATGATATCACGATGGACGCGCTTCGAGACCCCTCCCAGCTCGCGGAACAAGCTCGACTCCAGTACGCGTTCCTCCTCTGCTTATATGCATGACCGCGCTGATACTCGATGCGAACTTGCAGTAAACTAGAGGAAGGCAGTCATACGCTTGGGATAACTGGCTTCGTGTTTGCACCAATGGCCAAGATCTCGGATAGAGCCAAGGAGTTGTACGATGCAGCGAAGAAGAAAGTAGCCGACAATTGGTCAAGTTATCCGGAAGGCCTGAAGGAGCAATACAAAATTCAGCTCGAACGCCTTGACAATGGCTGTGCGCCATGCGAGGTTGTTCTGACACCGGGATTCTTGACATTCCCAAGTTCGACTGTCATTAACTATGCAGGCGGCGAGACTGACGATGGTTGCGCTTTGCAGACCCGCCTGTTCCAGGAAAGAAGTACTTCACGTTGTTGTTCTGCCTTAACCATCCTTTTTCGAGGGGCACAATCGTGAGCCTAATCGCTTCCATCTCTGCGTATCAGCTAATGGGAGTGAAATCCGGTGTAGCACGCAATATCCTCCGACCCTGCCAAAGACCCCGAATTTGATCCTCACTACTTCGAACACGACTTGGGTAACTTTATCTAGCTTTACGTTCCTTATCGTCTCATAGCGGTTTAGATTTGCAGACGTTTGTCGAACTTTGCAAGTTTGCGCGGAAGATGAGCAAGACTGCGCCTCTCCGGGACTTGCTGAGTACGTTGTCTTCTCCAACATGCTTGACATATCTAAACCTCTCATGCAACGCTATCTAGAAGAGAATCCGGAGATTAATCCTGGAGTAGACGTCGACAGTGATTCTAAGCTAGGAGGTTGGGTCCTTCTTACGAACGGTTTCGATAGATATTTGACTGCCTTTTCTCCTAGAATTCATCAAGAATTATGCTTCAACTACTTTCCGTATGCGAATCCTTCCCCGATACCGGCATCCTGACTGACCCAAACAGACACCATTGGTAGCTTGTCTATGCTTCCCCACGAGAAGGGAGGAGTGGTAGATAGCAACCTCAAGGTTTATCCTGGTCCCTTCTTCTCAACATGCACCGTCTTATCCGTGTTCTATCCGTAGGTATATGGCACGTCGAACATTCGTGTGGCAGATTTGTCGGTTATCCCACTGCACCTTGCTGCCCATACTTTAAGTACGGATGTTTCACTGCTTTATCCAACGGTATCGCTGACTATCCATTCCTTAGGCTTGGCATACGCCATTGGATCGTATGGTAAGCTTTTGATTTCCGTGCACGATCATGTCGCTAACCTTTTCATAGGAGCGGAGATCATCAAGAACACGTTGTGACGTCCTCGAATGGTCCTAATTTCGGCTTTCTTGTTATGACAATTTTCTTCCATGTACTGTTCATATGAACCCCCTTTTGTCTAATGTCAACGGTAATCTGAAAGACATTTTCCAAGATTGCTGGTTCGCTGCATAATCACAGACCACCCAAGATAGGGGCAAATACCTAAACGGGCCACAACGAGCAAAATTAGCGTAGTCCGGCTTGAGCCGAAACGCGCCTGTCGACGGACGCGCTGGCTTGGACCTGCAACACCATTCTCTGATCGCGTCTGCTATCATGAATAGCTGTCTAGATGGAAGTCTACTTAAAGTCTCCTGTGCATTTTCCTCGTCGATTCTTCCAACATAAAAGTGGTTCATGACGCTCTTAGCTGCGACGTATCCCCGGAGCTAACACCCAGACAGCATTTATGCAAAGGATCCCACAGTCGGCGATATCCCTACATCTCTTTTAGATGCCGCGCCTCTTCCATGCATGCTTTCATCACTGTGCAAAAAGAGGGCATGGACCATAAGACTGGTACGTTCGGCCCGGCCATGGAATGTTCTCAGACCGCATCGTCCAAACGCAAGTCGGGTGTTCTGCTCGGATTAGACCCCGTGCATACTTTAGATGACATCAAACTCGTTCGGCCGGCAGCGTACCGAACTCTGCTGGGGGGGATACATATACAAGACTCACGCGTTTTGGAGAGATCTCCTGGACCGTCTTTAGCAATCAACCATGTCTTCCTCTTCAACCCCTAGAACGCTATACGACAAGATCTGGGACGATCATGTCGTGTAAGTTGCCAAACTATCTCATGCAAGCCTTGAGCTCAACTTTGAAACAGTCATGACAAAGGGGGTGGACTGGCTTTGATTTACATTGATCGGTGAGTTGCCTCTCAAAAGCGATCTGGCGCCTGTATTGACTGTCTCCATCAGTCATCTGGTACACGAAGTATCAAGCCCGCAGGCGTTTGAGGGTCTGTGAGTGCCTCAGCAATATCACCTAGGATAGTAAACCTCACGCCGACTCTTGTGAAGGCGAGATACTGGCCGCCGTTTGAGGCGTCCCGACTGCACCCTCGCAACGGTAGATCACAATGTTCCGTACGTCAAGGAGAGAGCACCTGTTATCGCGAAATCTGATTGCTTGCTGTTTTTACAGAACAGCGCCTCGCGAGGAGCATCTTGGCCTCGACTCCCTTGTTCCAGAACCGGAATCCCGCGCTCAGTGTGCGGCTCTGGACAAAAACGTCAAGGACTTCGGCCTAGCGTACTTTGGTATCAAGGACAGACGGCAAGGTACGTGGCGTTCAGGACAGAAGGGGCATATACCTCAGTGCTAATCTTGAATATACAGGCATCGTCCATGTCATCGGCCCTGAACAGGGCTTTACGGTAACTGGTCAACCTAACGCATCGGAACGAGATACTGACACCTGTTCTCTCCAGCTTCCTGGCATTACATGCGTCTGTGGCGACTCGCACACTTCCAGTAAGGATAGAGTGCAACGTAACGATGAGATCTGTACTCATCACAAAACGCACAGCCCATGGTGCCTTCGGCGCTCTCGCTTTTGGAATCGGCACATCCGAGGTCGAACACGTCTTCGCCACCCAGACCCTCTGGCAGCGCAAGTCCAAGAATATGCGCATTAACGTCGAGGGAACCCTTGCGGAAGGCGTCACATCCAAAGATGTTATTCTACACATCATCGGCCAGATCGGCACCGCTGGCGCCTCTGGCTGTGTCATCGAGTACGCGGGCACCGTGATCCGCTCGCTGAGCATGGAGGCGCGCATGAGCATCTGCAACATGAGCATTGAAGCTGGCGCACGCGCGGGCATGATCGCGCCCGACGATGTCACGTTCTCGTATCTCAAGGGCCGGCCGCTCGCGCCGAAGGGCGAGGTGTGGGATAAGGCGGAGGCGTACTGGCGGTCGATTGCGAGCGATGAGGGCGCCAATTTCGACATAGAGATCACGATCGATGGGGCGAGCATCTCTCCGACGGTGACGTGGGGTACGTCGCCGCAGCACGTTGCGCCCATCACGGGCGTTGTTCCCGACCCAGCGACCATGGAAGATCCTGCGAGACGCGAGAGCGCGGAGCGGGCGCTCAAGTACATGGGTCTCGAGCCTGGTACGCGCATGCAGGACATCGCTATCGATAAGGTGTTCATCGGTTCGTGCACGAACAGTCGGATTGAGGACCTGCGGTCCGCTGCCAAAGTTCTCGCTGCTGCTGGGGAGAACGCACGTGTTGCTCCAAACTTGCTTGCCATGGTCGTTCCGGGCTCTGGGCTCATCAAACAGCAGGCAGAGGCAGAAGGGATCGCGGCTGCCTTCCAGCGTGCCGGATTCCAGTGGCGAGAGGCGGGATGTTCGATGTGCGTCGGCATGAACGCCGACCAGCTCGACCCTGGGAAGCGCTGCGCTAGCACGAGCAACCGCAACTTTGAGGGCCGCCAAGGTCCCGGGGGACGCACGCACCTCATGAGCCCTGCGATGGCCACTGCAGTTGCGCTCACGGGCAAACTCACGGATGTCCGTAGCTTCACGCTTCCTGGCGCCGAGGCCGGGGCTGCACCTCTGTCTGTCAGCTTCGAGCAGCAGACCGGCGCAAACGCGTCCAAGACCGCCATTCGCGTGCACCACGATGCTCCTATACCTAGCTGGCCTGCCCCCGAGTCCGAGTCCGCTCAAGAGGATTCCGCTGACGGCGCCCAGAAGTCGACTGGGTCGACGCCAATGGAGCCGTTTGTCGTCCTCCGTGGACTTGCTGCGCCGATGCACTTGTCCAATACCGACACGGACCAGATTATCCCTAAGCAGTTCTGCAAGACACTCAAGCGGACAGGACTCGCCAAGGGCTTATTCTACTACCAGCGGCAGCACCCCGGCGTCGAGCCAGAACCTGGCGTCACCTTCCCCAGCGAGCCGTTCGTGCTCGACACCGAGCCGTATACACGCGCCAAGATTATCGTCTCTACGGGTGTTAACTTCGGTTGTGGAAGTTCGCGCGAGCATGCTGTGTGGAGCTTGTGAGTCGTCGTAACTTATTTCCCGTTTTGTTTCCTCGTAAGCTGACGACGACGATCCGCTGAACAGCAAGGACTTTGGCATCCGATGCATCATCGCCCCATCCTTTGGCGAGATCTTCTTCAACAACATGATGCAAAACGGTATGCTCGCCATCGTCCTCCCACAAGACGCTTGTCGCATGCTCGCAGGCGACGCAGAGCAAGGCCTTGAGCTCGAGGTCGACCTCGGCAAGCAGGAGGTCCGTCGCGTCGGACGCGCGGACGGTACCGCAGCGGTGTCGTTCGCAACGGAGGCATCGAGGCGTGACATGCTTCTCACCGGTGTTGATGAGATCGGGCAGACTCTTCAGCTCGAAGAACACATCGACGTGTTTGAGCAGAAGCGTGCGGGGAGCCAGCCGTGGCTTGGTGGGTTTAAGAAGAAGCGTGTGGATATCCCTACTAGTGCTTCGAGCGGGAGCACCGATTGGTAGAATTTCTAGTAAAGGCATTTGGACATCGGTTAAGTGTATTAGGATAGTTGTACGAACAGGATGGAGTGTTTCCGGTGATTTTTATATCGTAGAGCGGGACAAACCGATCTCATTAGCTACCTCAACCGATTCAGTATCAACACCTTGTTGATGACCAAGGCGGCACTAGTGCACGTTTGGTGATGTGACACGTGGCTTACTGGAAAAGGGGGTGTCGCGATCCAAGACGCGTCTTTTACTCTTCCAGGTTGCTTGAACAGTCATGCACGGATGCCTTCGTGTCCCTGAGCTCACCACCTACATCTTCTCGTTTCTCGGGACATCCGACAAAGGAACGCTCTCAGGCCTCGCACGGACATGTAAAGCATTCGAGGACACAGCTCTGGATGGGCTCTATTACGAACTACCATGCCTAGGCACGTTCTTCACATGCCTACCCCGGGACTTATGGGAGATAAGGGAGAATAGATTGGTGAGAGCTCACGCTGCCCCGTTATGTGCCCTGCTTTGACTCTAACTACTCATCAGACTTTCAATCGCTCCATGCTCATGAAGGATTGGACCATACTCAAGAAGCACATTCATCGGGTTCGCGAAGTGCAATGTGATCGCGTAGTGGTCGACGCGGAGGCCTTGTCCGCCGTGTCTTTCTTCTGTTCCGAGCACCTGTTCCCGAACTTAAAGGCCCTCGTTGTCAACAGCCCCGAGTTTCCAATGGCTTCTCTGCCTTTACTTTGCTCTCCTCACGTCCTTGATGCTGATCTTAACGAGCTTCCTCATAAGTTATTTCATGCTCTCCTGCTGCTTGGTCGAGCGTGCCCCTTCCTCAAGTCGCTGTATGTCACTCCGCTTCTTGATGAGGAATTGCAGGAAGAAACATGGGCCGAATTTGCCACAGTACTATCAGATGCCGTTACAAGTTTCTCGCATCTCCAGCGCTTCTATATATTCGTACCTTCCACCCCTGGCATTCTCTTCGATACTATCCTCCCATTATCCCAGCTTCCCTCTCTGAAGTCTCTTGTTGTCACTCTTTTAGAGGAACAAGTGGACCCTATACCAGCGCATCAAGTTGAGCGCATACAATTCCCTGCACTCAGATTCGTGGAAATCGCCACGACTGGTCCCGCCCTTGTGTCGTCTTTCATGCGCATGCTCTGTTTTGACGGCCTGTCTCGGGTATCGCTCTTCAAGGCTACTCTACAGGAGTTCCCGGAGAAAGATGAGCTACCAAAGATGATAGAAACTGTGGCCACACGTCTTTGCAAAGAAAGAATGCGCTCCATCCGTTTTCATCAGGAAATAGATATCGACGAACCTGTCAAGCACAGTTCAGGACCTCTCGATGCTTGCATGTTCAGTCCACTTTACAAGTTCTCGCAGCTGGAAGAGCTCGCCTTTGATCTTCTCGGCGGTCCCAGGATAGACGACGCGTCATTGGAGGAACTGTCTCTAGCGTTTCCGAAGTTACAGCACCTATATCTGAACATCCTTGTAGGGGCTGGCGAGTTCAATGGCGTCACCTTGAAAGGGTTAGCCGTGCTCCTTCTCAACTGCCCCTTCCTCGACTCCCTATCACTCGTCACAAACGTAACACCCGAAGCTAATGCGGAGTTCGACGCGTCTCCTATCGACGTTCGTAATACGCATATCATGAACCTCGAGGTGATGAACTCCCCGATCGAAGATTCTGGCTACGCCGCCCGTCACTTGATTCGGATGCTCCCCAACCTACGCGAGGTAGTGTATGATAGTCCTTTTGAAGCAAGTGCCACCGACGATGACATTTTGGAGCGATGGTCAGAGGTCGACAGCTTTCTGAGGGAGCATGCAGCAGCGAAGAACCCGTTTACAACGCTGAAATAGCGCCATACATATTGTATACCGAAAGCCTTCAAGTCATGTACTAGTTACGTAGCTGCATCATGATGAGACTGATAATCAGATTGTTTTACGCGAGACGTTAAGTGTCGCGACGCGTCAAGCGACGCGCCAGTTGCTTTCTCACGGTCCGACGCGTTTTTCACTGCAACTGCCATGCACCCGTGTCTTCAGGTCGCCGAGCTTACTGCTCATATCATCTCGTTCATCAGCCCGTCTACAGCTGCACTCACACATCTCGCGCAAACATGCAAAGCCTTTGAGGAACCTGCTTTGAATGCGCTTTACTATGAAGTTCACTCCTTTGGCAACTTTCTCATGTGCCTCCCCCAGGACTTATGGGAAAAATCGGGGAGGATGCTGGTGAGATTCATCCATAATGACACCTCTGCTCGGAATCTCACCGCGGGTCGCAGAACTTCAGACGTGCCATGCTTTTGGATGATTGGAAGGTCTTGCAGAAGCATGCTCGCCGCGTTCGTGTGCTTCACTCTGGCGGGACCATCGTCAATGCAGACGCGTTCTCGGGGGTCTTTTTCTTCGCTTCAAGCGGTCTCTTCCCCAATCTGAAGGTTGTGCATATCCCCGACGCCAATTACGCGTCATTGTTCAGCTCTTTGCCTCTGATATGTGGCCCTCGTGTAGTTGACGTCCGCGTCAGCAACATCCCCCCCAATCTAGTGCATGGGCTGACTTCGCTGGGGTGCCATTGTACATCTCTCAGCTCGCTATTCTTCTCTATGGAGTACCAATTTCGAGAAGAGGTCAACGAGAAGATGTATGGAGATCTAGTCACGGTACTGTCGGATGCCGTCGCAGTTTTCGTCCGCCTCGAAAACCTGCATATCCTCTTACCCACCTTCCGCATTCTTCCGAGACTCCTCTCCCCTATAACCCGACTCCCCTCTTTGAAGTCTTTGGTATTGGATCTCGATAAAGTCCAGGACGAGTCTTTCCCAATACAGGACACATCGCTCCCCCGGTTAGAAAGCGTCGAAATCATAAATGGCTTACCTGACCAGGTGTCAGACATCGTGTCCGGATTAACTGATCTGTCCCAGGTCCAACGCTTTCATGCCAATGTCTCAGATGCAACCGACGTGACTAAAGAACTACTTGATGTCCTAGCAGGGCGTCTTGCTAAGGATGCGGTCCGCTCCATCCGCCTTGACCAGTCCGAAAGCGACGCCGAAAAGGACGGTAATCCCGACCAGATGGTCCTGGAATTCGACACACTTCCCCCTCTCTTCAGATTCTCACAGCTCACAGAGCTCGTCTTAGATCTCATCACCGGACCGACAGTTGACGACAACGGTCTGGACGAGCTGTCCCTGGCGTTTCCAAAATTACGTCGTCTTCGGCTAGGCATGCTCCTGGGCATGTGTCCGGTCAACAGCGTCACGCTCAAGGGCTTTGCTTTGCTCCTTCGCAACTGCCCGGTGCTGGATCAGCTGTCTCTGGTCGTAGACGTTACACCCGACTCTAATGCCTGGTTTGACGAAGCACCCATCGCCGCCTGGAACACGCACCTCACGGTCTTACAGGTGATGGACAGCCCCATCGACGATGCTGTTTATGCTGTCCGTCATCTCCTTCGTATGCTGCCTTATCTGCGCCAGGTCATATCAGGCTGCCCTTGCGTAACTGGTGTATTTGAGGGAAATCCATTTGGGTCGGATGAGGATGAGGAAGATGTCCACGCGGACGGAGAACGTAGGCAATATTCCAAGTTTGTGGAGGACGATGAGGAAAGTGTGGACGAAGCTTACAGCCAGGCTTTACGATTGGGACGATGGGCAGAGGTCAACAGGCTGCTGGAAGAGCACGCGGCAAAAACAAATCCGTACTCGGCATCGTCGTAGTCGTGATGCTGTTTGTGTACTATGCTTATCAATGTCGGATGGCCCCTCACCTATGCGAGATAGTAATCGCTTGATTATGACCAAAGGTTTCTTGACAAACTTTCGGGCTTCCGATGTACGTGTTGCCTTCCATCAATGACTACTTAGGGGAAGGTCACGTCGGACGCCTTGGGTGAGACTGCGATGATGGAAGATGTTTTATACGAGTCTGAGAACTGACATGGAGGAAGCCATGGTGCATCGCAGACCGAGTTAATCAAGAGCTAGGGTCTTGATCGCGGAGCTCTCGTTATGTCAGGTCGCCCGATTCCATGGTTTGCCCCTCTGTGAGCCACATGTTGCGGCCCGCGTGTTTCGTCGCGTCGCATGCACCACGCAAGGTTGGGTGTCTCACGGTGCACGACGCATTCCTCTTCCCAACCACCATGCACGCCTGTCTTCGCGTCCTCGAGCTCAGGACCCACATCTTCTCGTTCCTCGGCCGATCCAACAAAGGAACGCTCTCAGCAGTAGCTCAAACATGTAAAGATTTCGAGGAACCTGCTTTGGATGCGCTTTACGAGTACATCCCCTGCTTTGGCAGCTTTCTCAAGTGCCTTCACCAGACCTTGTGGCAAACGAGCCGTCAGGAAGGTTACGACTGTCCTGGTATGCTGGTACGATCCTCTCGCAATACATATTGGCTTGGCCGGTAATCACTATTCGCAGAGTTTCCGACGCTTCATGCTGCCGAGCGACTGGCAAATCTTGCAGAAGTATGTCGGTCGGGTTCGCGAGCTGCACTTTATATGGAATAATAAAACCCTTTGGATTGATGATGAAGTGTTCAATTCCATATTCCTTTACTGTTCTGGCGCCTTCTTCCCAAAAGTGAAGATTCTCAACATGGAAAATATCAATTCCATGCCGCGATTTTTTCTTCCTCTGATGTGCAGCCCTTGCTTGGTTGATGTCCGTATCCTCTGCATCCCCTACAACTTTTCTCACATCATGCTTGTGCTGGGCCGCGCAAGTTTATCCCTTCAATCGTTGACCTTCAACTTGGAGTTGACTTATATCTCCGGGTCCGAGCTTACAGAATCATCAGAAGACTTTACTAATATATTGGTGGACGCCGTTCAAAACCTCAGCCATCTCAACACGCTGGAGTTCAACTTTCCCACCTATCCTATCCCCTGGAGGCTGCTTGCTTCTATATCCCGGTTCCCCTCGCTGAAATCGTTGACGTTGCGACATTCTGGAGGAGCAGAAACGTTAGAAGGGCCCGTTCCCATAGGGAGTGTCTCGTTCCCCCGCCTAGAAGAGCTCAAGGTTACCTCTTCCCGACCAGATGGAGTGACAGCCACTGTGTCTCGTTTGGAGGGTCTATCTCAGATTCAAAGCTTCGACTTCGCCGTCAAGGGAAGTGACATAGTCGATGCGGCTGAGACCGAAGAGATGATTGATCTCGTGGCCGAACGTCTCAGCAAAAACACGACCCGCTCCATCCGATTCAGCATCGACCAGCGCTATACTAGCGAAGGTGGTCGTCGCGTCCTAAAGCTTTCCACGCTGCGGCCCCTATATAGGTTCGAAGGTCTCATAGAGCTCATTCTCGAACTTGTCTCCGGTTTTAGAGTTGACGATGGTTCGCTGGAAGAACTGTCCCTGGCATTCCCGAAGTTGCGTCACTTCGAGCTACAAGACACGGGAGCGGTCATCAGTGTCACGCTCAAGGGCCTTGCTATGCTTCTCCGCAATTGCACGGCGCTGAGGCAGTTAACGCTGTTCATAAATGCGACACGCGAATCTAACCTGGAGTTTGACAAATCGCCCATTGAGGTCCAGAATATGGAGATCACAACTCTTAACGTGATGTGGTGCCCAGTTGACGCTGACGACCCCGGTTATGCAGCGGGCCACCTCCTTCGTATGCTTCCTTGTTTACGTGAAGTTCAGTTTAATGGCTGGTATGCTTGGATCAAAGCGTGGGCCCAGGTTAACGATTTGCTGGGAAAGCATGCGTTGAAAACGACACCGTGATGTTGTAAGTCTGGTTGCTGTACAGTATATGTTACCTGCCAACTTATTCTTGATTATCTGTCTGCAGCATAAATACGATTACAGTGTCGGCAGCGCGAGTACTCCGCACTTTAAAGTTCCCTACAATCTGCGCCAAAGTCAGCTCCGCGTAAACAAATTCCATTGATGCGGACGGTTCTTTACTCGAGAACTAGTAGTAGACCTTCAAAGCCCTCATACGAGACTGTGACTGTTTCCTCCCAGACGTGCAACGGTCGTAGCGGGCATGCGCTTGGGCCGAGAGTAATACTTGTAGGCTTGATGTTCACTGCAGGTTTATCTCTTGAATGGCTCGAACCGTAAATTTGTGAATAGTCCTCGGCAGTCGATCTGCAGTTGGTTCTCCCACTTTGGTGATGTGACTTTGACCCCTTTCGTAAGACAGTGTTACATCGTGGCTGCGCCCAATCGCCGAATGCCCACTTCATGTTCAAGTTTACCTCGAGGTTGGGCTTTCGAAGACTTAAATACTCGCATTTCGTCGATATTCTTTAGCAATCGATTGGTACTCGGTTCCCCCACTTCGATGGTGACCTTTGAACTCGTATGAGTACATGTTGTAGCCCTCACCGGCTTCGATACTTACAGTACTTGCAAGAGCAATGTCGTATGTATGCCTAACAGGCTATGATACTTACGCAAACAGCTAAGCTCGCTGGGTGCAATGTATATATAGATTTTGTAACATTGAAAGTTTATTGAATTGCATACACGGTATGACGTCTAAAATGCAGGATGGCTTGAAGGTGTACAGGTATATGCGTGGTTTTGGTTTGTCTGATACATCGTATGTCTACTCGGCGAGGGCGGCAGCGAGGGCCTTGCCGATGGCCTGGGCCGATGCAGGATTCTGGCCCGTGATGAGCTTGCCGTCGCGGACAACGTTCGACTATAGATTCAAGGAAAGACATTTTCAGCGCGTCTGATCAGCGACAGAAAAAGGGGAGAGAACGCACGAGCCAGGGCTTCTCAGCCTTGACATAGATACCACCGGCCATCTGGAACTTGGTCTCAAGGAGGAAGGGAAGACCAGTGACACCACCGATGAGCTCCTCCTCGACGTTGCTGAACCCGGTGTACTTCTTGCCCTTGTAGATCGACGTGCCATCCGCATTCTGGACGTTCACGAGTGCGCACGGGCCGTGGCACACGGCGGAGACGATCTTGCCTGATTGCCAGAACTGTGCGACCATAGCACGTATCTTGTCAGCAAACCGGTGGGATGGAGCGAGGAGGGAGAAGGAACGCACTTCGTTGCAGAGCTTGATGTTGTCGAGGTCAGTCGCGAGATCGATGGCGGGGCCACGGCCGCCGACGTAGAAGATAGCGTCGTAGTCGGACGCCTTGCAGTCTTTGAGATACTTGCACTCGCGGAGCTTCTTCTGTACGACGGGGTCCTCAAGGAAACGGAGCTGGTACTCGTCGTAGTGAAGCTGGACGACGGAGTTACCGTCGATGGGCGGGTTCGGGCCCTTGGTTGCGGCGAAGTCGATGTCGTGGTGAGGCTCAACTTCGTAGTAGGGGTGAGCAGCCTCAGGGAGGTACCAGCTGCAAACGACTCAGTGTTAGCGAAGGGCAGCGACACCGAGGTTGGTTGTGGGACCTACCCTGTGGGGTCACCGTTCAGGACGCGTGAGGCCGAGGTGAAGACGAAGAGAACGCTCTTGCGGCCGGGCATTTTTGATTAGGTAGGTGAAGTGAGGAGGGGTAGGGAGATTTATTTGGTTGGGTAGATAAGAGGAGCTGTGGAGAAAGCGATTGGATGAGTGACAAGTCTGAAGAGATTCGAACAATGTTTTATACCCGTTGTCTGATAGGTCTCTCGGTTGTACAGCAACGGCGACGCGCTGAGGCCCACTCTAGGCTGATCCATATCCCATTGCTGACTGAAGTTTGGATGCTCGTTCGTGTTGAGCGTGAGCATGCCGAAGGTCCTATCAGCCCGGTCTGCCGTGCCTTCTTGACGTCCGACAGAATCTGGCGGGCTTGCTTGAACTGGACAATGTATTAGGGGTGCGGTAACTCGCCCGATCTACCGGGCATTATCTTTCCCCCAAGAAGCGAGCTCGAGCTTGAAGGAGTAAGATGTGCGTTTATCGCAGAGTATCTTGAAGTTCTGCAAAGTTCCTCTTATGCTGCTTGGTGATTGTGCGTGGATGCGGGTGTGTGGATTGGGTAACGCATGGAGACTGCATGAGAAAGAATGAAAATGAACCACCACCACCTCAGCACAGCCATCCGTGTCAATCGGAGGCATTGTCAGTTTCCATTTGGGGTAAATAAATATTAAGATTCGACGCCACACCGATTTCGATCTCACTTGCCCGATGCAAGACGCCAGACAAATATTACTCTTCTGCCTCCATACGTACGCAGGCACAAAATTCGGTGATGCAATCAAAGAATCCAGATGCAACAAGTTATGCACGCCAGATAGTAGAGCCGTGACGCTGACTACCCTTGTCTTAATAATTTCAATGACGTACTACGGACTACGACAACTCTCACTGATCAAGTTGCGAGATGCCTTGCTTGTCCGAGACGTCAGACCCGTCACTGGACTACTAGAATTCCCATTCAAAGACTGAAGTAATGAGACTGACTTACTAACCCTATCAAATTTCAACCTTGAATTAATCGCTTGTCTACCTGGGAGTTGAACCAGGCTTGGAAAGTGCGGATAGTCCGCCGTTTTCCGACTCTTCGAAGTAAGCGTGAACATGCTCGAAAAGAGTAAAGAGAGTACAAACCTAAAAAAAATCAAGAATCAAAAATCAAAAATACCGATAAACACACTTATTGTTGATACCCATTTCAGAAAAAGACGGGAGCCTCTGTAGGCCATGGAAAGTGAAATATTTGAGTTTTTTACTTTATTTTTCCGACCACCAACCATGTCCACCAGTCCACCTAGCTGTCGAGCTTGATGGGGTGGACAGACATTGGATTCAAACCTTTTTCGCGCTGCTGCGATCTCAAGGTCGACGTGTTACCGTATATATCAGCAACCTAATACTTAGCGACTGTACGAGCGTTGGGTTAATGAACGGGTATGAACGGCTGGAACATTCCTTTTATCGGAAAAAGCACTGTCTAGCCGCATATGAAGAAGTTTAATCAATCACTCAACCGTTCCGCAACGAATGGTTGGACGGATGACTACACAGCTGTGTGCTCCAAGGTTACGACCTTTCGAGTTGCTAAGCTCGTCGAAGATGCTTCCAGCTCGGTGCCTCAAGACGCCGAGTACTTGCGCCCAAGTCGTAGGAAGATCTCAAAGATAGATAGGTGCACACCATTCTTTGCTTCGTATTGATCCGTGCTATGTTGGAGCTCGAGTTGCTCTGATGCCGCGTTGTCTCAGCGTATCAGGGCTACAACAAGGGAACTCGAAGGACACTCGCGACGCCGCTGCGAAGATGGTGCATCCCATAATTTCTGATTCCGGCGGCGACCACCACCGTGGATCTCGGATCGAGTCTTTGACAAAGCTCCCTCGTTCATACAACGAGTAGGGCGTTTCAGCAGGATCAGCACAGGATTGATATTAAGGAAGCCGCCACAGGTGCGTTCTCGACGAATGAGCAGCAGATTTATTCTAGCGTGCCAGTGGCTTACTGGTCACACAAGAAGCTCAAGCGCCCTCGACGGCGACTTGCACTGGCTCTGATCGCGGCAACTTACGATCCAACCCGGAGGCGTACTTATACACCCTTTGCAGACCTGTCTTGATCCCCAACCTTGTGGGGTATACTTACTGACGCTGTGTCGCGCTGAAGCCCTGATACGCTCGCTCCGTCCTATGCTCAATTTAAACGGATGAGGTATGAGCTTTTAGGAATAGCAGCGTCAAGCAAAGTTTCCATTTCAATGGAGTATGTTTTGTCAATGTTCGTTCTCTGTGTATTCCCGATGGGTTTCGTGGTCGAGTTGGGGGGCGGGGCGGCGGCGGGCCCGGCCCCCGCCCGGGCGAGGCACACGGAGCGCGATTGATGCTATGTTAGGGGTGATCGGTAAGCAAGTTCATTCAGAAGGGTGACATGAGCTAGTGACTGCGAAGGGTTGCCAATACAACGAACGTACGTGGCCAAAAGCCCAAATTCGCAAAGGAAAGTACCCCTTAGTAGATTATCGTCTCAAGCAACGAGTTGAGACTCTATCGCCTCTTATCGGACAACTTCGAAAGTGTCAGATTGCAACATATGCTCGTGAATTGCAAGAAAATGCGATGAATCTATACATGCTTGCGCGTATCTATCTATTGGTCTATCTTCCGTACCGATCAACCTATGATCCTATGCACATTCCCCTTCCATCCAACGTTCAAGGGAACACAATCACATTCCTCAACCGCGCCTTGTTATCCATCACCGCCTCGTACGCCTTCGCATACTCCTCCAGCGCAAACTTCGCCACAACACTCTTGATCCCCACATTCGTCGAGAACCTCAGCGCCTGCTCCGAGTCCGCGCTCGCGCCGCAGCACCACCCGCGCACGCACGCGCGGTGCATGTTCAGCCACACGTTCCCGACCTGCACCTCCCCGTCCATCGCGGCGGACACCATCGTCACCGTGCCGTTCTTCGCGAGCGCGGGCAGGATGCCCGTGATCACCTTGGCGTACGGCGCCGTGCACAGGATGAGCTTCGCGCCGCCGAGCGCCTGGATCTGCGCGACGGCGTCCGACGCGGAGGAGTCGATGTATTCTTTCGCACCGAGCGAGAGCGCGAGGTCGCGCTTCGACGAGCCGGAGGAGACGGCGTAGACCGTGAGGCCCATTTTGGCGGCATACTGGAGTGAAAGGAGTAAAAGGAGTATAAGAGTGGGCAAATCAAGGTTATTTTGGTGCGTGCGAGCACGGCGGATCTGGGCGTACCTGAACGGCGAGATGCCCGAGGCCTCCGATGCCCTGGACGACGCAGAGGTCGCCCGGCTTCCACTTGGACGTCCGGATGGCGTCGTAGACGGAGACACCGCCACAGTTAAGTGGGGCGAGCTCGGCGTAGTCGGCGTTATCGAGCGCGGACTCGGGGATCGAGACAAGTGCTAATTCACGTCGACTCGTCAGCACACGTAGCATCCTCGCATAAGACAAATATGACGAACCATTATAAGGCACTGCAACATATTCAGCAACACCGCCATCGAACGTGAATCCGGTCACATCGCCCTTCAAGCACGTCCAGTATTCGCCATCGCGACACGACACGCACGAGCCGCAGTAGCCGCCGTTCCAGCCGACGCCGACGAGGCCACCGAGCTGGAACCGCGCGTTGCCTGTCTGAACGAGCCCACGTGCCTCGTCGTCCTTTTGCATGGCGACGATGCCTTCGCCGAGCGCGGCGACGCGGCCGACGATCTCGTGCCCCGGGATGCGCGGATACTGCAGGCCGGGCCAGGTGCCCTCCTTGACCCAGCGATCCGAGGCGCAGATACCACACGCGTGTACGCGGACGAGGACCTGGTTTGACCCGGGCTGCTGGAGCGGGAGCTCCTTAACCTCCCAGGGCTGGTTAGGCCCTGAGATGCTGACTGGAAGAAAAAGAAACAGTGAGTAACATAGTTATATAAGAGGTGAAACAGGGCAGCGTTTGGAGAGATGCTTACTGGCTTTGAAAGTTTTGGGAAGGTTGTCGAGGCTGGCCATGTGGAGAGAATGAAGTGTGGGCCTATCGATAGATGTCGAGGGAGAAGCCAGGGGCAACGAGAGAGAAGCGTACAAGGAGTCTAGAAGGTGGATGAGTGTCTCCCAAATGAAAATTTGTCGAGTGGAAGAAGAGGGAAATTAAACAGACAAGCAATACCCGGTCACTTGTTTTAAACCCCTCCGCAACTCACTCCCGCTCTTATCCATGGTCACTCATTTTGCAACGCGCTGTGCACGCAAATTGTGGCTTGTGAATTGAACTCACCTCATCTCCGCCCATGGTGCATATCCCCGGCCTTGAGTTTTTCCCAGAACTTGATGATGACAAAGTAGACAATCTGAAGTTGCGCTGATGGTGTATACGTATCCCAACGGGGAAAGAGAAGAAGGGACCCGGTAACTCAGTCACTGATAGGGTTCACCGAACCGTTGGGAAAGGGGGATACGAGATGCTCACAATTTGGTGAAGTGCCGATTAGCGTTGATGACTGTGCCTCAGCGCACATCCAAAGCGGTCCGGGGTGCGAACAAAATGGTTCGCAGCGATTCAAGAGAATCCCGGTGCGATTCCGAAGCTGTCGCGATTGATGGTTGTAAACGGCGACTTTGGATGACACATAGAACGTGTTCTGTCAAGTATAATGATATGATTTGACAGCGTCACCCTTTGCAATGTGTGGACGGTGCCGAAGGGGCAAGGGATCGGAGGAACGAGGGAAAGCGCTGAATCCGAGAAAGTGGACGGGCTTCCAATTGGAAGCAAAGTATCATATCATTTGAACCTGGCGGCGGTGAGGAGGAACCGATCAGCATATACCCAGACCTTGGAATCCGAGGGTACAGAAGATGATATGCTCGACGCGCTCTTGGAAACGCGAACATGTAAGAATCCAGAAAGAAACACGGTGTAGTGGGTCATTGGACACACGCGTCATTGTCTGCTAGACAGATCTTCCAAGAGAAGATGGTCGTCCCTTCAAGCCACACGCGCACATCAGCGGGGGTAAATGAAAGTCCGCCCGGCGCTCGCCGCCGTGTGGTTGGCTTGCATAGCCTCTACACCCCGGCGAGCATCGGGCGTCTACTACTATTTCACCCCATGTTCTGAGCACTGCCAGGTACTATCTCAGTCGCGCGAGGCTGCGGGGGCACAAAGAGCACCCATGTACGCACCGAGTCGTTGGCACCATTGTCATGACACATCGCATTTACAGTATGACGTAAAATTTTCATATCCGTGGGCACCAAGTCCCGGCGGCTAAATTCTTACGCAGCCAACCTTGCAAGCAGCTTTCTGGATTCATAAGACAAAACAGGGAAAACCAGTTGCTAAGTTATCAAGCATCATTATCACACTTCAGTGTCCTTTCTCGCAATGGCAAGTTGAATGAATCAAAGTGAAGATTGATTGGTACAAGTAATGATGATGTTCCTAGTACAATGCTATAAACTGGAGTCCAAAAAACAGTGATGGATGATAAATGAAAATCAAGAGTGAACCGTTCTATGTCGCATGCAAACCGTCCCAGTGAAACAGACACAATAACCACAATACTCCACTTTACTTCGTGATAAACCCAACCTCCCGCCAATACGACACATACTTGCCCCACAGGCTCTCATCCAGCGGTGGGCACTTACCCAGCGAGTTCGGTGCGCTCTCGAGCGTCCGGCTGATCTCGAGCATCAGCGCCTTCTCGCCCCTGGCGACGAGGTCCGTCTGCGCCTTGACAAACGACTCCTCGATGTATCCCTCCATCTGGAGACACGGGTTGCCCTCGTCCGCGAGGATCGCGTCCCACCACTCCTGCAGCGGCACCGACTCGAGCGCGATGCCCGTCGAGCGCAGGCAGCGCGCCATGTCGTCGTAGGTCGCTGCGTGCGGGTTCGAGATGTGGAACACCGATGCTGAGCCGAGCGGGCGCTGTTGGAGGGTGAGGTCGACAGTTGACATCGCAGCGTAGTCGACGGGTGTCCAGTCGAGCGGGCATTGCGGGGCCGAGGGGAACTTTCCGATCCGAGCGCTGCCTGCGATGATGCTTGGGTTCATCTCTGCCGTCTGTTGATTGTCGCAGTTCCGTCAGTCACTGCGGAATAAAAGCAAGAGAGAATACATACCTTCCAGACACCGGACTGAGTGTCCCCCGAGATCTGGCCGATGCGGGCCATGGAGCAGGGGATATTGAGAAGCTTGGACGCCGCCTCGATCACATATTCACAGACGAACTTGGACTCGCTGTATCCATGCTGGGAGACAGGGATATACTGGTCCTTCGTCCAGGGCGGCAGAGTCTCAGGTGCAGGGGTCTCCTTCGACTCCATGATCACTCCGATGCTCGAGATGAAGAAGAACTGTTTGGGCTTCATGAACGAAGACAGGAGCAGAAGCTGAGTAGTGCCTGTATGAGAAGTGAGAACGAGTTCACGAAACCATCTGACACGTAAACTTACCACTCAAGCAATCGCGCTCGAACTCGCCCACAACCTGGTTGAAGTCCATCTTCCACGCCGTGTGGATGATAGCCGTCAGGTCCGTAGCAAGCGCCAAATACTCCTCCTGAGCGAGGTAGGGGTTCGCAAGATCAAACGGCAGCACAACAAGCGGCTGTGCGGTCTTCACCGCCGGGCCCCGACTCGCCAGCTGCGTCTCCTTCCACGCCTTGCACTGCCCTGCAAGACCACCAAGCTCGGCCTTCTCGAACGCCGCCTCGACCTTGTCCCACGCGGCACCGACGTCCTTCGCGCGGAGCATGCACACCACGCGGCGCACATCCGAGCGGTCAAGGAGGGCCTTGACCTGCCAGATGCCCAGCGAGCCACCGGCGCCGACGACAGCGACGACCTCACCCGCCTGCGCGGGCTCTTGCGGCGTGTTGCGGCTCGCGAGCACAGCAGGCGCGGCGATGCGCACGTGCTCGATCTGGCGCTGGATCAGCGATGCCAGCGTCTCTCCGCGGCTGGGGCCCGCGGGGACGACCACGACCGGCGCCGTGGAGACGGGCTTGCTACCAGAGGGAGTAACGGAGCGCGAGGCGACGATCGCGTAGATGGCGGTGCTCAGCGCGTCGAGCGACGCATTCTGATAGATGAACTGCGACGAGAGTTTGATGTCGAACGCCTTGGAGAGCGCCTTGCGCAGCGCCATCGCAGTGACAGAGTCAAGCCCGAGCTCGAACAGACTCTTAGCGCCGTCGAACGATGCGGGGAGGGCGGAGGCCGTCTTAGCGATCACAGCGCGGAGCTTGCTTGCGATCTCGGCATCGGAGACTACCCAAGTCGAGGTGGAGCTTTCGGGCTCTGAGTCGGCGGAGGAGCCGTCATCCTCGAAGTTGCGGTAGAGCGCGTCGATTTCGTCTTTGAAGATGACGAGGGCTTTCTTGCGGATGCAGTTGCCTGATACGATGCACAAGGTCAGTGACTGGAAACAATTGAAGCAACTGTAGACGACGTACCCTTGTTGGTACGAGGAATCTCCTTGGGGTAGTCTAGGGGAAGAATCATAACCATATCCTCAAGCAGCCTCGAGTGGCTCGGTGCGTCCTGGTTCGCCTCCCGGATGAGCTTGTGCACGGCCTCGACGCGCTCCTCCTCCGTGAGCTCGAGCGCTTTCGCTTTGTTCAGCTGCACAATTGCCGCCGTGACACGCTGTTGGTGCCCAAAGATGGCAATGCACTGAATAAGGCGCGTCTCGCGGCAGAACGTCTCCATCGGCACCGGGTTCGTCTTCTCGCCTGTTGATCATCACCCCGCGTCAGCCCCGTCTCACCCAGCCGCGCAAACACCGGAAGGCACTCACCGCTAACATGCACGAGAATATCATCGTCCCGATACATCAGCTTATACCACCCCGAACCGGGCGGGCACTCCTGCACAACATCGCCCGTGTTCCACGTCTCCTCGCCGGGCTTGAGCACACCCGGCGCCATGCGCACGTCGTCCGCGGGAAGATGCACCTGATAATAATGGCTGCTCTCGACACTGCCGTCGCTCGCGTCGACGGGCTTGAACACCATGCTCGTGTGCGGGAACGGGCGGACCGAGTTCCACGAGTCGAAGTCGTCCCGCGCCGAGCGCGTGTGGTCGCCAACCATGAGGTGGCCCGTCTCAGACGAGCCGTAGATGTTCTTGAGGTTCACGCCGCGCGAGACGAGGTTGCGCGCGAGCTTCTCCGGGCAATGCGCGCCGCCCACTGTGATCTTTGTCAACACAAAGGCACTATAGTGAATACTGTACAATACGTGCGACTTACCGATGAGAAGATCGAGGCTGGCGAGACAGTCGAATGGGTCCTCCGTCTTCTCGTTCTCGAGCGCCTCCGTGACCTGCTCAAGCATGAGCGGCACGATGACGCACGTCTTAACACTAGCAAGGCGGAGCGAGCGGATGAGATCGGCCGTCGAGACGGGCCACGAGCGCGTCAGGGGGAACACAATCGTGCTCCCCTCGCAGATCGCGCCACCCAGCCCGATCGTCAGCCCCAACGTGTGGAACCTATCAATAGCAAAGATACCAAAGCGTCAGCAGGCCAGCCTCAAGCTCCATCTCGCACATAACGCGGACGGATGAACAGATAAGCGGGCATCGACGTACAGAGGACCAAGGCACAGGAACCTGTTGCCCGAGTTGGCGAACGCCGACCAGCCGCCGTCCGTAAGCATGACCTGGCTGTTACTGAGGAAGCTCTCGTTCGACCAGCGCACTGCGCCAAACAACCCTGTTTCAACATGCACGTTCCTGTATCATGCTAAAGATACGCACCGGGTTTGGGGAATTCTGTTGATCCCGAGCTGTGGACGATGATAGGAATCGCAGGGTGCGCGGGGTGCAGGAGCTCGCTCGCGTCGAGCGCATGACCTGCAGGCGCAGGCTTGACGCACTCTGCCACGTTGATTACGAACGCAGGGATGTCCGCCAACGAAGCCGAGGCAGAGACCTTATCAGCATGGTCGGCAGCATGCAGCACGGCAGCGACCTTGCACGACTTGAGCAGGTGCGCCACGGCGGCTTCGGAGTTCTGTAAGGGATAAGTATCAACGATATGTTAGCACAAGGGCACCGGAGGGGCGACTTTGAACGAATGACGTACAGCAGGTGCCAGCAGGAACGCCGTCGCGTTAAGCTTCATGGTGGCCATCACCAGAACGGCAAGGTGGAACCCGCTCTCGAAGAGGAGTGCGATCGTGGGCGCCTCCGACGCGTCGCGCCCGTCAGCGCGGGCAAGGACAGTGTCCTTCAAGCGCGCGGAGAGGACCGAGGTCTGGTAGTCGACCATCCTGGCGAACTCGCGATACGTGACCTCGGTGTACGAGATAGACGCGGCCGGGTCGGCGGGGATGGCGGGGTACGCGGCGAATGCATGGTCTGCAACGGCGGGGTTGACCGCTTGCTTGTCAAGCACGACGTTGAGGGTGGGCGTGTCTGCGATCGAGTGGGGCGTGTGCTTGAAGAACCGATCAACCGTTCCCGGCTCCGAGATCTCTTCGTCGGCGGACTCCTCGTCTGTGGCAGCAGACGTCGACTCGGTTTCGGCAGTGGCGTCCTTGATATGAAGCCATTCTTCCCCAAGCTCGAACATGCGGCGATCAGGGAAGACCTCGGTGATGTTGCAGAAGTAGCCCTCGGTCTCGAGGGTGTACGTGCGGCGAAGCTCGCGCATCCCGTTGGCGATGTTGGTGCTCACCGACAAGAGGTTAAACTCCGGCTTCCTGCCCAGCTCCGCAAACGTCTGCCCGATGGCGAATTTGCGGTCGAGCACGAGACTCTCCACGTAAGGGGTGGTGATGGTCACGGTCGAAGTCGCAACACAGGCCAGTTTTGAATTGACCATGAGGTGCACTTCACGTTCCTGAGTGATGGGCGTCTGCAGCGACGCGGGCTGGACCCGGGGCGATGCATGAGTGTATATCGGGATAACGGTGATAGGTTGGGCCAGGAAGCAGCTGGCGATAACGGAAGCGATGAGCAGCCGACACGAAGAGGTAGTGGAAGGTGAATACTCACCTGAGGAGCCTCTGAAGGTCGCCTCTGGCAGCGAGCATGATCCTCTCCAAGCCGGAGACTTCATCCGCACAATTGATCTGTGTTTATTTTAAGCAAACCTAAGAATTAATGAAGTAGTGAAAGCCACTCACCGACACCGTCGTGGTCCCAGCGCCGAAAGAGTCTTTGACGAGCATGTTGGTGGTTGAAGGACGAAGGAAGAGTGCGAAGGCAGATAATGGATGACCTTAGTAGGCGGAGTGAGTTGGCCGAGTCCAAAGAAATTGGTAGACTTAAGTAGCGAAGGTTTGATGTATGGCGTCGGAGGCCGTTCCTTGTTTCAGTTAGCCAATGGCAGCGGACTGAAGAGCGCTTTGGGGAATCTCCTCCAAGCGGTCTGGTGTCGACGCACAAAGCATACTGCCTTTCTCTGAGTGACCGTCCGTCCGACTATGAGAGCTCCGGAGGTCTGGCAATAACTCCTTCGGCGGAAAAGGCCAAAAGGAGTAGGTGAGACTGGAAGATCCTGGTCACCTCTATATTTGCCCGGGGTTCCCCAGGTCTTGTGCGTATCTAGGTTCAATGTTCAGCGTTCAGCCTTGGCTCAATTGAGCAGAACCTTGCCTAAATATTCCAGCCTGAAGAACAAGCACTACCTCGTGCATATTCTGAATGTCACCTGGGCGTTTGTTTGTTTATGCTTGACGGCACCTTATCTCCGTTTGACAGGCTCGGGTCTGAGGTTAGGGTTAGCGCTGTATTATCTTCCTTATCAGCCGGAGCGCAGGGGAGCAATTGACATCGTCTACTCGTGAATTCATTGATGAGAATGGTTAGAAGAACGCACAGTCTAGAAGCAACGGATCTGAGGTCGCTGTGTGATTCAGGCCGAGTGACGTCGTCCCCTTAGTTCTGGTCGAGCCCAGCCTCCCGTTCACCCCGGGTGAGATGAGAATGTATCAGACTCAGTTGAGACGCAGAGTCATTCATTGGTTCTCTATCCTGTCTAGACGATGCAGCCCTTGCCAGAATCGCAGCAGAGATAGGTGGATTACTTACACCTGTCAATGTACAAAGCTCTTCCGGTTCCTAGCAACGCGGGGGGGATGAGTCAAGGACGACGCGGAGATGGTTCAAGTTGAACCCGAACGGGAATGCGGCCGTAGTGCTCCCGGCCAAGATTGGGCAAGCGACTACCCAATTCGGCCATTCCCGACTCGGCCGGCCGGCCCCCTATCCGTGCTCAAGATGTCCAACGACGATCAAGCGCGCGCATCCTGTGGGTGCCCTCCCCCGCTAACCGGATTCGCATCAACTTTGACGTCGTGTCTGTTCTCACGGGCGCTCGTATCTTCTATCAGCTCTCAGTCAGCCAGACAACGAACGGAGCAAACAAGCAACGGCACTTCGGTGACGCAATCGCTTCGGTTCTCTAACCAATTGGAACGTTCACCGTTCGACAGAAGGAACCTCGGAGAGAAGAACGATGTCCGTGTGCAGTAGTCCCGCTCGCCGGTGCGCCACGCTGCGTGGGCGTTGAGCGCTGATCGACCGGCTGGCAAAACAGACCAAGATGGAACGAGATGGAACGAGATGGCCAGACAAGTTTAGGCAAGGATCGTCAGGCAAGGGGAAACACAACATCTACGCAAACTCTATGGCTTCGATGACTTCTGGATGTGATGACTGGTGAGTGCCTTGGAATGATTGAGGCGCGTACACCGCCTGAAGCCCACAGACTTCGGCGCGCGAACTGACTGTGCGCACAAATTCGGCATATCCATGTCCCCCTGAAGCGTCAAGTAAACGGTCATCCATATGTTCACCGTGGTTCATGCTGTAATTTCAGGATCCCGCGCCTCAGCTTCCTCTTCATAAAGAGCCTCTGCTCCTTGATTCATTGTTGTGACCCTGTACACGCGCTGCACGCCACCATGACAAGCGGAAATGAGACATTCCCTATCAACGCAAGCGCTTATTCCACGCGTTCGTCGAAGTAACTTGTGCTGATATTTCTAATTCATGTAGCAGCAGGCATTCAGAGACAAGTCAGGTCTCGAACGTGTCGTGCTCGCCAACCGAGGCGACTTGCAACGTCTACTAAGGTGAGAGATAACCCAGTGCCACATTCCTCATCACCAGCAGGAGTACTTTCTGACCTGCTCTATCGCATCGACTTTCCAGCTGCTTTTTTGGCCAGCCCATCGGCTGTGAAATCATCTACACCAACACCTCTCCCCGCACACAAACCGCGTCGCCCGAGTTCCCCATCACACAAATGCGCCAAGTACGTCTCACCTGCGGCCCCCGCACCGTCTGCACAGCAACGTCAACCGTCACCATCACCGCGCGCGAGCCAGAACGCCTCCTGCTCGACGAGAAGTATCCCCTCGGGCAGATGTTCCAAATGCTCCGCGGGCGCGCGCCCGCGTTCTCGCTGCTCAGCGTCAGCACGGCGCCCGGCGTAATGAGCGGCAAGGAGGAGCTGCAGCGGATATACAAGCTCGAGGCGGACGGCGTCGTGTGCGCCACGCTCGAGGTCTTCCCAGATCGGAACATGTTTGCACTGGGCGAGGCGTGGCTGCGCGACGACGAGGATCTGATCATGCAGCAGCTCGGTGTGGACCTGGCCGCGTCCGGGGGGCTCGCATCGCTCTCGACGATGCCACTATCTTCGGGCTAGCGCTAAGCTCCAGCTGATCGTGATCGATGCGCGGCTCGAGATCTGGTTTCTCTCATGGACGGCTTTTTTGGCACTACGCACGGGGACAGGCGATGCTTGTACGATTCATCAGGTGTACCATATACGGATCCTCAAATGATACCACTTTCTTGCATTGACGGCGCACGTACACGCGCGCCCGTCCAAAGTATTTTTACATAGCATCATAGTCATTAATAGATGCATCATATCGTAGTTATGATAATCGGAACACTTCTACTCATTCAAGAATACTCTCACAGTTGTACGCGCGTGCAGACTAGCTGGGAATGGTGTCTACGCACTTAATCTCAGACTTGCCACTGGGCCATACAAACTTGATGGGCGTAAAGACGAATGAACATCGTGCGCGTGACAGTCAGCTGGTAACGCTAGAACTCGCGAACACTCTAATGCGCAAGACCAGTGGGTCGTCGGAAATGAGTTTCTGGGATTTTTGGAGTGAGCCTGCGACGTTTTTGACAAGTCTTCAGACTGAAACTTTTTTCTTCTGGGATTTGTGTTTCTATCCAACGGGACCACACGTCCCATGACTGAAAATACAGCGTAGCTACTAGCTACGGACTGAACCTTAGTTATAGCCGACTTTCGAAATTCATGCAGTGCGCCAAGTAAGTTCCCAGTTAATATTCCCCACTATCGGATTAAGCTAAGGGCATTCGCATTGATAGATCGGAACAAATGCACACGAGCGACCTGATCGGTCGTGGGTTCATGTAATTTCTGCGCCACCAAGAAGCTCTACAGGAAGTTGTCATTGAAACTCCGCCTGGCACGGAATTTCCCGGTCGGGCTTAAGCTTCTTGGGTTTCATAGAACAATTGAAGACTAGAACGCATCTATATCCAACACGCGCCCATGTACTACAAGATGAAAACTCTACACAACTATACGACTACTTATTCCAAACGAGGTATTACAAGTTATATGCTGATGCTGATATCTGTTCAAATTGGGAAAACCCCAGCGTTTTACTCTACAGCAAACTCTACTACAACTCCCGGAACGCGAGCTTGCAGATCTGCACGTAGTCCTCGCGCGTGCTGTGTGCCGCGGGAGTCTCGAACATGGCCGAGTACGTGTGCGTCGTGCCGGCGTAGAGGCGCATGTCCATGCGCACGCCGAGCTTCATGAGCCGCTGCGCGAACACGATCGCCTCGTCGCGGATGCAGTCGATCTCCGCGATCGCGATGTGGTGCGGCGGCAGGCCGCGCAGCTGCTCTTCGGACGCGTAGGCGGGGAAGCCTTCCCAGTTTGAGGGCGCATTGAGCCAGTAGAGCGCGTCCGTGTTGTTCTTCGCGGTCCAGAAGGGCGAGGGCGAGAGCGGGTGCTCCTGGTCCATGGACGGGTAGAGCTCGGGGCGGTTGTCGAGGATGGGGTTGTCGAGCAGGACGAGGCGCGGTTGGATGCCCGTGGGGTTCTCCTGCTTGTGCCGGATGGTGGCGATTTCGGCGAGGATGGCGCCGCAGGACGTGCCGGCGAACACGAGGCGCTCGGGGTCGGCATTGACGAAGGAGAGGCCCTCCGTGCTGGTGAGCCATTGCCAGATGCGGTACACCTGGTTGTGGGGAGTGGGCCAGGGGTCCTCAGGGGAGAGGCCGTACTCGAGAAGCACGGTGGCGAACCCGGCCTTTGCAAAATGGCTGGAACATTCGATGAGCGTCTACTTGTAGATCCGTCGGGAGAAGACTACTCACATGTTGATGGGCATGCGGGACTCAGGAGTGCCGATGATGAAGCCACCACCCTGGATCCAGAGGACAGTAGGGGTCTTGCCAGTGGTTCTGGCAGGCTTGACCACGATGACACGGATGCCGTCGACGAAGGTCTGCTCTACGGTCGCGACATCTGGAGAAGGCATGTCCGGTGCCTTGAAGACTGCACCAGCGACTGGACGAACACCTTCATTGGGGTGGACGGAGACATCAAACTCGGGGAGTCCCTTGAGGAGAGGCTGGAACTCCTTCAGAGGGTAGGAGAGATCAGCATCTTTGGCGAGGAGTGACTTGGGCATAGCGAAAGATGTCTAGGTGGGTGGATATGTGAGCAAGGTGAACTGAGGGATGTGAGGTCTGCCCATCGTTCAAGGTTCGACTTTATAAGTAAAGATCGTGATCATGATGATGTGCCGCTCATGATTGCTGGTTTTCGGCATTCAGCGCTAAGATTCATCCGCACATGACAAAGACGATGGTTGATTTTGGAAGTTGTGCATCCTGCGATATGATGTTCCTACTACTGTCCGATTCACCGTACCCTCTTGTTGACGAACTCTGCTCTACAGGGGTCTCCCCAAGATCTCACACGACATAGCCTGTTGTTGTGAGACCCGTCGTCAACGGAAACCCACATATCCTGGCGTGGAAGCCAGAGCTTTGGTGGAAGTTAACAGTCTGGGGAAAGTAACAGACGTAACGAATTTTACCAACGGTGACCTTTCAAATTCGATTGCAAACCCCGTGATTCTACGGAACCGAACTGAAAGCCGACGTGAAGCTTCCTTGTTCCTGCTTCACTTGGGACTTCTGCAACATGTTTGCAACACGTTTCAGCTCGGCGGTCGCTGCAGCCCGTGTGAGGACACGGTGCATTATCTCCTGAGCACCAGGTAGATAGCTAACATATCGCCGCACCGTCTGCGAACTCCACATTGGATTTTACAGGAGACTTCTTTACAGATCTCGTTTGACGTGCAGAACTTGGGAATCTGATGGGTTCTCTGGCGAGACCGTTCCGCCGGGCACGCCACCCGCTTCTCAGGAACGCATCTCACTTCCTAATCTCAGAGCACCGCCCCAGTGTTCTTGAATTCAGAATCAGACACTTTCATTGGCGACCGGGCTCCGTCTCAGCGATTTTGAAAGTTGTGGGTCCTCCGATGTCGTGTCAGCTACCACCGTGGGACTTACAATGAGGCCCTGGGAAATCCCGCTGTGACCGGGTTTGCATCGGTCTGCAGGTACATTGCGAGATACGGTCCTATTTTCATGATATGCCGCGGTACTCCAACTCACTACAACCCTGCATATGCTAAGTATAGGAGCATACTTCGGGAAGAAAGTGGGTCCGCGCGTCGATGAACAGGCCTAGGCGCCAGGACGAGGAACGGTGAAGACTACCACACTGGCGGACCTGATTAGTCCTTCCTTCGGGATAAGTCCGGCGGCAACAACTGGACAAAGTGCGCGGGAGCATCTTGCCATGTCGAGCCTAGCGCGAGCTGTCGCCACACCTAATCCCGGCGGTTTAGTCGCTAGATGCTTGTGAACATCGTAGCGCCACATTGCTTCTGCAATCGCCAACATGAACATTTGATGCAAAAGATATCATCCTTTGCTGGGTCGGCCCGTGGTGAGTTAGGTAGTTGGATGAGCCGGTAACCATACTAAATCACCGAAGGACGAAGACATCCAACGTGTTCGGCTCGGATTCCGTGTACACGCATCATGCTTCCCAATGCCGATCCTCACTTGTGCCCATGTGCCACACTTGCGGAGGAAGTTAATATACAGAGATACTTACCCCATCTGCGAGATCGCTGTGATTACTCACTGCATTTCAGAGCAACGTCATCTATCAGTTATGCACTAGGGCTTGCGGGGTAAGTAAGTCCAGTGCATGTCTCCCACCACGGCGACAATGTACAGTGCGCCTCTTAATTTCCACAACAAATCAACAGAGCGATAGTTTGACAAACCAGCTGATATACCAATAGTTTGATGAATGCGACGAGATTTGGCAAATCTAAGTCGCCGTCGACCAGTGCGGTTCAGGAAAAACCCGCCGGGATGACGTACTGTAGCATTCTGTATTACGACGACAGGAAGTTCACTTGTCTGGTCAGCAACGCCTCTAGCATGCGTAAGCTGATTTTCCTCGAGTCGCAGTTTGCGATTTTTCCGCCGAGCGACCCTTTCAAACGACTCAGTATCCCCATAAAATCGAACGCGTCCTAGTCACGGTGAAAGATTGCTCAAGGATGAACATGTTTGATCATTCACGGAGAGGGTGGCTGAATGATCTTACGGTCGAGATGCTACAGACCCCTAGGCTCCTTCTCTGCTCACGAGCATGATGAGTCAGTGAGTACACGTACACGAACTCATGGCGAGCGTGCCAATAAAAATGGTCGCACTATGGTGAGAATTAATGGATCGCGTAGATCAACGGTCGGTCAAATTTTGCGAGGGGTCATCAATGCGCAGTGATGCCCACCGAAACGCTCCATAGAGTCTCTTTAGGTCATAAAGCGTTCTAGAGCAAGCATTAATATTACACATGAACACCCAACGACATTGCTATGCCACTACCACTCGAGCATGCTGATGAACGGAGACAACACGTCAGTTGCCGAAATGGGATCATTAAAAATCACGGACAATTATCAAGAGACATGCCATTGCCGAGTTTTGTGAGAGCACAGTTTGACCTTGTGAAAAGACGTTGCGAGAAGCCGTTGGACTTACGCTCCGTGATGCCGTCAGGATGAGCTCGGGCTAGCGCTCCGAGTCGGAAATAGGCTGAGCTCAACGAAATGGTAATACAAAGTCGCGTGCCGTCTTTTCTGCTTCAACGGGATTGTCTCAGCAGGTGTTCATGAAGTTTTTTTTTGCCGCGTAATTGCACGGCTTGCTGACATATTGTTACCACCATCGCTTTGCAGCCCGCAAGCTCCTGCGGGGGAAAAATTATACGCGTCACTTCGTCAAAGGGGGCTCTGCTCATTCTTCACTGACAGTAGGAAGGTGCGCGGCGAATAATATCAGTTAGAAAGTTCTGTACATCACAAAGTAGGTAAATGTGCGGATGGTTCAAGCCTTACTAAGGGATTGAAACCTGAGATATGCATGAGAGACACGAGGCACATCACTGACTTCTCCATTTACTAGCAGCTCTGCGTTCTTTTAGGATCATTAGGAGCGGTAGGCCCCAAGCGAAGATTCTATTGATACGCGTTTGGTTATGACTACTGTATGTTTGCCGTCTACGATCCCTTTGGGAAATCAGCGCTGCAGATGACGTCTTTCCATTCCTCCAGCATGCCCCAGTTGTTCTCACAAGACATCTTGACGCCAGCGTACGAGTCGCTTCCCAGCGCCAGGTTGGTGGGGAACGGTTTTCCAGTGGCGACGCCCTCTCCGCGAATCACGTCGACGATGATAGAGGACGCCTTTACAGGATCACCGGGCTGTTTGCCGTTGGCGGCTGCATGCGTTCACGTCAGATGGATGGGATAGGCTAACTCTCAGAACAACGCCGCGAGAACGGACTAACCGAGAAGAGCCGCGTTGCGCTGTTCGCCGAGCGCTTTGTAGTCCTCGATGCGGTTTTCGTACGGACCCCGGTGGCCAGACTGCAGGAAGTTTGTACGGGTGTATCCCGGCTCGAAAACAATGCTGCGAAGCTCTAGAGGCGCGATCTCGCCGTGCAGGGACTCCGATATACCTGTGCTCGTAGATAAGTCTACATACATCGTAGATAGAAGGAGTAAAGGACTGTGTACCCCGTATTGCGTATTTGGTTGCGGCGTACATCGGAAAGATGGGGCATGGACTATGTGGCGCAAAAAATAGAGTCAGTGCAATGCAACCGAGCGTCAAAGGTGGCCGCGCACCGCCAACCGCCGACAGAGCCCATGAACGCAATTGTGCCAGATCTGCGCTCTCGCATGTAGGGCAAGAATGCGCGGGTAATGTTCAGAGCGCCGAAGACATTCGTGCTGCAGAAGGAAATAGATAAGCAGCCACCCCAGATTTCATCGCATCAACCGTTGTACGCACTTGAACTGATCGTATGTCTCTTCGGGACTGCGAAGAACGGATATCAGGAACACGTCCAAAGCAAGCCTGACTGAACTCACGTCGCTTCCTCGACGGCACCGACCGAGATGTAACCTATACATAAACCTCATTCAGTCAGGCTTGTTCCAATGGAGCTCAGCGTTTAAAAAGCGTCGTTGTGGCTGCCGCTGCCGTACCTGCGCTGTTGACGAGGACATCAATCTTTCCGTAGATCGCCGTCGCCGCTTTTGCGGCCTGATGCAGGCCGGCCAGGGGGCTCGTCACGTCGAGTTCGACGGTTTCGGCACCGTGCTGCTTGAGCGGAGCCAACCTCGAGGCTGAACGTGACGTGGCTATAACTTTATCGCTGCGCGACAGCGCCTCGAGCGCGAGCTGCTTGCCAAAGCCAGACCTGAGTTTGTGAGCCAAAGTTAGCAACAGCTCGGGCGGTTCACAGCGTCAAAAACAAGTAGGATGATCGAGACTCACGCAGCGCCAGTGATGAGCCAGACAAGCTGTGAGTTGGACATGTTGAGAAGGTGATAGTATAAGCAGCTACATCTCGGAGGACGATTCGCTAGAGAACGGCGAGATCCCGACGAGCCGAAGACGTCGCAAAGTCAACGCGGGAACGTCCGGCGGAGAGATAGTCACGTGCTAGTTACCGCATTTGGCAAGCTGACTTTTACCCCTTTCTCTTGATGGTCCCAGGGTTTCTTAGAATCTTACTGCAACCAGTACTTACATCTCCTACTCGACTTCGGGCGACACCATTAAGTCATATCCGACGCGGCTATTATGTTCAGCCCCAAGCTCATTTTCTACCACGGTTCCAGGAATAGCCTTTAGCTGACCGAGTCTCCCTAGATGCACTGGGATTACTAACTGCGATACGGTACCACGCCAATCAGACGCCAGTGAGCTGAATCTGTCGTAAATACCGCCCTGACGTATCAATCGTGGAGTGAACTTAGTCGAGTAAGCAGCATGAGTAACAGTCGACTTGATAACTCAGATTTCTTCCGTTAATTGTTAGTATCACAACGGAAGACGTACAGTACGTGGCACCTGTCTGCGAAACTGAGCCCCACCGTGTGCAACCTTCGTCTACATAAAGCGCATTGCTTCGTGTATAACTGTATTATCAATAGCTTCCTGTGTGCTCTCGAAATAAAGGTCACTTTGTCATCGAAATAGAAACCAGAACTGTCATTCTATGCAAACGATGCCCATTGCCTTCACTGTTTGCTTATCGCAATGCGAAATGGTGCTTTGAATTGGATGCTAACTTACGTTATGATTGGACGACGCCATCCAGGCCCATGACAATATCTCCGTGGTTGTTCTTTGACGAGCACCTCGTAAGCGTGGCTGCCGATAGTCACCTAGAAGCAGGCGATGCGAAGCAAATTCGAAGGGTTTCTCGCATTTCTTTGGCAGCGGGGTATTCCTCTGAGGTATACCCCAGAACACGGATACATCAGCAAGTTTAAGTCTTTTGATCTAGACAAACATTACAAGAGTAGTGTATTGGGCTTCTGATGACATCGGAGGTTTCTGGCCTCTGCATGGAAGTCAGAGTGGACTCAAAGTTCCTCTGCCTCGCAGCCTCGTCGCGACGTCTGAGTCCGCCAAAAAGAGGGCTAACCAATTGATAGGCCATGAATCTCTTCGTGATTCCCTTGAATGTCCAGCTTGCTGTCGCATCGCTCCAGAGAGAGAGCTCAAGTAAGTGACTATGATGATATTGACAAAGGTCTGATCGCGCGAACAGTGCTTGGTTAGAATGGATGAATCAACAAAAAATATCCAGGAGAACAAGCCTGGTCTGCCGCCATACGCAATTCTGCGTAGGCCAGGAGAGGTAATATGGTGGGTGCGGAGGATTCGTTTTTGTGATTAAACGTCGTAATGGAGAAACATATTGGTACACCGTTCAAATATGGATTTCGTAATAGCTGACACCAGCCAGGCTTATCTGTGACCTCGTTAGCCACATAATCACACATAGAAAGCGATTGATGCTATACAGTAATTCACCTCTCATTGAGCGTCCATCGAATATCCTACGATGACCGTCCACCGAACCATCTCAGAGTGGGCAGATGCTCCATCCTGTCGCACGTTATGGCGTCCGAGGAAGTCGTAGCGTTCACAGACGCCTCGCCCAAAATCCAAATCCCCACCTTTATCTCCGTCTGCAAGATCCCGTTCATAAACAGGTGTAACAACGTCGAGCTCGCTTGGATGCGGGCGACAAGCTTGTTTGGCTCGGTCGCCATGTCAGCCTCCAGCATGCTCGCTAAAATGAGCGAGTTTTTGGTGCACTGTGCGTCACTGGCTCACAGCGCTTCCAAATCTGCTTCCTGCCAAAAGTATTTTTAGCGTAAGTTGCCCGCCTCTGCATCTTCCTGATTATCGTTTGCAGTAGGCACATTCCACAGCGTCGAAAGGTTACCTTTTACTTCCTATCCACTGGCCTTTCCTGCATCTGCCCCGACATGTGGTAGAAGTCCGCTCCGGTGTTGCCGTACAGGACAAAGAACTTGGCGGCGCCGACGCTGACCTGGTGGCTTGGGTGGAGGAAAGTGCCACACGCTGCGGGAGGGTCGGATGAGAGCATGCGGTCCAGGAAGTGCACCATGCGTACTACGTTGCCCTTGATGCAGCTGGCTTTGGAGGCGAGGGTGCATACGAGGTCGACTGAGGAGACTTGCTCGAGGGTGGTGCCGTTGGGTCGCTTTACGAAGACGACGCGATGGTAGCTGTAAACGAGGTTAGAAGAAGGTTGAGAATGGTGGAGCACGTTAAATTGATAGGTGTATACAGTTCACATGCACACAGATAGTTGAGAGTCTTGTAGTCGTCTCTGGGCGCGAAAACGCTGTGATAACGTCCGAGATCTCATGAGTTGCGAAATGATCAATCAGACCTTGGGAGAACGCACAATGGTGTCGAACCTCAGCTTTCTTCCTGCTCTCGTGCGTCGTAGACGTGGTTGAGGCCATTGCACTGGTCCTCGGTGAGATGCTGGCCCCATTTGATGAATTAATGTTTGCGAGACTCGGCTATCTTCTCGGCAGTGGCAGGGAAGAGCAAGAGGGCGGCGAGTTCCACGCCAGCTTTTGACATGGTTAATGCCTCCTTGTCGATGGGCCCGGCAGTTGCTGGCTGTTTATGGATGACGATGAGATCAGTAGGGACCGTGTCGAACGGTTGGGCAAAGGCTAACTTACATGGCTTTTTATTATTATATAAGGACGTGCATTCATCCGGGTTGCAGTGGGTGATGACCGGTTCAGTTTGCTCCAGTGTTTCCAGAGACGATTCATGTAGAGCCTGAGCTTTACGAGAGATATACTCAGCCAACAGAGGGGTGAGATGCTCTGGTTATGGACGCAAGGAGGGTGTAGTAAAACAGGCATCAACTGCTTACCGTGACGACGTAGCATTTTTCGTTTGCATTGCGTCAATGGATATCAGGAATCCATCAATTGTGACTTCATGGTGCAATGTGTATTGCATGGATAGTGTTCTGTGTCCGCTTCTAAGTAGAACCCTCGTGGACTGAAGTTTTTCAGGTAGCTGAAACCAAGCTTATCATCGAGCACGAGAGGCATGGATCTGAGTTGGCCCGGCACTAACCGAGGCACGCCAATGTGACGTGTGACGCATCATCGCCCATTCAGCCCTAATCGCCTTCCAGCAACAGCTGCAACACTACAGACTCGAACCCGACTTCAATCCTCTTGTTCAAGTACTATTATCAATCCTATAGCAACTGGAAGAGATAGTCAGCAACCTCGCGCCCCCAATGTCAAGCGAAAACTACATGGCAGATGAAGACTGGACACGCACCAAGCGCTCCACGCCGTGGTACGACGACGGAAACATCGTCCTTGTATCGGCCAACTCGTCCGCCCTCTTTCGCGTTCATCGGGGCATTCTATGTTCCTATTCGACCATCTTCAAAGATATGTTCACGGCCTCTCACGAAGGTGAAGAGGTAATAGACGGTTGCCCCGTAGTGCACATGCATGACACGGAAGACGACCTTAAGCATGTGCTCATGGCCATGTACAGTCGCAGGTGGGTGAGCCGGTGCGATCAAAACATATCCCCTTTGCACTAACCTTGATTGTGCTAGCTACTTCCCATCTGGGGCTAAATCTGCGCCCGTCACAGTGATAGCTGCGTTCCTCCGTCTGGGCAAAAAATACGAGATTAGTGATTTATATGATGAAGCTCAAGCCCATCTAGAGATTGACCTCCCGGACAATTTCGAGGCGTATGTCACATCTCAAAGTTCACCTTGGAAGATAACATCGGTCCCGAACACGAGTCACGACGTCGCTATTGCGGTTGCCAACATCGTGCGAGAGGCGGGCCTCCTTTCCATGCTGCCAGCGGCATTGCACATGTGCATGGATTGCTGCACTATGGAGGAAATATTTGCTGGTCTCCGCGACGAAAATGGAAATGTGGGGCGAACTCTATCTCTGGAGAACCAGCAGGCCTGCGCACTTGCTATTCAACCGTACCATGAGCTAACAGGACAGACGTTTGCCTTTGTTCAAACCTCACTTTCGACCTGCACTAGTCGCACAACGTGCCAACGCGCGAAACAAGCCTTCCTCGCCGAAAATTTCTTTCCTTCACCGAAGCTTACTCCACTGGCTGACTGTGATGAAGAGTTTTTGGAAGCCCTTTGTCCAGCATGTGCTACGGATGCCCGTTCTTTGCACCGTGATAGCCGCAAGGAAGCTTGGCGTCGTCTTCCCGGCATCTTTGGGCTTCCCGACTGGACTGAACTTGTTGAAAAAGAACTAAGCTAGCGCAGGGTAGAGCATTTTACTGTTCTTAACAAATTCATTCGTATTAAATGCGTCTCCGTTGTAGGGCTTGCTCCGGTGTCCCTCGAAACCTGCCTGGTTATATGGGGAGACACCCACTTAGCCGCGACAACATATACTCGAGCCTAGCATCATTGATTGCTCATACTTTTGTTGGTCTTATTCAGCGCTTGCCTGATGTTCCATTTCTTGCAACCTGGTATACGGGATCATCGTCATTTATTCTTTGGAAACTCTTGCAAACGTTGACTCGACGAGTCCTTCGCTGACCGTACTAATATCTAGTTGTCGTAGTTGATATCTTAGTATAAACTTGCTTTCTTTGTGTCAAAATAGGCATGCTAGGCATGCTTGCTCTGCACGCGGAGAATATCCCCATCAATCACTTATGGGGTCCGGTACATGACGTGGATTCAGAAACACTGCCTAGCAGAAGTATTGGACTTCAAGGACCTGATCGCGAGCGCACACACCAGATTTCCTCATATCTTCCATGAAACAACAGCTACGACTGTTCCTAACATTTGTTTGTCTCCCTGTGAAATCTCATCATGCTCAAGAAAGGATCCATGTCAGACGCAGCCACCGTGTTGGGACGCTGGGAACGTGATCACCGTCAGTGAAAGTCGCGTTGCTTCCACAATATGGTCTTGATACAATATCAGATATTCTCAGATAGTAAATGAGCAGAGTGTTCTTGTCATGGACGTGGTACTCGTTGTGGGGAGGTCAATTTCGGAGAGAAACCAGGTGAGTGACGGCAATCCGTGAAAATAGGGGCATTTCCCCACACGGCGAGTCGCCCAGCGAGCTCAGCATCCCTTCACTCGACTCCCACTTGCCTCTGTCCTTTGTCTACTCCTTGTTCGCCTTTGTAGCGGTCTCTCGTGGATGAAGACACAGCAAACAATTATCTCATAGCAATGGGCAACGTTCAGTCAGGCTCCGCTCTCACTCGCACCACAGGCGCACTCGATTCTTTCGTAGCAGAGCTTGGGCCAGATGTCGTATACGACAAGAGGTGCGCGATAACACGCTCGTCTAGCCGTGCCATGCGCTTACTTGCCTTTGCAGTCTGGGTCAGGCAAGATTTCTTAAGACAGTTAAATGTCGTCACCGCAATGGAGCCCTCGTAGTCAAGATATTCATCAAACAGGACCCAGGCATCAGCTTGCGCAATTATCAGCGCAGACTTAAGAGTGTGTATTGTTGCTACTGCAAACATCTCATAGGGCTGATATTTATCACAGTCGAACGCGAATCTCTGCTCGATATACCCAACGTATATAACTACCAGACGTTCGTGGAGACCGACAAGGCGGGCTACATAATACGCCAATGGATTGGCAGCAACCTCTATGACCGCATCAGGTGCGTCTGTTCTTTCCTTCACCACAACAGCTCCTCTCACCACCCGCATCCCCACTCGTAGCACCCGCCCATTCCTCAGCCTCGTCGAGAAGAAATGGATCGCGTTCCAGCTCCTCACCGCCCTACGCGACGCGCGCAACCGCAGGATCTCGCACGGCGACATCAAGTCCACCAACATCCTCGTCACCTCCTGGAACTGGATCTACCTCGCCGAATTCGCGGCCCCATACAAGCCCACGTACCTTCCGCTCGACGACCCCGCCGATTTCTCCTTCTTCTTCGACACGAGCGGCCGCCGCACGTGCTACATCGCGCCCGAGCGCTTCTATACGGCAACGAGCAATCCGGAAGTGAGCGCGCGCAAGGATAAGCTGGGCGAAGAGGACGGGGAGGGCAAGAGGGATGGCAAGGTTACAGAGGCGATGGACTGTTTCAGTGCGGGATGTGTGCTTGCGGAGCTGTTCCTGGAGGGGCCACTGTTCTCGCTCAGCCAGCTTTTCAAGTACCGCGAAGGGGAGTACAGCGTGGAGGGCCACTTGAACGGGATTGAGGACGCGGGCATCCGGGTGCGTGTGTTTCGTCCCACTTACACTCGCGTTTGCGTTGCGACTGGTCATACTGATGCGGTTCATTCGTGGATAAACAGAACATGATTAAACAGATGATCTCGCTGGACCCCATCGCACGCCCAAACTTCGAGTCGCTGCTGCACACTTCACGCGGTACCATCTTCCCAGAGAGCTTCTACTCCTTCCTGCACAGCTACATCTCGTCTATCAACGACCTCCCGTTCAATGCTTTCTCACCGTTATCGTCCTCCGGCTCCGCAGCCGGCTCCGCACTTGCCACACCAACTATATCGACACCAAACCCATCGTCAATTCAGCAACCCCCGTCGGCGCCGTTGAAGAGCGCCGGCGCCTCCGCAGCCAAGGATGCATTGGCGGATGGTGCGCCGAACGTGCTCCCGAGCGACAGCGACCACCGGATTGAGCGGATATGGGAGGACTTTGAGGGCGTCGAGCCGTATCTTATCCCTGACGACGAGGGCACGGAGGGCCCGCCGCGGGAGTTGGAAAAGGGGGACGGGAGCAACGTCAACGTCAAGATTGACTACACTACATCGCCTATATCCTCTAAACCACTCCAGGTTCGTCCCCCCATCCACCCTTCGTTTACGTCCTAACCTGACCTGTGGTGACGATGTCGCAGGACATCTTCCCCGTCGAACTGCACATCCCGAATCGCGAGCCGAGGCTCGGCGGGCCCAGCGCGGCGAGCGAGGACGGGCCCGCGCTGGTCATTCTCTCGCTCGTGAGCGCCAACATCCGCAACTGCGCGCTGCCGAGCTCGCGTCTGCGCGCCCTGGACGTGTTTCTCGCGCTCGCAAGGCACCTCACGGACGAGGCGAAGCTCGACAGGATGGTGCCGTACGTTGTGGATCTGCTGCACGACGATGCGGCGGTGGTGAGGGTCGCGGCGCTGCGAACGCTTGTGCAGGTGGTACGTTCGCATTCTCTCCTCGTCGTTTCTATATAGACTTGGATCTGGCTGACGAGAACTGCCCGTGTAGCTCATGCTCGTGAAGGTCATCACGCCGTCCAACACGTCCGTCTTCCCCGAATATGTCCTCCCGAACGTGCGCTACCTCGCCGCGGACCCGGAGGTGTCCGTGCGCGCCGCGTACGCGCAGTGCATCGTCCAGCTCGCAGACACAGCGCTGCGCTACCTCGAGGTCGGCCAGGCGCTCAAAGCTTACGGCAGAGTACCCGGCGCGAGCACCAGCCCCGGCCCCAGCGTCCACCCCGCCGTCGAAGCGGTCGTCGACCGGGCCAGCGTCACAGATGCGACAAGCGCGGGCACGGACGACGCAGCGCCCGCTTCCACGTCCGCCGCCGGCCGCTCGGAGGTGTCCTACGACGCGGCGCTCGCGGACCTGCAGGCCTCCGTGCAGGAGCAGCTCGCGGCGCTGCTCATGGACGGGTCGAGCATCGTGAAGCGCGCGGTGCTGCACAATGTCGGCGCGCTGTGCCTCTTTCTGGGACGGCAGCGCACGAACGACGTGCTGCTCAGCCACATGATCACGTATCTGAACGACCGCGACTGGGCGCTGCGATGCGCGTTTTTCGAGAGCATTGTGGATGTTGCGGCGTGTGCAGGGGGGAGGAGTTTGGATGAGTATATTTTGCCGTTGATGGTGCAGGCGCTGTCGGGTGCGTTTTTACCTTCGCGTTTCCTTCGGAAGGCAAGTTGACCTGTGTTTGTGTTCTGGACAGACGTGGAAGAGACGGTCGTCGCGCGCGTGCTGACGGCGCTCACGAGCCTGTGCGAGCTCGGGCTGTTCCAGAAGATGCGCATATGGGAGCTCATGAGTGCTACGCTCGGGTTCTTCTACCACCCGAACGTGTGGATACGACAGGGTCAGTCGCTTTGCTTCCTCAAATGATAATACTTCACACTGACCGATGAGTTTGGGATTCTACGTAGGCGCAGCAGCGTTCATCGCGTCCGCCGCGAAACACCTCCCGACGAGCGACGTGTGGTGCATCCTCTACCCATCCTTGCGCCATCTTCTACGGTGCGATGTCAAGGTGATCGACGAGCAGAGCTTGCTCGGCGCGATGAAGCCTCCTGTACGCCTTCTCTTTAGCTTGCCTTCATCTCTGTTGTTACTGACGTATGTTACTACATTAGCTGTCGCGGGCCGTCTTCGACGGCGCGGTTCAATGGGCGATGAAGGCCGACAAGACCGCGTTCTGGCGCGGCCACCGGCGCCCGCCGTCCAAGGTCGAGTCACCGAGGGAGAGCATCGTGTCGATGCGCAAGGCGGGGAGCGTGAGCAGCGTAGGGAGGAACAAGACGGAGGAGTAAGTCGTTTATATCACTGAGGTCGTGCTCCCAGGGAGGGCGGAATGCTAAGGGTTTGTTCGTTCTTCAGGGACGAAGCACACCTAAACAGGCTGCAAAACCTCGGCATGGCGCCCGCGGACGAGGGCAAGCTCTTCGCGCTGCGGGATTATATCCTCAAGCTCGCTAACAACACCGCGAGGTGCGCGCCTCCTTTCCCCTGTGTTGCCGTAGGCGCCGTACACTGCTTGCTGACACTACGACGACCACCAACGCAGCTTCGCAGCCCGCTCGCGCACCGAAGCTGAAAAAGACGCGACGCTAAAGACAACAGGCGACGTCGAGATGCAGAAGCTCGGCGTCCAGCCGCAGACCGTCTTCCTCCGCGCCGCCGCCCGCGCCGGCTCCTCCACGTCTGGTATAGCGGACCTCGCATCGTCTTCGCGCGCCTCGCGCCTCTCGCAGCAGCAGCAGCAGCAGATGCTCGCGCTGCCGCCGCACATCCGCGGCGCCGGCACGGGCGGGTCGACGCGCATGAGCCGCGCGTCGAGCCTTGATCGCGGGAGCGTCGTTGGTGCAGTTGTTGGTGCCGGAGGCGCGCCGTTCGAGGATCTTCGGCGGCGGCTGGCGACAATCAACGGCTCGCAAGCGTCCGTCGCGCTCTCTTCGCCCGGTGGCGGCGCACGCGAGCGCGCGGCGGGGCTCGGGCTCGGGCTGTCCTTGCTTCCTCCTCCGCAGCCGTCGAGCTCCGCTGGGTCGTCGCCTGCTCCGGCACCGCCTGCGGTTCTTTCGCCTGGTACCTCTGCGCTGTCCCAGCCCCACACGCAGGCGCAGGCACAGCTGCTAACAGCACGCCCCGGAAGCCCGACGGAGTCGATCGTGTCGGCGACGAACTCGCTCGTTGTGCGCACGGGACATCAGCATAGGCTGCACGTGGGGAGCACGGACGGGCAGAAGGCGGCGCCGGCTGTGGGCGCGTCGCATGCGAGCGCGATTGGGGTGTTGGAGGCGAGCAGTCGGATGAGGGCGGGGGAGGATGGGATGTCGGTGGTGGGCGGCGGGGCTGGTGCTGGTGCTGGTGGTGGGAATGTTAGTGCGAATGCGAGAGGAGGGGAAGAGGAGGAGTCGGGGCGGACGTCGCCTGTGTCGACGGCGGGGACTATTGGTGCCGCGAGGGGATCAGTGGTGGGGGCTGCGGGAGGGGGAGGGAGCAGCGGCGGTTTGAGACCGCGGGTGCCGTCGTTGTTGCCCATCTCGACGTACGGTAAGCACACGCTTCTCCTTCTGTTATGCTGTTCTAGCTCTGGCGAACATCTTGGGCTTACGAAGAGGGATTGCGTTTGGGCACAGACGGCCACGATCCGGGGATCAGCACGGTGCTCGAGCATCTCTACCTCGACAACAGCCACGCGCGGGAGCTGCAGCACGACTTTGGCCCGCGCGTGCACGAGGGCCCGATACGCCGGCGCAACGCAGCGAGGCAGCGCGCTGCTGCCCTCTCGCAGGACGCCGGCTCCGACTCCAGCAACAACGCCCACCCGGGCTCAACACGGCGGCCCGCCGCCGACGCAACGCTCATCGCGCACCTGTCCTCGCACACGGCGGCCATAACGGGGCTCGCCGTCTCGCCGGACCACGTGTTCTTCGTGTCGTGCTCGGACGACGGCACGGTGAAGGTGTGGGACACGGCGCGGCTGGAGCGGAGTGTGACTGCGAAGCCGCGGGCGACGTATGCGGGGCACGGGCAGGCGCGGGTGAAGGCGGTGTGTGTGGTGGAGGGGACGCATTGTTTTGTGAGTGCGGGGGAGGACGGGGGGGTGCATGTTGTTAGGGTGTTTGTGGGTGGGGGTGGTGGACGGGGAGCGGGGGGTGGTGGGACGGGGATCGGAGGAGGGACGGGGACGGGGACGGGGGGAGGAGGGTATACGGTGCCGAAGTACGGGAAGTTGCAGCTTGTGAGGGAGCACCGCGTCGAGGGTGCGGCGGAGGGGGAGTGGGTGAGTGCGATGGGGCATTGGAACTCGGGTGCGTTCATCCTCCTCCTCACTGCGTTTGACCGCCCGTTCGGCGGAATGGCGTCGGCTGACCAATGCTTTTTCACGCAGACACGTCCTCGAACCTGATCTACACGACAACGCACGCGCGCATCGTCACGCTCGACCTGCGCAGCATGCGCGTGCTGCAGACGCTGCAGAACCCGCGGCACCTCGGCGCGATAACGTGCATGTGCGTCGACGTGCGCAAGCGCGCATGGGTGCTTGTCGGCACCGCGTCGGGTGCGCTCGCGCTCTGGGATAGGCGGTTCGGGATGCTGTTGAGGACGTGGATGGTCGGGCGGAGTGCGGGCGCGGGTGCGAAGGGGAGGCAGAGCAGGGTGCATGGGATCGCGGTGCATCCGACGAAGGGGAGGGGACGGTGGGTTGTTGTTGGTGTCGAGACTGCGCGAGATGGCGGGGCCAATGGCAGCGGGGGAGGGAATGGGGGAGGGGCGGCGACGATGATAGAGGTGTGGGATATCGAAGCTGCAGTGCTTGTGGAGAGCTTTGTCACCAGGACGGCGGCTGTCTCCCCCGCTACGACGACAACGACGGCATCGAACGAGGGGATGGGGACGGTTATGCCCGTGGCGATTCCGGAACCAGAGGAAACGCAGGGCGTCGAGGCGGAGATGAGCCCCGCAGCTGCGATCGCGGCGCTCGTGAACGCGCGGTACCCCGGCGGCGCCGCATATTCTTCCGGCCTGTCTGCCTCTCCTGGCTCGCGCGGAGGGTACGGGAACGGGAATACGCACGAGGACATGATGGGCGCGTCGCTGCCCGCGCCGTCTGTCGACGTGCGCGCGATGGTCGTCGGGGCGGACTTTGGCGGGTACGGGTACGGGGTGCACCACCGTTCGGAGCTCGTCGATCTCGGCGAGGACATGGTCGCGTCGTCGCTGCTGAGCCGGTCGGCGGGGCGCGGGTTCCTGATCAGCGGGGGCGAGGACCGGCGGATCAGGCTGTGGGATCTGGCGAAGGTGGAGCGGACGTGTGTGCTTGTTGGGCCGGATGCGGAGCATGAGAAGCCGGCGTACAGCTCTGTGCGGGCAAAGGATAAGGACAAGGACAAGGAAAGCGGGGGAGGGGGAGGGAAGGCGGTGAGCTACGTGGAGACGTGGTTGCCGACTGCGACGACGGCGGGGCAGATGAACAGACCGGCACAGCGGATGTCGCTTATTACGCATTCGCAGCAGAGTCTGGTGAGGGCGCATTTGGATGTGGTGACTGCGCTGGCGTGTCTCGAGTCGCCGTTCCGCGGGGGGATTGTGTCGGGGGATCGAGCGGGGGTGGTCAAGGTGTGGCGTGTTGGGATTGCTGAGTAGATGACTGTATATTGTGTGCTTATTGTAGTGAGAGACTTGTCTGCAATTCAGTGTCTTGTGTTATTAACCTAATATCAAGAAAGACTATCTTCTGATATAGGGTCTGCTTAATTAAGGGAGACCAGGTGTTATTAGAGGATGTTTACTGCAACATAAGTGTTTGCACTCAGGGGTTTTGTCGGGTGTGGTCGCGTCGAGTCACGGTATGATTTTTTCTTGTCTTGAGCAGGTGACACGAGATAAGACGATCTAGCGTTTCCATATCAAGACTCCAGCATTTGACTCGTCTGGATGATTCCAACCAGACTTTCTCGTCTCCTTCCCCTTCCACGTCCTCGCCGTCTCCCCACACCAGCACAAAGACGCATACACTCATCCCGCAGTGCTGCCATGGCCAATCCTAATCCCATACCCGTCGCCTCATCGTCACAGAACGTCCAGCTCTCCGCCCTCGACGGTCCCCACGCCGCCACGGACATTACCAGTGCTCCTGCGCCTGCTGCTGTCCAGGGCCAGGGGAAGCAGCCCAAGGAGAAGAAAGAGAAGAAGGACAAGCCCGCTGCAAGCGCGTCCCAGTTCCCTCTCGAGGTCCGTGTCCTATCGCGTTTCTGTGTGGGTAGGCTGAATTCGAGCCTGTCCTTGCTTGCAGCTTCAACCGAAGCCCGAGTTCTTCGACCACCGTATTCAGATATTCGAGAAGCTCCAGGCTGAGCACACCGAGTGGGTCAAAGGTGCGTTCTTCTCGCGCAGCTGCATACACCCACGACACCCTCTCTCGCATGGAACGCTGACTCGACTCGGTCTTTGTCATCGACACAGCCCAACCGCGGCAGGAGATCACCGTCACCCTGCCCGACGGCTCAGAGCGCAAGGGCACAAGCTGGGAGACGAGCCCGATGGACATCGCCAAGGAAATCTCCAAGGGCCTCTCGGAAAAAGTCGTCATCGCCAAAGTCGACGGCACGCTCTGGGACCTCGAGCGCCCCCTCGAGGCGTCGTGCAAGCTCGTGCTGCTTGATTTTGAGTCTGACGAAGGTGCGTTCTCCTAGCTGCTCTTTTTCACGCGGTAGTAAGCTTAAATGGGCCGACACGGAAAGGCAAACGCGTCTTCTGGCACTCGTCCGCACACGTCCTCGGCGAGTCGGCCGAGCGACACTATGGGTGCCACCTGTGTATCGGTCCGCCGACGGAGGACGGCTTCTTCTACGAGATGGCCACGGATCGGTGAGTGTCCTGCCCGGGTTCCATGTATGCGTCCTGGAGACTCACAGTGGACGCTTCGCGACGCGCAGGCCGGTGTCGAACACGGACTACCCCGCGCTCGAGAAGCTCACAGACATGGCGGTCAAGGAGAAGCAAAAGTTCGAGCGGCTCGTCGTGCCCAAGGAGACGCTGCTCGAGATGTTCGCTGTACGTCCACTCCACTCTTTTTGCCACGTCTTCTACTTCTGGGCACGATGTTGAAGCGGTCGTCGGGATATAGTATAATAAGTACAAGAAGCACATTATCGAGTCCAAGATCCCCGACGGCACGTCCACGACCGTCTACCGCTGCGGGCCCATGGTCGACCTCTGCGTCGGCCCGCATATCCCGCACACGGGCAAGATCAAGGCGTTCATGGTCACCAAGGTGCGTCTAACCCTTTACGCGTTTGGCTTGTGTGTGCTGAAGCTGAACGCATATTGGACGCGGACAGAACTCGGCGTCGTACTTTTTGGGCGACGCGAAGAACGACTCGCTGCAGCGCATCTACGGTATCTCGTTCCCGGACAAGAAGCAGCTCACAGAGTACAAGGCGTTCCTCGCAGAGGCGGCTAAGCGCGATCACCGCAAGATTGGGCGGGTGAGTGGCATCCATGCTGGCGTCTTTGCTCGCGGTTCCGCGGAGAGCTGTGGGATAAGCTGATGGATGGGGTTGGTTGTAGGAGCAAGAACTGTTCTTTTTCAACGATCTCAGCCCCGGGAGCTGTTTCTTCTTGCCGCATGGGACGAGGATTTATAATACGCTGCTTGAGCTTATGAGGGTGCGTTGTGCGGTTTCTGGGACCGCCGGTCCGCTATACAAGTCTCTGATGATGCGGGTGTGTATAGGCGGAGTACAAGAAACGCGGCTATCAAGAAGGTATCACCCTCTCTTCCCCTACCTCATCCAGCCACCACTGCTAACCCCTCACTCCCACCCACCGCACAGTCATCTCGCCAAACATGTACAACAACAAACTCTGGGAGACCTCGGGGCACTGGCAAAACTACCGCGACGGCATGTTCCAGCTCGACATCGAGAAGGAGAAGTGGGGGCTGAAGCCGATGAACTGCCCCGGGCACTGCCTCATCTTCGACTCGCGCGACCGGTCGTACCGCGAGCTGCCGATCCGCATGGCCGAGTTCGGGATTATCCATCGCAATGAAGCGAGCGGGGCGTTGACGGGGTTGACAAGGGTGCGGAGGTTTGTGCAGGACGATGCGCATATTTTCTGTATGCCGTCGCAGGTGCGTTGTGCCCCCTCTCAACCTCGGCGAAGGTGTCCGCTAACGAAGCCGTGTTCTGTTCGTTAATGCTACCACCGTTCGCTACGACAGATCGAAGCAGAGATCGGATCCATGTTCGAGTTCATGAAAGAGATCTACGGCAACTTCGGATTCGAGTTCTCGCTCGAGCTCTCCACCCGCCCGGAGAACTACCTCGGCGCGATCGAGACATGGGACTTTGCCGAGGCGCAGCTCACGCAGGCGCTCGACACCGCGTACCCGGGCGCGTGGCAGGTGAACCCGGGCGACGGCGCGTTCTACGGGCCCAAGATCGACATAACGATCCGGGACGCGCTCAAGCGGAGCTTTCAGTGCGCGACGATTCAGCTGGACTTTCAGCTGCCGGAGCGGTTTAATCTGCGGTATCGGGATGCGGAGGACGGGGCGAATCCGGATGCGGGGAGGGCGCCGGCGAGGCCTGTGATTGTGCATCGGGCGATTTTGGGGAGTTTGGAGAGGTTTATTGCGATTATTACGGAGCATTTTGGGGGCAAGTGGTGCGTTTTTTTTTTCTTCTTCTTCTTCTTCTTGTTTTCGAGTTCTCGAGCGTGGGTAAAGGTAGATTTGGCTGATTGAGTGGTGTTGTGTGGATAGGCCTTTCTGGATCTCGCCGCGCCAGGTGTTGGTTGTGCCCGTTGCTGTGCCTTACGTGAGTCGTCGCCCGTTCCCATTCTTTGTGAGCTCTTTGCTGATGCTGAGCGTTCGGGCGTGGATGCGTCGCAGCGGGAGTATGCGCAGCAGGTGACGGACGAGCTGTCGAACCGTGGGCTGTACGTCGACGTCGACAACGGCCCCGACACGCTGCAGAAGAAGATCCGCAATGGCGAGATCGCGCAGTATAACTTTATCCTCGGTGCGTCTTCCTCCCTGCCTCCATCCCTGCCTCCACTTTGCAGAAAGACATGGTTCGCTGACGGATGTTGTGCGGGGAATACAGTGGTGGGCCAAGAAGAGCTCGACAGCAAGTCCGTGAACGTGCGCAACCGCGACGACGTCGGGAGCAAGGCCAAGACGGAGATGGCTAAGCTCGAGGATATCGCGGGCAAGCTTGTTGCGCTCAAGGCGTCGCGCAGCATCCACAATAAGCTTGTGTAGAGCGTAGATTGTGTTCTTGGTTGTGCCTATACCGGGTAGGGCTGGAGGCGGGGTTGGTGTGCTAGAGGTACTTGATGTTGATATCATAAATAGAATAGGGAGCCTGTGCTTTTCTTTTCTTCTGTAAGATTTGGGGTCGTAATGCAAAGGTGCTGTTCGCAACCGAAACGCTATATTGGTGGATGCATGCAGTATTACTGAGTGATGCAAAGGCACGAAACTGGATTCAATGCTCGTCGTACGTCTGTTTTTGATAAGCCATGTACATAGGTACAGTAGACTCCCCGAAGCGTGTGATATGGCAAGCGAACAACTCTGCCCTAGGACTGCTAAGTCTCAGACACGATCACTCGCACGTACGTACGCAGCGACGACACAGCAAGCCACAGACCAACCAACCCCTATCCAATCCACATCCTGCCCGTACTCTACCCGTCCCCCGCTCACCGCACGAACCACGAACAGCCCCACCGCCGGTAGCGCGCGCGCAACGTTGAGCACGCGCTCACGAAGGGATACCGCCCATGAACTGGTTTCTCTGCGGATCGGAAAACGAAAGAGAAAAGGCGGACACGTCAGCCCGTGTCTATGAAGAAAGAAGCGCGGGCCCATAATTGAAAAAACTGCGGAGATAAAGCCGAGGCTCGGGATTGGCAGGGACGCGGACATAGACGTGGACTTGGACTTGGACTTGGACATTTGGAGCTACTCACCAGTGCCTGAATCGCGTCGCGCTCCGAGGGCTGTAGCGCGCTGACCTGCTCGGGCGTCAGGCTGAGCACCTGCATGAGCATTTGCTATAGAGCGGTTAAAAATAAAGGTTAGTCAGAGTCGAATCAGAAAAGTTTGGACTTGGGCTTGGCAAAGGGACTGCGGACGGCGCCTCAAGTGGATAGCGAAGCAAGGCGAAGCTATTGGGGGGATAGGGAAAAAGATAGGGGGTACTAGGGTCTAGGGTGGCCGCCACGCGATGCGCTCACAGCCCAGAAGCCCAGAAGGTAGGAAACCAGAAGACCAAAGGGAAGGAAGAAAGACGAAGCGATGCGCTGCGCTGCGGAAGCACAAGACTCACCTTCTGGGCGGGGTCCATGCCCATATTCTGCATATTCTGCATCGCCGCCGCCGTAGGCCCAGCTGGTGGCGCCCCCGCTGCCGCCGGCCCAGGCGGGGGCGGCTGTGCCTGCGCGGGCGGAGGCATGCCCTGCGGCGGGCCCTGTGGCGCGGTGGGCGGCGGCGGACGGTACCCGCCATACGCCGACGGCGGGGGCATCGTCGGCGGGGGCTGTGCGTACATGTTCTGCGGCGGCGGCCCGCCCATGCCCGGCGGGCCCGGCGGCGGAGGGCCGCCGTGCATCGGGGGCGGCTGGCCGTAGGGCGACATGGTGTTCGGTCCTTGGGGAGGCGCGGGCGGACGGTTCATCCCGCCGGGTGGGCCGGTGGGTGGCGGGCCGGGGTAATGTGCGGGTGCGCCTATGGCGCCGGGGGCGGGCGTGCCGGGGCCGCCGGCGATGACGGCCTGGAGCATGCGCTGGAGGACGGAGGGATCGACGATTTTGTTGAGCAGGAGGGCCTGGAAGAGGGCGTAGGCGAACTGCGGGTGGGCGACGAGGAGTGCGCGGGCTTGGTCCGGATGCGTGATGAGGAATGCCTACAAGGGCGAAGGGAAAGGGGCAAGGGCAGACGGAGACATGTCAGAGAGACCGAATCTCAAGACAAGAGACAGATGTCAGAGACAGACCTTCATCTCGGTCGGACAGGTCGTTGGTTTCAGGTACTGTAAACCCCAGCAAGTTTTCTCCCCCTCGCACATGTGACTAACTCGACGCCTGTACCCTTGGTGCGTTCGTGCATCCAGACTGGTGTTTGACAGGGAGACAGGGAAACCTAGGGGATACGGTTTCTGTGAATTTGCTGGTACATCCAATTCCATTCCTTTCGTTCACGATCCGTGTGCCCCCGTCTGACTGAACTCGGCCTTTGCATGAATCAACCCAACGCCAATACGCCCATCCTGCCTGTCTGATTTCAATCGTGTGCCTTCATACTCGTCTTTTTGACGTGGAACGAAATTTCATGCGCCCTCAAATGCACTATGTTGTGGTGAAACGTGCTGGTCTATCGTCTCGGCGTCTAACCCATGCTCGCCCCTATGCATATACCGACAAACGCTCATCTTGCTGTTGTGCATTAACCTACGTGGTCATCGTATCGTCTCGCGTGCCATTGTCTTTATGGTGCTCGATGCCTGTGTACCCTGTTCTTGCCCTGGACGCTATATTCCAACAACCGATGCTGTACCTTGTCCATGACCACGACGATCATCCATTACCGTGTCCCGACTCGTGTCCACGTCTGACTTGAAACGCGCACCTCGACGCCACCCTGAAACCTCGCTGAAACGCCACACACGTCACCACAATGTAGACCACGAGACTGCCACATCGGCCGTGCGCAACCTGAACAACGTCGACGTCGGCGGACGCCCGCTGCGGATCGACCTCGCGGACTCGGACCCGTTCCTCGAGGGTAAGACGACCGTGCGAGGCGAGCTGCTCGACGGTGACACCCGCCCTCCGCATCCGCACTGGCGCGAACGGGAGCGGGACGAGCCTCGGGGCAAGCGCGGAGGCGGTGGCGGCGGTGGCGGCGGAGGAGGCGGACCACATGACGCGTTCTTGGCGCAGCTGCCCAAGGGGGTGCCGGTCCCGCCTGGCTTGACCGCGCTGGACATGATCAGCCAGACGCTTGCGACGATCGCGCCTGCGCAGGTCGTGGAGGTGCTCGCGCATTTGAACACGTCAATCAACTCTTCCTGTAGTGAACTTGTGTTAATTCCTCCTTATGTGACACGTAGATGGCACAGCGTGCTTGCCTCAGCCATGTTGTATGGGACATTGCCCACTGCAAACCGCGCATACCGGTGGTCAGCTGGAACGTCTGCATGCGACGGACACAGAAACGCACCGAATACGACTTTGCTCATCTCTGCACACACGCTGGAGTAGTAACAGGGGGTAAGAAGAGCACAGCACAAGGATAACGTTGGGTTTGATCACCACAGGACAGAATCTGGTCAAGACGCGAAACTGGACGAATGGACCCGACGACAAGGGGCGTGACTGTGTCGGCTGTGCTGGTAACGGAGTGTTACCTCCGGTGACGTCACGGGCCGTGAGTGTGACAGTGCACCCTACTTTAGCCCCTGAGCGAATGGTTAGATGAATCACTGCCTGTGTTCTATGTACACCACTCCGATGACCCCCGATTCCAAGTCCGACTCTGCACAGTGCGCTCCACGCTGAAGACGGAACACACCAGTAGTATTACACTCAAAAAGTCATGGCGTCACTAGTTACGCCCAGTATGCAGGTACCCGATTTTACCCGTTCACTGCAGGGTTATCTCTTCCCCAAGACTCAAGCACCTCGGCATAATGCATAGCTTTCTGCCGGGCCCAGACAGTCTTCGGATATGTTGTAATATTGAAAGTCGAACCACTTCCGCAGCGGTGCTAACCTTAGGTCCGCAGCGCGTACTCGCTCGGTGTTCCAATTGCAAGCCACCTTGGCTCTCTGCCCCTTCTGCTCCGGTGTTCTAATTTGCGCAGGAGCATAGCAAATGAACATACGATATTCAGGAACACTCCACAAACAAGCTGCGGAGCTTGGCAGACGTCGAGCACAGAGATAGACGTTGGAGAGATTGCAGTACAGTGCCTCACAAATCCACTATTCGGACTCACACATCGGGCAGATCCCCCCAAGGAATCAGAATAGATTCGACAGATGCTTCCAAGCGAAGGTTAATTCCTACCCACAAGTCCCGAGCCGAAGTCACCTAGATCGGCGGACTCATAGCTCCACCCCATCTGACTCCACGGCGATCCTCATTCACGTCCGTCGGGTTCGGCCGCGAGTGTCAGAAAGGTGGTGAGACTTTGCGATCAAGGAAGCTGACCCGCGAAGATTGTATGGTCCAGCCGTGCACTGCCCGAAGGCGAGGCTGCCTTGGCCTCTCGAATCGCTCTGATGGCAATGGTCAGATCACTCGGGCTTCTTCGACTCCGTTGTGCATGCGCTTTGGTCGCAAAGAGTACTTACTGAATACTAGTAGTCTAGGCAGGGCTAGAATCAGGCTGCAAGTCAGTCTCGAGGCTTAGGGCGTCTCAAGGGCGCTTGCTCGCTGACAGCGCTGATCCGTCAGATCGTACGCTGGCTGGGCAGGGGTTCCCAAGAGTCCACTGGTCCGAATTGATCCTATCCAAAAGCCCATACAACCTTGGATTTGAGTTGTGTTCATCCTTCTCCCCGCAAGGTGCCGTGATCGGTCCGCGCGCGAGGCACTCGCACTACCATAAGCGCCTGTCCACAGAAACATACCACTCATCCCGACGGATGTGATGCTCCGAGGACTGGCGACGAGCGGTGACGGAGAATGCGTCAAAGCGATGTCCGCCTCGTCGGTGATTTCATGGGTCCATGACTGTTCTCGAAGTGCGAACAACTGCACCGACTTAGTCTTCCGGGGCAGACAAGGTCGTCATAGCCGGAACGGGGAAACGTGGACGGACATGACGACGCGCGTGTGGGGTAATAAACGCCGGAGCCGGCTTCCTTAGTCAGCGTTTACACGGCCGTGGCGTCTGCGAGTCAGCGACCTTGCCACAAGCGGCCACTCGGTCTCGCGCGCTCGCGATTGCTCGCTGCTCTTTTTCTCGTGGACGCCTCTTCGTCCCCGACTCCCGCTTACAAACAACGCTATGCGTGCCGTTGCTTTCTGCCGCGCCCCGTACGCAAGCTCTCCTCGACCGACGTTAGAGGCTCTGTCAGCAAGGGGTGACGGATGCATAGGCCGGATGACTGCGTAGGGCGAAGCATCGAGCGCTGGGATGACTCTAGTGCTTACTGGATGCGTGGATCTGACTCGAATATGTGTCTACGAGTTTCTGGGACATTCGCTACGTTGTTCTCATGCTCTGCGGAGCGTGGTCTTCCGCCGGTACCTTCAATGGCAACCGTTGGACCCTCTGAAACGAAAGGGTAGAGGGGATTGGAGAACAGCTCCAAGACCCTACCGTCCGCCTCCTCTTTTCGAGCGAAGGCAGAACGGTGTGCGCAGCGCAAGGCACACAGCCTTACAGCTTCCTCCGCACAGCAAAGAGTCTACCGGCGCATCGGATTGGCCCGCGTTCCTAAAAAGGAAAACGCGGGCGAGCCACCATCTCGGGATCTCGCTACCGATGCCGAGGCGAAGAGCGGAGCTGGCATATATAACCGGACTCCTTCATGACTCAGGAAATTTACCATCGACTCAAATTCGCAAACTTCCCTCTGCTCTTGCACAACTTCTCCTACACTCTTAAATGACCGCTACCAAGACCGCATCCATCTCATCCAAGCTGGAGCCCTCGCAGAACCACCAAGACCGCCAGTTCCGCGCACTTGACCGCGCCTTGGCTAGGAGATATGTGGAAGAGCTTATGCAGCAGAGTTATCGCCGCCAACGGAACGAGCCGATGAGGCCTCGGTAAGCAAATATTATTCCCCATCTCATTCTCAATTTACTCATACCATACTTTTTATGTTCTAGCATGGAGATTTGTGACGATCCGGCCCACTCCCGCGTTACAGCCTACCTCGAGCTTCCCGGGCTCAAGTCGAGCGACGTATCTGTCCAACTCGATGGAGCTCGACTCGTAATCTCGGGCGAAAGGCGCTCGCACATACCCCCCGATATCGACCAAGCCACTGCGAACGCACGGTTCCCCGTCCGCGAGCTAAAGTATGGCAAATTCCTGCGCGTCATTACAGTCCCTACTCACACAATGGTACGCAGCTCTCCGTCTCTCTCGTCCTGGTGCGGATGATGCTGACGTCGGCCTTGCCGGATTCTTCTTTCACAGATGAGCACTATATCCGCCTCAATGAGCGACGGCATGCTTATTCTCTCCTGGCCGCGCTCGCTCGCCGGCAACACGCCTGCCGACACACGCAAGCCCTCGGGTGTACCTGCGGCCACGTCAGACGGCTCAGGGTATCACCACACTCAAGGCGCCCAGATGCCCGCTGCGCCGGCTCACGCGCCGCGTCAGCCTTCCGCCCAATAAATCATGTTCCTTCCAACTTGCTTTCGTTGCACATGCACATGCTTTCGCCATCTCACCCCACCTTTCCCCATTCAACCGTTTACGGTGTGGCTTCGTGTTTCGCTGCATTGCCCGGTGCTATCCTAGTCACGTTGTCGATTACGTCTACGTGTATGCTGTTCTTTTTTTCAATGGTTTGGACTAGTCACATTGACTCGATCTCTGCTTAGTTATCTCTCGTTTCGTGCACACACTCCCATACCACCATGTCACCAGACAGCTGGCTGTATTTTTTACACCTGGAGTCTCTGTGACTCCTCCATTTCATTTCTGCGCCCTCGCCTCCGTCTCCCTTTTATTGACACATCCTCACATCCGGTTTCGTCCTGCTCCTCCGTTCTCCCATTGTTGTTCTATTCTGGGCCATTGTTTCACCATTCTGTCGCTGCCTTTTTTTCTCTCCTGCTCTTGTGTTCATTCCCCTGCCTCGCACCGCATGTAGACTTCATTCAGCCCCTTATCATTATTCGCCGTTTGATTTTGGGATGGACACTTGTCGACGCAACTCATTTATGTAGCCACCACTACCATACGCACACGCACAGCATACCAATCTGCGAAGCTCTTTGATATGTTGATGTACTTAATTGACACACTGTTATGCGGGTACTTACTTGCAAATAGATACGTTTTCGCACATACGTAGTATAACATGATAACACCGATCTGATCGTCTACTCTTTTTTGGTCATGTTCGCCGTGCCACGACGTGTTGGACTGACAGCGAGTAACGGGTTCGTGAGATGTTTCGGTGAGTGTTGTTGGTCGTTGACTCAGGGACCCGTTGCGCACGTAGCACGTTCCCCTTTCTTGTACAGCAAGCAGTCCATAATGGGCGTCTGCTACGTGGATGCCATGCTACGAATAAAGGAGAAGCGTTGGTACCACACGTCAGGTACGCAGCGAGGACGTGCCCCGTTCGTTGAACCTACTACGGTACCTTGGAGAGCGCTCAAAGTGTCCGTCCGTAGTCAAGTGGCGTCGTGTACAGCTGTGTGGGTCCTTCGAGTTCCCATATGGGCTGCAGTAATGCCGCCCGCTGATCATGCATCCATCATACAGCAAGTTGCTGTGTATTGCTTACTATGAGTCTATCAGACGGGTGCTTTGGATTCCTGTTTGGCTTGTGGGCACCGGGTATTACCCTGGGAAGCAGAGCTGAGGGCTGATCATGCCGGTGTATCGTGGTGCTTGAAGATGACTACTATGACTCGGACACTGCTCATCCCCTGGTTGTGATATGCGATCCTGTCAATCTTACATGCTGTTTTGAGGGGCAGTATCACTTTCTTCGGCCCTGATTCGACTTCACGCTCATGCATCATAGGTGCGTGTACCTCATCTCGGCGCCACTCGGTGTGTAGTTAACTGCGTGCAACCTCGGAGCGCCAACGTCCATACAAGCGCTAACTTGATCTATGTCCTGGGCGCCACGGCCAACCCGCCAGCGCCTGTTTTCAAGGCGGCGCTAGATGATGTGACGCTCAGGCGCCGCTGCGGACGGGGCGCTCTTCATCGGACGCTCCAGTTTGCAATGTTCGGCGGCCGACGGCGACGTAGATCTGAGACATTTCTATTACAGGGCTTTGCGGTCTACAGCATGATCAGGAATTTTGACTGTACCATGGCTCGGCTGATGGGCTAGCCGACGTCGAGCTGAAACCTCGAGCTCTACACTCATTAGGATGTCTTGGGTGCCGACCTACTTGGTAGCCTCGAAGGTGTCAGAACTACAGCTCACAGCATTCCGTTATCAGATATCTGACCCAGAAGTTTTGCCCTTTAGGACTGATCAAGGCAAGTTCTCGAGTAATCGTCCCTCATATTCACACTAACGCCCTGATTGGTCAAACCATCTACCAATGAACATTCGAGCACTGGAGATGCCAGCGATCGCGCTGCTAGTAACGTCCTCATAGTCATTTCAGTCCGCATCCATCGGGGTGGGCAATTGAATTGCACAGCATCCCCGCCATAGCGTTCTCCCCCGAGCGTAGTATGCAAGCATACTGGCTCATAATGGCGGCACGACCTTGATGACCGATTTAAACACCGTGACTGCTGGCTTACATGATCTTGTAGAATGACTACGAAACCCATTTGCGGCGCGAACGAACGGGGCGGCGTCGGGCACGTCGGATACAACGCCTTCATTTCTTTCCCGCTAGTCTAAGACCCTAGATGAAGCCACGGGATTGGTCATAAATTCATAAAGCCGTCCATGTTGGCCTGCAGTGGCACCGCTGGTGCCTAGTTTCGTCACCCCTAGCATGCATTTACGAAACTCTGTCAGTGTTTCGTTTTACCAAGCAGTTCAGACCTCATAAGACTTCCCGACGTCATCGCGCCGCTGCTTGAGAGGCACCAAAATATGACATACACAGCAATGTCGTTAGATAAACCGGTCCCTTGCCGTAGCACTTGAGCTAACGTGTGTTTGTGCGGGTAGTCCGAGCAGACGTACCACAGCTACTACGCCATGAGGTCTGATGCGAATGCCTTTTCGAAGGTAGATGGGATTGGATAACGTGCGCGATGCCAACGCTGTGTTATGTGGCATGCTCGGTGCTGGCATAGGGTCTTTGAGGAAAGGGGCAGAAACGAGGAGATGGCGACTTCTGTGAGAACCACACAAGAAGCGATGGCAGTGACATAGCCAAAGTCGTGACAATCGGAATCAGATAACATAGCACGTACTACAAGGATCTTCTGTCTGAGAACGACGCCGAGGCAGCATGTGTGATCAATCGCGTCGCCCTTGGTTGGAAAGGGATGAAACGTCCAAATCCTGTAATTGTTCTCGAGGATAGAAGACGCGAAGACGCACTCGAGGGCTTCGCGCTAGAAGCGGCGAACAATGTACGCATATGGCCGGAATGCAGTGTAACAAAGGAGAAGACCACACAGAAGAAATAGCACGAGGGAGCAAATGCGAAAGTTTCATTTCAGGTTTGAGTTCGATCAGCATATTTTTTAAGGGTAGGGAAAGAGAACTATAGCGACGCACCACAGCCCCTGAGTTCGGCATCGCCTATATGATAGGAAGGAAATAACAAGAGATAGCTGGGTTCCACCCGCAATATTGGCACCGCTAGAAAAGGTCTCGGAGGATGTTCATCTACAATGCGAGATGCCGAAGATTTTCCAGGCCAGGACCGCAGTGATCTAGCCACTCTCGTAGATGCTTGCGCTACCTTCCACGACTGGAGCACAAGTGTGAGAATGCCTGTGAGGAGTTTGCCCTCATAGATTAGTGTACATGTCTTATGAGCATTTGAACCTCTGCGTAAGTGAATCGGGATCCGGGATAGGAGGGGTGTCATCGTCCGTGGCTAAAATTGCTGGCTGGACTTGGTCAAGAGGGCCCGTGTCGAACTTGCTATAGGTGCAATCGAGGATCCGAGGTGAGGAGGCTAAGCAAGTGCATACGACAATGCCCAGAGGTGGTGCTCTAGTAGAGCTTCTGGAAGTGACGAATGATTGATCAGCCCTAAAATGGCTTGGCCTTTGGGTTATCCCAGTCGTTGAACGCGAGGTGAGGTTTGAGGATCTAAGTCAACGGCTCCTGTCATCGATGTTTCATGCATAGTCAAGGTTATCTTTGTATGAAGAGACGAAAGCTGAGTGATTTCAAGGCAACATCATACTAAGTGGAGTTGAACGTCGAAGCTGAAGCGCTGAAGCGCTGAAGTCTTGAAGTTGAAACGCGCGTTCTCAAAGACACGTGGAGAGCCCCTATTGAAGATCGCTATGTGCCGGATTCTCACGCATCAATCCGTGGTTGTGCACAGCCACGAACCCATCGTCCCTCTATGATAGGCTCTATCGTCGTCGCAGTGTCGTCGCTTCGTCGCCAATCCTCCTTCTTTCAGAGATCTTCCAACGGCATCGTGTAATCTTTCTCAAAATGCACTACCTTCTCTCAGGAGAGGGATCGCATAATCCCATAGTTTCTCAATCGCTTCACTCTCCTGGCGCTCCTGGCCCCACATGTCGGTGCTGTTGATACTTCGCCATGAGCAACGGCGAACGCTCGGAGTGGTCCCTAGCATTCCTGTATCTTCGGTCTCGTAGGCTCTCACGCTGCTGATACGAATTCATGATCATAAATGCACTTCAAATCTGATCCGATGAGCCCACATCCATTTTGTAGCATTTCGAACTCGTGCAGTGGGATTGGCGTCGCTGTCCGACGCACATGGCGTAGCCTGGCCCCCCATGGGAGACTGCACATCACCGCCGCCGAGCCAACCTTCAAAGCCATGCACCAGATCTCCTAAGTAATACCAGATTCCATCATGACGCGGGATTGCATTTCATCCACGGTTGACTTCGAGGGCTTGGCAAGGCTGAGTGCCTTTCGGGGACCAAGCATCGCGCACTCAAACCAAGTGTGATTGGGTGCATGGGTGGATCTCGCTCCCAGACGACGTCGTATATAACGGCAATACAAGGGAACCTATCGACGAGCTTATCGTTACACTCGACTCGCATCGCGCGAAGAGCATGTTGGTGTACGATGAACTCAGTTTTCGTGGCCGACGGCCTGCCCATAGACGAGGATGGGAGGGTATACATTGAGCGCCAAATATGAATATGAAACCAGACGGTGATTCAGAAGCTTGATAACACGGTTCTATTACAATTGGTTAAATTCAAAAGGGTCAAGGGAATGAAAATATCCGTGATATACATACTACCATTCAGGCGAAGGCGTGAGCCAGGCCATCGTGATCATCTCCATCCACGGCGGGCCGACGTCGCATCGTTCGATCAACGATCCACCCTTACTTGGAACAGTTCAATCATGGCGTTTCCTTTACAGGGTTATTTATCCCTAGTTCCTATTGAACGATATGGAGTGTGTCACGCTTTACACCGGAGCACTGGGACGGCAAGTCGTCGATAGCGGCGGACGATGTGGGGGAAAGCGAAGACGCCGTGAAGCATATTTCTTGTCCAACCCGCAGACGTGTTCTCAGCCATCCTCTCAGGTATATCGGGCCCCTGTTAGGTCACATCCACGAGAAATGACCAAGGAATTTGGCCCCTCTCGCAATAAGGTAATTGGTGGGTTGTGTAAGCCGATCTACTTATACGGATGTTATCATCTCAGTAGCACTCAACATGCACATGACGGATAACCTTTGTCCTTCGTGGGTGCTACTTTTACCTCCTACCTTATCAATCACTGACAGCCAACTCTTCACAGGCCAGCCTAGCTTTTGTCTCTTCCAAGCTTCAAGTTACTACTTGCGTCGTGCCCAACTTTGCCGTTACCCACTTTCGGTCTCCTCGGGAACAGGGCCGCGATGCGGCGAGCGGTCAGACGCTGTGGACGGTGACGAGTCCCGATCCCGAGATACACGCGTTCCTCGAGTGCATCACGCTCAATAACGGTGCACACCAAGCTCATTGCGCCGACGATCGCGCATGCATGGCAAAAACAGCACTTCTGTGCCGCTTTCGGAGGCGTTTCAGGCGTTTAAGGCGATCTCAAAAACGATGCTGACGGTTTGAATTGTGCGTGAGAAGGATGTCCCGTCTTTCATCACCATCGTACTTCTTCTTTACTCCCTACGGCCGGATGTACTTTTACCCTTAGTCAGATGCTAGGTTATGTATACAAACAAAACAGCGCTGGTGACATTGTTGACTCCGCTGGTGCACCTGTATACTCTACTTCTCGAGAAATATCTCGTCAATAGCCCAGGGCGCAGCTCGATAACGATCAGCCACGAACTGGGTCATATTGCTATTTTCATTCAGGAGATCAATGAAGGTGGACTCCGTAGTCTCTCGTGTCTTGAACATTTTGCAAGGTTGGTACCCAGATGTTAATAAGACGCAGAAAAATAATCTCAAACCTGAACTGGGCTTCAATTAGTAGTCATGGTTCTCCGCAGCCCTCGACTATCGGATTTCCGTTTATTCCAGGCCAGCAAACAGCTTGCTGGCTTCTAGAAACATTTCAGCTCGATGTTTTCACTCCAATGATGGCCATCTTCATCGTTTACACTCGCAATATCATGTCATGGCCCTCCAAGACCCGCAGATCTAACAATGGAAGATCTGTCCCCTCGAGTTTAACGCCGATTCTGTTATGGAAAATTCCGAGTCAGGGCCCAATAAACCCTAAAACTTTCGAGGATCGTTACGTGTGCGCAAGATGAAGCACTGACGACTGGAGTCAGCAGCACACACGGTCTTCATGACCGTCCTCTCGGCTCCAGGCACAGTAATGAGTAGCCCCTAGAAACATTTGCATTGATCACTACGTAAGTAATACATATATGCGTTGTAAGAATACAATAAAAATCAAACAATAGTCTGCGATGTCTCGTGTCAGAAGTGATTGTACAGGATGAGTGCTATATTTTAAAGATGTCCTTAGCCTCGAGGACGAGATTAGGTATGAAGAGATATAGTACGGCAGCCGGACCTCGAAGCCCTCGGGAATCATTCGATCAATCACTGTGATCCTTTGCGCTCGTGCAAGAACATCGACCATCGGTCCTCCAGACCTGACGGCCTTGAACTTGAAGATGGCCCTGCACTGGCCTGCGAGCCGTACCCGTTACCAGGGATTTCCCGATATAACCCCTCCCATTCAAGAGGTAGCCCCACGCCGGCAGCTCCCCCCACTGGATATGACGCGGACGACTGGCTATGAGTCTGCGAAAGGCCCGATGTTGAGTCCGGGTTATGCAGAGTACCATGTTCATGCCCATGGTGGAGTGCGTGCGGGTGAGACGAAGATCCAGCAGCCGACGTACTCCTCGAGTAGGCATCGTAGCTCTCAGTATGCGCGCCGAGAATACCACCATGGCTACCGGGTCCCGGGAGTCCCATAGCACTTGACCCAGCAAATGCACCTCCTGACCCAGTTGCTAGCGACGACCTTCTGGAGCTAGGAGTAAGCAACATCGTCCGGCCTCCGAATATCGCAAGTTCGTCGTCACCCTCGTCGTATCCCTCGGGCCGCCGGGCCGTCGGACCCAGTCGATCCTCTCGGGCCTGAACTGCCTTCTGGCGGAGTTGGAGGAGAACGGGCTGATGGGAAAGAAGAAAGGGGAGGAGTCAAGAAGAGTAGTTATAAAGAAGGTCGCGAATCAGACAATGCACGCCACGGAGTGGGGAAAGTAACACGGAAAACTTACGAGCGCCTTGTGTGCCCTGCTGCAATTGTGCTGCGAGGCCTTGCGGAATAACTGACACGCCTTCTCGAGTTCTTCGAAGGGTTCTGGCTCGACACTCAGGGCCCGAATTGCCACTGTGCCAATTATAACCTGAAATTTCGCGGAACGGAGTTAAGCTTAACCCATATTCACGTGAAACCTCATTTTCAAAGAACTTACAGCTGCAGAGAAAGCGAATGACCACGGTCGCCATATCCTAGCCAGCAGGGTAGGGTTCTGTGAGAACGTGACTATTGTTGAAGCGAGGACGGAGCACGCGCTCTGGTACGCTGCAATGAATGACTGGACCACTGGACTTCGCTGCGGATCAGACGGATAATCTGTCATGGCCTGGGCGAAAAAGCCCCTGTGGAGGAACATCAATGCTAGATCGGAAAGCGTCAATCATGGAAAATGGTTTCTCCGTCTCGGAGTGACGTACTGAGCTCTCGGTAGTGTGATCTAGCAAAGTTCTGCATTTCCTTCGCTACCTGCTCGTCGCCAATCCCGTTTCCCACCTGAGGTATAGCGAATTGTCGGATCCGATGGTCAAGTTCTTGGATGCTCTGGTATGGAGGTGCCTTCACCGCTTGAGTAGCTTCGACAACTGGAACGAGACACTCCGACGTGTAACTGAAACTCCAACTACCGACTACCCGAATCTAATGATCAGCGCAAAAAGCCGTTCCTTTGTCAAAAGCCACGTACAGCCTAGCGGTATTTCGTTCCGTTGGAATAACATCTCCTCCTCGATGGTGGGTGGGCGGCAGTCCACTACCGAAGGCATTATGACCGGTGGCCGACCAGTGACCAAGCTCTGGACGCCATGGCTGGTGAGTTTACATTCATGACGTAATGTGTCACTTACCTGCCACAGGGTCCCTGCGAAGAGATTCCAGAAATATGCGCGACGGTCGTACGCTTCCCTGCCTGTAAAACCCCATCGCTCAGGGTCCTTGTCTGTTTGGACGAAGCTCGTCAGCGCCGGTGCCAGTTCAAATGAATGCAAAAGTGACGTACGAAAACCAATCTGTGGGTATTCGGCATCAGCTCTACAAATTGCCGTGAGAGACGGGGAGAAACGCGCCTGCAAGGCGGTCTGCCCTGAGAGGTTCAGCAGCGCGTAGCATTTCTCGAGATTGCTCTCCTTCCCACTCATCCCGTTGTAGATACTCTTTAGATGAAGCGCCTTCACCGTCGTTAAAGAACGCTCGCCGAGGATGGGTTGTAGGCATATAGCGGCACGGGCGAGACAATGGTAATGCTGGGCCTCCGAGTTGTACGGCGGCAGGTTGGGGTCACAAAGGGCCCCGATAGCCATGACGATCAGCAGCAACGCAAGCTCGTGAGGGCCGTACTCTGAGATATTTGATGACCCTGGGAGCTTGTAGACGGCGGGGATTACCTCTCGGTGCATGTGTTGCATGGAGACGATGTGTGCCATCCACGACATAGACGTCAGGTAGATTCCACATAGATCTCTAGCGCGCTCGATGCTGGGTAACTGGGATTCGATCATCGTTTGCACGGGGCCGATAGGTATGCCCATAGGCGTAAACGGAAATGATTGGGAGAACATGAGAATTTCTCGGGGGAGATAGGAGAGGTCGGCCTCGCGGAGGATCGGGGGCGACTCGGAACCCGACTCTATCATGAACTCCTTGGCCTGCTGCCCATGGGTTTACGTGCGATGATAACGAACGAAATGGTCGGTGACGTACCAGGAGCAGCGTCTGTCAAACGATGAGCCAGCTATCCAGAAATGCTGAGAGAGACCGACGCTACCTCGGATCCTCCCGACGCACCAAAAAACCGTGAGTGCCCGCTCTGGTTGTCACCCTCAAAATGCAGCTGCCCCAGCGCGCCGATGAGTCCATATTTGTTGTATTCGTCCGATTCACCCCGGCTTGACGGTCTCTCCTCGGGGTCCAGCGGATCGGGGGATAATCGTTGCTGCAGCAGGGGGTGCGGCTCGCTGGTGGTGTTGCCTTGTATGATGGCGAGCGCGTCTTCCAACGACCGCATCCGCTCCTCCAACTTGGCGGTCTTGCGGCGGAGGTAGTCTTCGGCAATCCCAACGAACCTGCAGATTCTACGTCAGAAGCCAAAACGCTGTTGATCTTCGCTCGTGATGCACCTACTGCCTTCACCTGGAGGCATGGTGCCTGGGGAGCAGAGTGGAGTCAGTAAAACCCATGAGATAGCGGTTCATCCGGCTCACCATTTGGACAAAGCATGCTACACCCCCTCTTGATGCATGTTGAACATGGTACTGACAAGCCCGTCAGCACGGACTCGGCGGGTGCGGTACGCCGGACGTCGGGAGAAGGGACTTACTCTGCTTGTCGCATCGTGCCTTTAACCTCGATGTCGTCAATTGGGTTGTCTATCAATCAAAGTGTCAATACACTGAGTAAAGATGGGACGTACCTGCGACACTCCGCACAGGCAATCTCGCCGCGAGTCCGTTTGCGTTCTTTGTTGCTCATTGTGCTATGGAGAGTCAAACAGAGGGAGGACCCCCCTTGTAGACAGTATAAATAGAAGTTGAGAACGGGATGAGCCTTGAAGATCACTCCGATAGACGCCGAAGGAACCTGCCAATTCAGTGAAGCTTTTAATGCTGATTTGTCGCATAACGCGAGGGAAGGAAGGACACTCGAAAGTTTTCCTCACGGTGAACTCATAAAATGTGATCGAACGGCGTGGCATTGACCCAGCACCTCTCCAATGCCGAGCGTCTCTTGCCGCGTGCCCCGGCGGTTGCAGAAAAAATTCCTGAAAGATGATGTGAAGGAGCGCTCGTCACTGGGGACTAGAATCAAGGTATTGAGTGGATCGCATGGGCAGCACCTGGCGGTACCATAACCTGTTCGAGAGACCAACAGAACTGTCACCAAAGGGTAAACCATTAAACCCTGAGACCGGTACATAACGGGAGTTCATACTCACACGATTGTCAAGATGATATCATGAAGTCACCATCTGGTCCTCGACTGCGGGGCGGGCTTTCACTTTTTAGTGCGTAGAGATCCAAGATTGCGTTCTCCACAAAGTGTGACGAGCGTAAAGGCCAGGGCCTGGCGCCCGCGATTCATAAAGTATAATTAGTCATGCGAGCGAGGTAACTCTGGCTGCTAGTAACTCTCACAAAAGACAAAAGGCTCAGCTTCTTTGGGCTTATCCTGGCTTATCACCCAGATTTTCCGAGGCTTCGGTTCCAGGAACGATCATGGGCACATTGGCCACCTCTTTCTATTCTAACTGCGGGGTTGCGCCATGACCCATTGCAGCGTGACGGAACCTGATTTGCATTTATACCCTGAGCCCGCAACGCCAGTTGCCGGTCGAGGGTGATGACACCGAGGACCGGTCGCGGTCTCATGTCCGTTGTCCGTTTTCCGCAGCGCAGCGCTAAGAGAAACATACTTGCATTACATGTAGTTTATCGAGGTTGTCATCAAGGTAGGCTCATATCGTAGGATTTGCTTACACACATGCCCGCGAATGCCGACGGCATTCAATGATTAGATTTGACTATGCGCATCTACGCGCTCAAAGCAGCCGATGATGATCGGGGTAAGTGTCAGTGTCATGTCAAGGGCGTCGACATCAGGAGGTTAAGGAAGCTATTGAGGACAACATGCACCTTTCAAACTTTGCAATACCAGCCCCTACCAGCCCCGGCTGCCTTCGGCAAGTGCTGAAGGGTGCTGATACCGCGTAACAAGCGATGTCGACTATGGAGAAAGTTCAGTCAGGTTTGGTCAGTCGGGCGAGCCTCGTATGCTCAAGCAGCATGTGCACAGATGTGCGCTATTGCCAAGAAGTACCACAGCAAGGTAACCATGGTCAAGCACTTTCAGGATGGGCATTCTCCAAGCCCCTTGCAACGGCTGACGGAGAACGAGTGGATTGTCGTTATAAAGGAATGGTATAGGAAGATACAAGGGGGTATATACGATGGACGTCAGCTACCTGCGCCGTCGCGTCACCGACTTAACGATTAAATTAAGAATAGAGCAACGCACCTTCAATCCGGAGCAACTCTGGAGCGCATACATACAGCTAATTAAACCTTTACTGGCTCTTCGTCGGCAAGAGTCAGGGTGCTTCTACCAGGTGCGCAGGTGTCAAGAGACGTCTTCTCTCCGGAAGAATTGGTCGAAATCGACATCATGCTGGATGTAGGTTGGTCGGTGACGGGCTGAAGAGCTCCGCCGTTCTCGCGCTGCTCCCTGTCCTGTTGTGTTTTCACTGCTTCTTCAAATCTATCCCTGTCGAAAGACTTTTCGAAACAGCTAGTGCACCAGCCCCGTTGGCCATCGCAAAGGTCGTTAGATCCGAACGCCTCTGTTAGGAGAAGCAAGGGTCAGAAACGAATGAGCTACGACAGCCAAGGAGACGGAGCTGTGCTTACTGGTGTTACACCAAGTCCAGAGCGCCGACTCACAGCAAATGCCTGTGAAGTTTCAGCGGGCAATGAGCCTGATTGCCAGGATGCTGAAAGCCATCGTAACAAGTACTCACAGCAGCATCCGCATATACCCGCATCAACTTCAGCAACAGTATCAGCCATGTGTGAAGGTGTTCCGAAGACGATAATAAACAAGGTCCCCGGTGGATTCAAGGAAAGTGTGTGGGTTTGATGAGCGAAGCATCATGGCTGCGGTACCCTGGATGTCGTGGCAAGTCATCGGTTAGGAGGTCGAGCCCTGTTGAAGAATTTGCTGGCGCGCCACCTGCCAAATGGTCGTCATCGGGCCGCTCCACCGACGCCGAGCAGCGCCGAGGACCGCCGAGCCCATCGTCGTCTGCGCCCTCGCTGCATGAGTTTCAGACGACCCATCTCATCGCATAAATTATCGTTGTTTGAAGGTTTGTTGAGAGCGGACCAGGGGCCAGCAGCGAGCAGATAAGGATTTGCCGGAAGCGCGTCTCGTTGACTCGGGCCAAGCCACGATGTAGTGGCCACAAATGACTCGCTGCTTACGCCAACCATCCGAAGCACATCTTTGCTAAACCACGGACGCAGAACACTTTCATCGAGATGGAAGAGCTAACGTGGACGTTTGCGCAGGATTTTGTGGTGACTTTCCAATCCACAAGCACGGGTACGTCTATTTTGCACCATGAGCCCATCAGAGTTCATACCGGCTTGCCTTCGTGATAGAGTTGTCCACGCGTCTCGAGAGTTTGCGTTCGTCCGGATCCGTTACGCCAGATGACCTCCAGAAGGCCTCTCAGGATGTCTCCAAGCTATCAAAAGAGCTCACGGATGCGACAGGGAGGCTTCCAAGCTACGATCAGCGACAATGTGTTCTGGTGGGTCGCTCTCATAACAACGCGCATACATCGAGGAGATTGACGCAAGGATCCTCTTCCATCAGCAACTACAGACACTAGAACGCAAAGTCAACGATCTGCAGCTGTCTACGAACAAGCCAAAGTTCTCTTTCAAGCGAAAGGCTGTTCAGGGTGCACCCACACCTATGGCAGATACCGAGACTCAAAACGTGCACAAGCAACCAACCTCGGACAAGGCTTCTAGCGTCCCAGTCCCCGCTCCCAGCGATGTCATGAGTATACAATCATTGTCACACAGGTACCTTGATACTGGCTTCTGGTCCCCATCCGAGAATCGATCAGAGCTCTCGATATCGTCCATCGAAAACTGTATCGTGAATCTCCTGCCTCGTGCTGACCAGGAGCTATCCCTGTCGGCGGTGCATGTCGCGCAGCTATCCGATAGCATCCTACTTCTCCCTCAGATCAAGGGTAGCATGCTTCTGCACAACATCAAGAACTGCGTCATAGTCGCTAGCTGCCATCAGGTAAGTGCGTGTTCTGTGCCCGAGTCTTGAAGAAAACTTTTCTACTTGTCCTCGTTTTGCTTATACCTCCCACCCGTGACTGATGTGCTACCTTTTTGCTTGCCATCCTCGCTCTTCACAGTTCCGCATGCATGACTCATTCGCCGTTGACGTATATCTCAACATCTCCTCCAACCCCATCATCGAAACAAGCAATAACATCCGCTTTTCACCCTACCCTGACACGCTTCGCGACCTACTTCCGCACAGCAACCTTCAGGTGCGCGATCCTGTCCCCTTTCCCTCATTCATACAACGATATCCCAAACTTACGCATTGATCTCTTGTTTCTCTCAGCTTCTCGCCCCGAACAGCCAACACCTCGCCGTGCGGGATTTCTCCCATATCCGCGCAACACCGTCGCCACATTGGCGTGCCTTGCCCGAAGAGCTTCGGGTAACGGACTGGTCGAACGCTGTTCGTGATGTCGGACAGGTGGATAGTGTGCTGGCAAGACTTCTGCCTGATAAAGCCAGTTGAAGTGAGCCTTCCATTGAATACTATGCCCTCTCATGTTTCTCATCTTAGGCAGGTATGTGCTCTCATATCCCAGGTGATAGTCGCCGACCGAAGTGGTCCTGGTGGAGACCTACTCACGACTGTCAACTCTTTGTGTGGTAAAAGAAGCTTTGATCCGTGGAATGTTACGTGGTTTGTGATCGGCTTGTCCCCATCCGCCTCAGTTTTCTCGTTGCGGCGCAGATAGAACCGCTACTTCAGCAATAGGCTTTATCATTACAATACGACACGATGAAGCTGGATGACCTCTTTCCGGTCAGACAGGACCGCCGCTGCGCCGGTTATTCGAGGGTTCCTTTGGTATGTATTGCGCTCAGGACCCCCTGAGCTTAATTATAGTAGGTTTTGAGCGTTCATCGGAGTACACACGAGCGTCGGTGTCCGCTGGTGTCTTCGCCTCGATGCAAAGACGAGGCTCGCACTCTTCCTGAATCTAATCGACAGGTACATGGCGGAGCTGCGCACGTGTTGTATCACCGACTGTTCTTCTCACCGCACGTACGGTACCTTCTCTGTCAAGATCGAGAACACGGATATGATTGTGGAACCGTTGCAGCTTGTTGTTCAAACCTTCGCGGCTCAGCGCAAGCTGCGCAACCGGAGCCATAGCCTGAGGCCGCCGCCGACCATTAAAGAGACCGACATTCAGTTCGGCGTCATGGCCGCGGAGGTCCTTCCAGTTTATCAGGCACGCATGCCTTCAATATTTGCCGCGCAGTAACCCTTTTGCCTTCTTGTAATCGGCTAGATACAAATAACCTTCATGACGATGAACGGAAGGGCCGCCACTGCACACATGGTGAGTTCGTCTCTTTTATTGAATTCTCGCTGGCGCCCCCGAGGAGATTTCGCTGTTGATATGCGTAGGCTATCAGCTTGCCGATCAAGAATTCCTAGGCGCACGACCGTCAGCTTGGGCTTCTATTGGCCAACTGGTCTTCGTCATTCGTTTTTTGGACCTCTGACGCCGGGTTTAGCAACATCAAGGGGGCTAAGGCGGGTAACATGAGCATATAGCACCCTGTGCAGTTACTTTCTGGCATGAGTAATATCATGCGCCAAGAGCCCGAGATAACGAGCATAGATCATACCCTCGGTCGTTTAACTTCGCCGATCCCCTTTACCGAAGCATTAGACGGCGATTCATTTGTCTCCTTTACAAATGCAGGAACTTGGAATGCCCGGTAGAAGCATCTAGTCGTCCAAAGATACGACCGGTACAAGCTTTGACGAGGATGCTTACAATGGCTATTTGTCTTCGTTTGGTCCTCGCCTCGCACTCTTTCTCGGTCACAACGGGTAAGATTTTCACTCGCTCATTGTCCTCATGCATGGTTCGAGGCGGTACGGGAGTAGCCCCGGTAGCGCCTGAACGTGGGGCATGTGTTGGTGTGATAGCCTGTGCACGTGCGCAAGCCTCTCTCTGAATACTGCAAAGTGCTCGTCCAGGTACTGAGTCCCGACGATCGTTGTTGAGCAGGATCTTCTTTTGGCGCATATAGGTTGGACCTAGCGAGCGAATTTCGGCTCGCAGTCGAAATCAACAGTCAGCCAGACGATTATGACCTACTTTTACAGGCTGGGTCGCGCCATCGCGAGGCCCTTAGCGTCTGTGATGCTATCGGAGAACATACAGCATGAGCTTGCCAACCTCTCCGCCTCAGCTTTGGAAGAACTAATGGAGCGGAACAGGCTAGGCGGACGAAGCGCAGACGACCCGATCTCCGGCCTTGTGCAGCGATTCAAACTATGCAAGCAACCAAACACGAAATCGGACTCAGGCGACGATGATCTTGGCGAACCACCGGGGTTCGTCAAGACCTCTGACGGTCTTGCATTCTCTCCTAGCGGACACCATATCTATGCAGGAGGTCCTGGCAACGCTATATGCGTCTGGGACATCGAAACAGAGCAGTTTGTCGGTGATCCTTGGAAATTTCTACCAACGCCTCCGCTGTCCTTCACCGTCGCCCCAGATGGGACAAAGCTCGCGACTAGCATGGACTCAAGAGAGAACTTCGGAATCTGGATATGGACTGTTAACTCTCGAGAGGCGATCCAGTGCCAAGGGCATGAAGGTCGTATCACTTTCCTTGAGATCTCGCCTGATGGTCAATGGCTCTCTAGCACGTCATACGATGCGACGACCAGACTATGGGATGTTCACACAGGAGAGGCCGTGGGGGAATCGTTGAAGGAGCACAGTTACGGCATCGCAGCAAGTGCTCACTTCACCCCAGACGGGCAGAAACTGGTCGTCGCACTTGGTGAAGACAAGGTCGGGTCTTATCAGATATGGGACGTCTCCTCCTCTCCGTTCACTCTGGCGGTCGGACCTGTGCATTTGACTCACAGCGTCGAAACGACACGACTGTCGCCTGACGGACGGACGCTCGCGTTCGTGACTCTTCACGGACAGGTCATCGTATATTTCCCGTTGGGGCCTAGTTCTCTCGAACGCGCCGTCCTGGACAACTCAAGCATAGCAGTCGCATTTCCCCCTGATGGACGCAACCTAGCCATCAGAGCCATCTCGGATGGCTCCGTGCGTATCTACGACCTATCCAAGCTCATAAATCTGTATAGCGATACCTCCAAGCCTGTAAACGCAGCAGGCCGCCAGGTGACAGTTCAAACGAGTACTTCGAGGGAATCAAGTTCATCAAGTTGGTCTCTGGTCCGTTCATGGGTCCTAATCAATTTCTAAGTCGCGGGCTGGCATTCTCTCCTACTGAACAATATGTTTGCACTGTTTCGCATGACACGGGCGAATTCTTCGTCTGGGATGCGATGGCGGGGGAGACCGGGGTTGACATGTCAGCCACGGCCCATTGGCAGGTGAGCTCATTCGCTTAGTACTTTGTCTGGCGACGTCGGCTAACTTTGAATGTTCCACGAGCGTCGTTTTGAGGAAGAGGAGAAAGAAGTGCTAGCTGCGAATCGTGTAAGCGATGCATGATACACGTCGCGCTCTCGCATATTAAACGATCTGCATGGTAGCCGCCGGCCGACAACATATCGTTAGACGAAGAGCTTCGTAATGTATGTACAATTTGCTCAAAAGTGCAAGGGTCGTCTGACATTAATTACTCTAGATTTCTGCCATCCCTACCTCTAGTCGCGAGAAGAGGGCTAGAGATAAATTTTGGAGCGAGCAAGAAGGGCAAGGCGACTCGCAGACGGCACATAACCCTGGCTCAGAGGTGCCCTGAGATTACTCGCTCCTAGTGTCAGCGTCTTGACTGATCGTTGTCATTTCACGAGATGTAGGCCAAAAACACGTCTCGCATGAGATCGAAGAAGAAAGCCAGCTCTTTCAATTTTCCCTCCCTGATCCCTCGGCGCGGAAGAAATGGTCGCACGGAAAAAGAAATGATTCCGGCCAAGATGAAACAGGTGAGTCGACTGCCCTCGTCTCACCGGACTGAGATGGCTCAGTCCTGCATTGCAGCGCCTGGCCGGAGCCCCCTATCCAAAGCGTTCTCGATGGAGAAAAAGAGAGGATGACGAGGAGAACGATTCAGATGATGAAGCTGATGCTGCGGACCATCACAGTGATGAAGCCGGTGATCGCCATTCAAGTGCTTGCTTCTGTTGGCGACGCTGAGGCATTGTAGAAGTTGGCTAAACTGTACCTTTGTAGCATGTGATATATTGACTCGCCTTCTAGTGTTGACAAGCTCGTGGATCCCATACAAAATTAGTCAGTCGAAAGACGGCCGTAGTGTGTGTTTTACTTCCAAAAACTTGCCATCAGCTTCCGTGCCCGGAGACTTCCCGGCTATGTCCGACGCACTGGTACTCGCTAAAATCAGATCTTCTAGCTGAGAATAGTCCAGAGAAAGTTCGCGGTTTATTCATCATCATCATTAACTACTTTGGCATTTCTGGGGTATAAACCTTGTAATAATACACATCTTGGGAGACTACACAACAGAACTTTAATGTTCCTGAACCCGGAGCTTTCCAACTCCGAGTCGTCCTATGTATGGATCCGCAGCGATCGCCATGACATCACGCCTTGAGGTCATCAACCAGGTACCTCTCGAAGAAATGCATACCCTATCTTCGTGCGTGCGTCGCGATCAGGGCAGAAAGGCGGGTGGGTGCTTTGAGAAAAAACAGAACTCACCGTGCCCCTCCTTCTCGCAAACCACCAAGCCTGTCGGCACCCTCTGCGAGAGGCACGCGCGTGTCGTCCTCGCCGTGCGTGATCAGCGTCGGCGCCGAGATTCTGTCCGCACCGCTGATGGGCGAGACGTGCTCGAGGAACGCGCGTATCTTGGGGTCGGACTCGTCGCCGTACTCGCGGCGCCGGGCGGCGCGCCGCATCGCAGCCGTGTTCTCGAGGAAGGACGGGAGGTGAGTCATCCCGAAGTTAGAGAGGCCGCAGGTGAGCTTAGAAGAGAAATGTACGAGGCTTGACTAAGAAAACGTAGGGTTAGTGAAAAGTGGAGTTGTAGAAAGAGAAGAAGAACGCGTACGAAGACCATGAATCCACCGTCTGCATCACAGACATCAGTGAAGCCAAATGAGTATAGCGTGTCTGAGCTCACATGAGCCGCCCATAACTGCAATCCGAGAGGGCTCAAGCTCTTTGCCCATATTCTGATGAATGTGGTCCAGGAGCGCCCCAATGTCCCTATAACCCAATAAGAGAGCGTTCTAACAGATGTCGGCAAAGCAAGCTTACTTGATAGCGTCCTCTCGCTTCTCAATATCGTCCGCTGCAAGGAACGACTTGCCATATCCCGAGCTGCCCCTGACGTTGGGATATATCATCGCGCACTTCAGCTCGTTCAGGAAATACCCATGTGTCGACCTTCATAGTCAACAAAGGCATGGGCGTCATAAGCCAAAGGACAAGCTACGTAGAACTTACTTGGCAGGAATACACTTCGACTGCGACTCCGGCCCGCCATGAATGTATATGATCACCGGCACCCTGCTCTCGCCCTTATCTGGATGATAATACATCGCAGGGATCTCCATCCCATCAAAGCTCTTGAACAACTTCATCAACGTCGGCGGGACCGCGCCCTCGTCCCTCGGCGTCGTCGCCTGGCCGTAAAACCTCATCTTCGGCTCAGTGAACGCCCCACCATCCGTATCCACGCGTACCCCGTCCCTCCGCAAATGCAGGGCCGAGATCCACATGCACAAGCATACTCTTCGCGCGCACCGACGACAGCACAAGAACAACCTCTCTCGGATCCGCGCTGCTCGACCCATCCTGGGGCAACGAAATCCAGCCCTGCTCCCACTCGAGCTTCACCTCGAGCACCCGGTCCCTGTGTGGGCCCCGGAGGGGCACAACGAAGAGCGGCGCCCAGCCCTCGAAGTCGACCGTGAACGCGATATGCTCGCGCGCCACGGCGAGTTCCTGCGCCTCCCACGGGATCGGGCGCAGCGCGCGGAAGGCGGGCTCGGCGGTGGTGATATGCGTGATCGCGCGCGCGGACACATCGTACGCGACGACGGCGTCAAAGTCTCCGAAGGCGTTGGAGATGCAGTACAGCAGATGCGGCTGTGCCGGGTCGCGCGAGAACGTGAGCCACCCGTTTGCGCTGTCCGTGCCGGTCTGCGCGCCGGGGAGGAGGATTTGCTGCGGCGAGCCTGGCGAGGAAGGATCAGAGATGTCGATGGTATACAGGGGCCGGTCGGCGAAGGAGTTGATGTGTGCGAGGAGGATGTACTTGTCGTCGAGGGAGATGCTGTACGGCCACCAAAAGGATGTCTGATTGTTCTCCTTGACCTTTGTCACAAGCGTCGACTGGAGTAAGAGCGGGGTGGAGGAGTCAGGTGTGGTGGGGTTGGAGCCGCCAACAAGCTTGGTCATGTACTACACGAGCATGTCACGAGAGTTAGCCTTGTTGTCGGTGTACACCACCAGCCTTTAACAGGCTCCTTCAGCATCACCACATTTTACAAGGTTGTGGATAGCACTCACTTTTGAGAAGGCGAAACAGTCACACCCATGCACCTCGACTGTCCGTCATGCGTCAACCTTTCGACCCGCCCTTTACCAGGCGCATTATCCAGCTCTCCCTCGATCTTGGGCAACACCGTGTCGCAATACTCGTCCTCCGAGTGGGCCTAGCCTCCATCAGCCCCTCACCTCATCGCATGAAATAAAAAAAATAGCCCAGCGCACCACAACTGAAAATTCTCACTCCCGCTCAGATCCATCTCCAGAACAGCCCCGCCACCCCTATACATCCCGCGCCAGTCGTCCCCGCCAACCGGCACGTACGCGCGTATCGTCCTCCCCGAGCCCATATCGAAGTGCGTGAGCTGCTCGAGCCCGGTCGAAGGCGGGTCGACGGGCATGCGGAACAGCTGCGGCACTTGCGCGTCTTCGGGGCGATGGCGGATGATTACGCTGCTGGTGGGCCCGGGGGACTTGGCTTGCGCGCTGCCGTCGTTAGCTCTGGGTTTGATGGGTCGCTCGAAGCCAAAGAGGTAGCCGGATCCTGTGGATCAATTGTCCAAGGTAAACCTCCGATCTAATATCCCCTAACTCACATCGCGGGAAGGCACATCGTAACTACTGTACATTGTTTCGAGCTATCCTTCCCTTAAGGACCTCCTCACGCCCCTCTCGTCCTCTTATCCTCCTCATACGTCTCTTTGACCTGTAGCGACAAAACCATCCAGCTCTACTGGCCATAACGACAAAAAACAACCCTCACCTTCTTAGCAAACGCATCGTCCGTCAACACCCGCACGCCGACCGCCGCGAGCGCCTTAGACACCACCATCGTCGCGTCGTGCGCGACCTCCGTAGCGGCCGCGCTTGCGAACCCGCGCGTGTGGTTGCCGCCGTCGGGCTCGGTGGGTATTGCTAGAGGGGGTAAAAAATCAGACGTCCAAGCGACGAGGTCGTGAGCTAGGCTTACAAAATCCGGGGTGTATCGCAGGCATAGCTGTTGCGTTTCGCGTTTCGATCGCTTTGACTCAGCAAACAGAAAGAGGGGATAGGAAATCACCAACCGTAGGTGACATGACCCTGTGACATCAACGACGTCAGCTTGAGCAATCCACTACCCACCAGTCGAGCTAAAGGCTCACAAAATCGGTAGAAGCGCTGTGGATCCCCCACTCGTAGTCGATCACGCCGTATCGCTTGCGCACGACGTCCCGCAGCTCCTCGCCCAGTGCGACGTTCTGTCGGAGCTCATGGCCACCCTGGACATCCTCGATCGTTACTGTACAGCCGGTCGCAGTGGCTGCGGCTCTTCGGCGGAAGTCAGTTAAAATGGGCAGGGTAGCAAGAAGCTCAAGCCTTAGACGCACTCGAAGCACGCGCGGACACGCCTTGCGGTGTCCCTGGCTTCTGCTGTCGTTTTAGCACGGACGATCCAGCTGGGGTTGATCGTGCCTATCAGAAAAGGACACCACACGACTTCAGCAAACATACTTCATGACGGCATTGTCCGGAATAACTGGAGAGCGAGATTAGAAGTGTCACCCATAATGCTATTGATGGAAAGCGCACTGTTTGGGTACCAGTCCTTCCCCGTGAACACGCCGTGCACGCGATGAGTAGGTTTGAGCTGCTGTCGCAGGACGGCGACGTTGTTGTACGCGAGCACAGCTGCGTCAAGCGCGTTTACGCCCTCCCAAGGGCTCAGTGCTGCGTGTGCTCTGGGGACATCGCATTGGCAGGGGACAGAGGGCGAGGGCACAGAGGACGTACGTGTGGCCCGTATACTCAACTCTGTACCGTACAAGCGCAAGCGAGCTGCTCAAGCTGATAGAGTGCCTCGGGCCAGGAGCGGGATGCACCATGAGGCACGCATCCATACCATCGTACAAGCCCCTGTCGAGCATCTTGACCTTCCCAAACCCACCTTCCTCCCCTGCACGCCCCGGTCATTGCAAAGTCCTCTCGTCAGCTACCGTAGTACGCTAACTGACGACAGCGAGGGAGCAGAGAAGACGGCATACCAGGCGTCCCAAGCAACACCACCTTCCCGCTGATATCGAGCTGCTCCATCGCCGCGCGCGCCGCGCACGCGACAGCGACGCCCGAGATGCCGATGAGGTTGTGCCCGCACGCGTGGCCGATGCCAGGCAGCGCGTCCATCTCGGAGTTGACCCCGAGAATGCGTCCGCCGGTCCCGTGCTGGAAGGTAGCGATCCACGCGGTGGGGAGACCATCGACGTCACGCACGTCCCAGCCCTGGCGCCGCATGAAGTCGGTGTAGGTCTTGTGCGCATGGCTGTGAGAGCATGGGGTGGGATGTGATTGAGGCTAAGGTTGAGGGTAGGGTAGGGGCTGGGCAGGGAGACAGACGTACACCTCTTCGTACAACAGCTCGGGGTGTTCTGTATGGCGGATCGGGCTAAGCAATGTGCTTGTGTTTTAGACACAGGCATGCATACTGTGGATGTCGAGACTAAGCGCCCGAAGGTCCTGGCTCATCTCGTCGATCTTGGCCTCGATGACCTCGAGGATATCGGGCCGATAGACTTCGCCCTCTTCGAGCGAGGATCTGACATCAGGGTCGTCTTCTGGTCTCCAGACTGCGCTTGACATGTTGATTACGATGGATGTTGATGCTTGTACGAGAAAAGGTTGATGAGGCTGCTAGGTAGTAGAGCCCCTGTATGAGTAGGCAGAAGGATGAAATAGACGCTTGTCCTCGCGGTGACGTGAGCGGTTCCAACTTAGTGGAAGCGCGACCAGATTTATTCCTCTATTTGTCTCCGTCATACGACCACCAAGCGCTCTGCCAGCTCAGGCATCTCCATCATGATCGTCTGTCACCAACGTGTTCTAGTGGACTAAACAGCATCTGTGGTCACTCTTGCCAGCCAAGGCCTATTCATTCGCATTCCCTGCCCTGTGCCTAGGCCTGATCTATCTTAAATTGACTCCATCCTTTTCCCAATTCTCTGCAGGCTCACTCGTCTGCTTTCGTCGGATTGTTGGACACTAGCGACTCACATGTGCATCTCCATTGACTTAGTTCTTCTTGACAGTCCATATGTCGCGGTTTATGATCGTCGACAGCTCAGCTGATGGAATACGCCTCCAGCTGGGGATAGCTGCTCAGTCCCCCTCCCATAAAGGTGCGTCACCTGTGTCTGTGCAGAGCTCTCCAGACTTCACCAAGTAACGTTAACGTCTACTCGTTCCCTCGCCATGCTGCGTCTCGGATTCGTCCTTGCCAGCCTCGCTCTGTCCGCCTTCGGCCAGGGCACGGTCAACACCACCGTCGACCTCGGATACGCGACCTATCTCGGGAACCAGACCATGTCAAACGTCGTCGCCTACCTCGGCGTCCCATACGCGGAGCCCCCCGTGGGCAATTCGCGCTTCCGCGCGCCCGCTGCGCTCAACACGAGCAGGATCGCTGCCGAGGCGGGCGGAAAGGTTGTCAATGTGCAGAACTACCCAGATTTCTGCGTCCAGGGTGCTTGGGGACGTACGTTCATCGTTCCCTGTGGGTTGTCTGCGAGTGGGAGGCGTCTGATCATTTGCGGGCAGTCGGTGACCGCGGAGGAGCTGGGAGCGAGGACTGTTTGAAGGTTAACATATGGACACCTGCTGGAGCGAAGGAGGGCGATAACCGTACGTCCTTCTGCTCCTCGTTCCAGGGCCATCGTCTCATACACACTCTTCAGTTCCTGTTCTTGTCTACATCCACGGCGGAGGTGCGCTCCATTAGTCTCTTCTCTCCCACTGCCCATACCAACACCTCTTCTGTCCAGCCTACCTCTTTGGCAACCCCGCTGCATACCCATTTGACCCCTGGGTGCAACAGTCCCCGAACGTGATCATCGCCTCCATCTACTACCGGCTCGACTCCCTCGGCTTCCTCGCATCCCCCGCCTGGACATCAGACAGCACGCTCGGCGACTTCAACGCGGGCTTCCTCGACCAGGTCGAATCGCTCAAGTGGATCCAGCGGTACATCTCCAAGTTCGGCGGCGACCCCTCCCGGGTGACGATCAACGGCGAGAGCGCGGGCGCGAGCTCGGTCGAGCTGCACATGACGAGCACGGTCAGCAGGGGCCTGTTCCAGCAGGTGATCGCGCAGAGCGTGTATCGGACGCCTCTGCCGACGCTCGCGCAGCAGGAGGTGGGTTGATGTCTTCCGTGTCCCTCGTCAGGCTATCATGACTGATCTCAATACTTGCACGGTGCTTACTTAGCCCTTGTTCGACTTCTATGCGCAACAGGCCGGGTGCGGCACCGGCTCCGCCGCCGACGTGATGACGTGCCTGCGCGCGGTCGACGTCAGCGCTCTCGCTGGCGCGCAAGACGCAGCTTCCATCAACCACTTGTCAGTCCTCTTAATGACCTTCATCTTTTAGCATGCCCTTAAACCCTCCAGCAACGGCAGCAAATACACCGCATGGAGGCCTGTTCTCGACGGCAAGATCTTCGCAGACTACCCCACTGCCGTCCTTCAATCCGGTGCCGCCGCCCGCGTGTCTGTCATCGCAGGGTACGCACTCTTACTTACCGTCATCCCTCTCGCAGCCCGTTGTAACTTCCTTCATTTCGTGCAACGCAGAGCGACATCAAACGAAACGCTCGCGGCAGGCGCCACCATCCAGCAGGGCCTCCGGGCCTACTTCCCGCAGCTCACCGACGGCGGAGCCAGCGCCGTCGCCGCGGCTTATCCGGACGGCGACGTGACCGACGCTACGGGCGACGCGTCTCTCCGATGCGGGGTGCGTACGATCCCGCTCCTACTCTCCTCCGCCTCGCAGCTGAAGCTGACGGATGGCCGTGATGTAGCGCGAGGCACTCGCAGGTTTCTCCGCGCAAAAGAATAAAGCCTGGACGTATAGGTACAACCAGCCCATCCCTGGAACACCTAACAACTCCGTCAACCACGCCGCCGAGAACTGGATGCTCTTCCAGGGCAGCAGCCCTTCGTACGTCTTCCCTCTCCCTCCTCTCCTCTCCTTCCTTCCTCTCCTCTTCTTCTTGCCCCGTCTTCCCTTCCACCCCCGATCCTGATACAACACTCAAACCGACCTATCGCCTACACACACATCAGGTTCAATGGCTCCCTCTCGTTCACCCCGCAAACCCCCGTCGAGTTGACATTCACATCCGAAGTCATCGCATACTGGCTCTCCTTCGTCCGGTCTGGGGACCCGAACACTTACAAACTCGCCATGTCCCCGGCGTGGGACGCGTGGACGGCCGACGCGCCCGTGCGCGTCGTGCTGCAGCAGGACCAGAGCAATAGTACGACGGTATCCGGGAGCTATATGGAGCCGCAGCCCGATGTGGAGACGAAGGGGTGTCAAGTTGATTTCGGGCAGGTGGAGGATCAGCAGAACTGAAGGATGTCCGTCAACGTGTGTCTTCTGCAAATGAAAAGGATGTTACTCGTTCTGCTCGCTCCCGCTCTACCAAAGCGACGGTGAGACTAATCTCTGCGCCAGCTAACAAAATACCGTATCATACCAGAGATACTCACCTCGTCCTGCGCACAAAGACCGGGCCTAGGGCACGAGTCGAGAGAAGCTATGGTGAAAGTACATAAGTTAATTAGTCAAGTAAAAATCGATAAGGTGAAACGTTCAAGATGCTGCTAGTGAATCCGCATTATATTCAAAGTATTACTGAGTCTTTGATAGGTGAATGGATTGGAAGCGGTTTTATGCACATACTGCTGGCTCGTACATGACCTCTACAACATATTGTCGTGTACGCTCAAATTCCAGAGTTGTCTACTTGCGGCATAATCTGAGCAAACTCCAGGGTTTGCTCCTCGTCCTCGTAAGAAGTTCCTCCCATCTGCTGCATGACTCGAACATCATACTCTCGGATGCTCAGCATCATTAGCGGCCCTAGCATAGAATAGTAGAATGCGGTGGAGATCCCGGAGAGTATATTCGTATATACCAAGTTCGAGACGAAGTTGAGCTAATATGCATGTCAGCTTGCGACATCTTTAAAATACCAGAGAAGGCCTCGTACCCCATTGGGGAAAAAGGTGCTGATATTGATGATTGTGGCAACTAAGGCTCTGCGACGTGTTATATTAGCATGCGTTTAGTTATCGGTCTGATGAAAATTGAACCGTCTTACATGAAAAAGTACAAGATGTTATCTCTAATCATCAGGCCTAGCAGGCTGTTCATCGTATTGCTCCCGGTTCTCTCTCTGAGCCGTTTCACTAGGCTCATTAAGCATAGGGCGAAGAGCATAACCTCATATACGGCGAGAGAAATAAAGAGACCCGTTTGGTACCAAGCTTGCTGAGCCGAGAAATCTACTTCGCACCACGATGCCTTTGCTGACAACGGAATTACTGGAGATCGAGCGAATTAATAACTAAAGTTAGTAATCTCAACTCGTCGATGCTCAAGCGCTCACCCGTTATGTTTAGTGGCCTTGATACTAAAGTCATTGTGACGATAACCACGCTGGCACCTAGCACACCCAAGAAGTAAGGTCCCAAAATCCACAAAATCCACTTGTCCCTTCCAAATAGACCGTATATCCTCATTGCCATCATCGCTAGAATAAGGATATCAGATTTCAGGTTAATATCACCTTCGGTGGGAATACGCACCGTTGCGAGCAGCAAATAAAGAGAACTCTGATACCATGCCAAACGTGAGTATGACCGTACCTACAAGGTTTCAGCAATGTCCTGATGGGATATAGGACTCGAACCTTACATCTAAGGAGTATCACTATTACTGTTAGATTATGCAGTGATTGGATCTTACGTCTTCGTCCAATATGTAAAGATGTCGGGCGTGAGCGACTCCATAATCGGGTTACAAAGTGACAAACCTGGACTGGAAGCTTCAAGCTCATGGGCAACCCTACGATAAGTTGTTACGTCTTCAAGGTGCATCGTCACGGACTTTGAGCAAATACATACCCAAACTACCATGGTACCATTGCAACAGCTACCAGTCAACTGCGAACCGTCATGAGAAGAAAACCAAGACACGCACATGTTAAAGAAAAGACCGCCATAACGCATCTTTTGGCAATTATTCTTGTAAGAAGACTATAGGAAATGTTGAATGTAGCCATGATACATACAATAGAATATAAAATCTTTGAAGTTTTCGAATACCGCTCAGCCTAATTGTGGCAAGAATCGTGGCGTCAGTGTTGTTTTCGGGCTCGCTTGCATGTAGTTTACCCATATAAATTCTATCTGAGCCAGGAAGCAGTCCTAATTAACCTCCAAATAGGTAACTGAATACTGTCACTTACCTCTCTTCCCACGTCCAGAGCTAAGTAAATAAGTGAAAGCTGCGTTAAATTCTTTATTAATGCTAAAATCAAGTTGGACCAACATACCCCAAGCATAAATACTGAGGCAGACCACCGTAACTGATGCTTCTTTAGCGCTATTCCACCTCGCAGGGGCACTCTTAATAAGTGCCCATCTTACCGTTCATGTACGCTGACGTCTGCAAAGATATGAGTGTTTGTAGTTCTGCAGAGGACATGATGGGTTGACAAAGCGGATGGTCTGAGCAAAGGATGGGTATGCGTTAGTGATTCCTTATATAATAATACCCCTCTTCTCGACCTCGAAAATAGCAAGGCGTGTCTAGTGGCGTTATTCTCTCAGAGACGATGATAACCTACAGCCATTAGTGCTGTATCGACAGAGCAGCCGGGCCAGTCTCTCACTCTCACCAATGTATATTCCTACCATGCAATTATCCTGATTGACCGGTCCCACACCAAAAATTAGCCACTTCTCGCTGATGCATTCGGTGCCCCAAATCGCCGTGCTCACACGAGAGAGAGAGTTTATATATTTATATCCTGCGGAAAACGCGCGTGTACTTGATCAGGCGGCGATGCAGTACTCAGTACTGGGGTGTGCTCTGTATGAAGTGATATCAGGTACTAGTACGAAGTAGAGTGCCGGACAGGGTGTGCGACACCGCCCTGCTCACGGAAATCCGCAATGAACTTTATTAAACAGGAGCCTGTACACAGACACTTCGCTTCGGTCCCAATCATGAGAAACAGTAATACTTTCCCCCAGTTACTGGTGACCTCAGAGTAAAATGAATGCGTTGGGGATTGGGAGATCCCAGCGACAATGCACAGCTATCGAGGATCCCGGTCGAGGACGAGGGTTCGGAGGTAGGCGGCGGAGTATGAACATATGGAATGTAGACGAGGTATATGGCACCGAGACGGCACTCGCGTTCTTCTCTCCCCTAATTCGTTATGATAGCGTCAGTGAGCGTGCGCTTATCGTTCTCTACGATACATATACCATCTCTAACGGCGCCGACAGTCTTATACATATCCGGGGATTTTCGAATAAACTCGCTATGATAGCATCAATGAGGTCACACATATATTTAAGCTTTCGCAGAGCGTTCTCACTACGGTGCAGCGTAGCGGGAACGATAGACATTTCCGTGGTGTCCCAACACCGAATTGTTTGATTTCGCTGCCACACTCCGGCCTCTTTATCGCACACATGCACACTCGAGGAAGTTCTTAAACGGAGGCCTTGTAGAAGCTAACATCGTGGGTGACAATGAGGCCCAGGGGATTACGACGTTGCAGCGCCCCTCTAACAGCTTATCCACTCAAGACGACACCAGATTCGACAGCAAAAGAACGCAAAAGGCGGTGTAAACAAGCAAGCATTAGCAAGAAGAGTAAGGTAAAGTAGTACGACAAGCTCGTGGTATCCTATGCAAAAACGTCCAATGATCACCCTCCCATCAAACAAAAACAGCATGCAAAGGTCGACAACTTGATCGTCCATGTCTATATCATCAATGGTCGTCTCTTAAACACCCCCAATCTCACCGAGCAGGCGGAGCAAACTGCTCATTCGCACTCTGCGAGACTGAAGACCCAGGCGTACCCTCACTCGTAGCCACCTCTGGCTTCTCGCCGTGGGCCTGCTGGCCCTCCACAGCGCTCTCAGGCGGCGGATACGGCACCTTCTGCATCAGCGGCGAAAGCACCAACGCAAGCCCCGCCCACGGAATAAGCGCAAAGAACGTCCAATGCACCCCAAACCTATACGCCTGCTCAACCACGCCCTGCACCGTCGACGGCAGCTGCGATATCTGTTCGAGCGAGTGCACGCCGTCGTTCGTCGAGAGGTTGTGGAAGAAGATGCGGTCGAAGGCCGAGTACGCGCTGCTGTCTGTGGCCGCGTGCGCGAGGTAGGAGCGCACTTTGGCGTTCATGATCGCAAACGACTGCGCAAGGGCGATGAGACCGCCGAGGGAGCGGAACTGCGATACGAGCGTGAGTTTGGGGACGAGATTAGCAAGGCACGGGATGGAACTCACGAATGGAAGCAAGCCTAGGACTCGTGGGCGCAGGTCACCCTCGACGGCTCTGCTGAGTGCAATCAACGGGCCGATGGTCAGCTGACCTCCGAGACCGAAGAGGGCGAGAGAGCTATGGAGATGGTATCAGTGATGGTGCGGGTACTGGACGTGATAGTTGAAACGTACGCATCGATGTAGGCATTGCTGTCCTTCTGAGCACCGATTCCGCCAATGATGGAGCCAATGACAATCGCAACCAAGCCAATCATGGCTGGATATTTAGGCTAGAGGCGATGTGAGTTATGAGAGATGAGCGAGTCTGAAACAATAAGTGAAACACACCTGATGCGTGAGTGACATGAGCCGTCTCGTGATGATAGATCCGACGAACTGTGGGCGCGAAATCAGCGGAATGCGAAAGATCAGAATGTCCAAAACCACATACCATGCCCGGAACGTAGAACAGGATTTGGATACTGACGCTGTTGATCGAGCGTCCCTGGCCCAGCGCACCGAAGATGACGACGAAGTAGAAGGACTGGTACATAGACATGCCGGACAAGAGGTTGCCAAACTGAATCGCGATAACGTTGGGATGCTTGAACGCTTCGAGCGGCAGAGCGCGGAACATGACGGCGAGGGTCGACGTCCTGGTCGGGTCCTGTCGAGCACGGAGAAGAACCCACTCCCATGCAATGGTAGCAAAGAAAAGAATGATCCCCAGCACGAGGCTAGCGATGAACCGCCCCGACTTCCATGCGTCAAAGGGTCCGTAGCTGAGCGCGAGAACAATGCAGAGTGACGACAGGAACATAAGGGCAATCCCAAGCCAATCTACGAGAACGAGCTTCTCGAAGATGGAGTAGTTCTCTTGAGTCGACGTAGGAAGACGGGGGATGGGGTCGCCTTTCTTTGCCATTTTGCGTAGGAAAACGAACGAAAGAGGGATACCGACGGCCAAGCAGATGAGACTGACGACAGACGTTAGTGACTATATGCGCACGAAAACTCGATTAACTCACTTGATACCGAAGAACCACCTAAAGTTATCTTCAACGAGAGGTCCGGAAATCACCGGTCCAACAACGAATGCTATAGCATACATAACCAAGACATGTGGCTGGCTTGTGTTGAGGCCGCTGTCCGCGAGGATGATTTGAACGACCTGGGCATTGACGTGAGTGACTCATCCGAATGTACTGCGTGAGATACTCACCATCAAGAATCCCGCTCCTCCGACGCCCTGAATGCCTCGACCTACGGCAACCACCACCATACTTTCCCCTACGGTAGAGATTATGCTGCCGAGGAGGAAAGACCAAAGTGCGACTTGCATGGCGGCAAAGCGCCCAAACATGACAGCGGTAGCCGCATATAGAGGCAAGAACGTGCAGTTGGTGATGAGATATGACGTTCCTATCCAGCTTTGACAGAGTGTGAGCGGGACGATAAGGGCACGACTGCGCACACATGTCGTACCTTTGCAAGTTCAACGCATTGAAGGCCGACTTGGTCGAGAGCGTCAGGAAGGGTGTACTTCATTCATGTTTGAGAAAGACTCACGGCAATATGTGTTTGCCCTTCGGATATAACTATAGGATGGATCGTCGTGTTAGAAGCGTGGGGGTGGGGTGGAGCGTGCAGAAGCCAACGAACTCACGAGTGTAATCAAGGGTCTCCAGGAACACGGGAACAAGCAGGCATGAGAGGATTTTCAGGTCTCGGACGAGATGAGGTCCAAAGAAGGATTGGCCTGAACCAGAGGCCATATTAGAGAGAGTTGGATGGGGACGTGAAGGAAGGGATTGTTGATGGTATTGAGCTAACCAGCGCTGGTGGGTTTTATTGCCGCGCCATGCACCACATAGCCCTCGCATCATCCCAAAATAGCATTTTCGCCTCGGAATGTCAACAGCCGCCGAGGCCGTGATAGTGATCTGACAGCTCCCGCTACTTTTGACAAGGCATTCAGATCTCCGCCGGCTTGTATCACTGCCACCCCATTGTTAACGCTCTTGACGACTTGCAGCGAACCTCCCCATCGTGCATTGTTCTCGATGTCAACAGAACTCGATTGTGCTCCCCAAACAATGACCTACGCGTCGAGTACAAAAGCTTTTGCGAGCATTGTTCGGCTTTGCGCCAGCACACAAGGGACCTTGGTATCTTGGCGACACGCGCTCTTCCCACCATGACACCCGATCCCCGGATAGGCCACGTTGATTGGCAGTGTGGCCGTCGATCACAACATGTTTTCCTGCAGCCACTGCGCCGCAGTGAGTGTCCGTCAGCCTGCTTTCATCTGCTATTGGATATGAAGCTGCGTTTCATCAGACCTCCCGATAAGATACGCTCGAAGCAGTGCATTGTGTACCTCTGATGGCGTGAAGTCCCGATAAGATTTCCCGTCCAGGTATGAAGCGCCCTGAGCTAGTCGGTCTTTGATGCATATTTGATGTTTCAAGTTCTGCCGAGCCTCAGAGAACTATGGCGTCCGAGCTGCTCTTCCATTATGAGATTATGGTGTCGCTTTTCTTCGTTAGCTTCGGACCAGACCGCACGTTTGAACCTCACACGAATGTTGCGATCCACGCTACGATGCTCTCCGGATGGCACTTAGAGACCGACGACCACTACTGCAGCCAACACATTCCTAGAGCTAGTGTTCGGGTCTCCTGGGGGGGCTCGTACTAGACCTCTCTACGAGATTCTTCTCTGTCTCTACAAAGATTCGTCTAGCTAGGAAGATCAAATATGGTAAGCAACTTTACCGTGTGGCGTCACGATTGGTTTTGTACACTGATTTGGCGTCTGATATGCAGAGGTGACATAGGCTTTATCATTCACATCCAGAGGACAATCAACCAAGGATGTTTCAAGTAGCACGGGAATATGTTTTTCCATGAGTACAAGCTGCCTTGAGAAGTGTACAGCGCTGAGGCTAAGCGAGCATCAAAGAAATCAAAGGCTGGAAGAACGTATTTCTAGGAAGCCTCCAAAAAGCCGCCATCGCTAGCGCTCTTGTCTGGTCGTTTTCGGGAAAGGATACTTGGGCGACCGCTCCACATTTATCACTTGCACCGGTGAATGTCTTCTCCGGGGACAGTAAATCGAGCAAATGCTGTCCGGAAAACGGAGAGAAGCTCGACGTCCTGTGTGGGTTTGATTACCATGACAGTTGGATCAATTAAAGTGCAGTATTTACTATGTAGGTGGTGTTTACGCCAAACTCGGCTTCGACTCGATATCGCCATTCTCCACTCTCAACTGCGTACCATTCCCCTGATGTTCTAGGAAAATAATTTTCAAGGAATATTCGTGCTGCATGGAATGGATGAAGAATGCCGTGCTTCATTCCAAGGTGAAACAAAGCAGCCACCCCGACCTTAACCGCACTCTGAGTCGCCGGAGAGCAATGCCTGATACTCATGTAAACTGATGATAATATCATGCTGAATGTAGCGGGATAGACGGCCGCTGAATCACCTACGATCGTGTCGAGCCATCAGAATATCGCCCAAATTTGGGTCAGAAAGACACACTACGGGGCAGTTACCTATGACTGTCCTCCCTGAGATTTACAAATATCATGGAGCACGGTTGGCAGGTTTACGCGTAGTGTGCTAAAGTGAACGCGAAGCAACGTGAAATAGTTTTTAGCGAGAATCCGACGAGGATCATGTTTCCATCGTCCTACTACGACGTTCTAAGTTGGAATTTGTCCAGTCTTCAGCTGACATCGAGACTTTCTTGAGCATCATGAGGTTTCGAAGAAAGACAAGTAAATGATAAGGAAAACCGAGATAGCGGTTTGATGGAGAATGGGAGGGAAACTGGTACGCACATGAAATCCTCTATTTCTTATTGGATAGCGATTTTGAATCCGGACTACGCATCTCGCCCCGCCATTAATCGGTACTGTAGGAAAGGTTCTCCGCAAGCAGAATATGCTCGCCTGATCTGAACACAAAAAGGATGGTTCATGTAGTAAAACGTTAATGACAACGACTAGGTATTAGTACGATCAATGAAGAATCCGTAGCGTTAACTTCTGTAACGGGGTCTACATAGATGAGATGAGATGGCTCCATAAATCTTGAGTGTTGCGTGCGATGAAGCGTCGGAGAGCGCTGCCGAGGGCCAGCTCGTCATTTGTATCCCTCAGGAGTATGATCACTCCAATCAATATCGCGATCTGTTATGAGAACATTGACGTCAGCGTTTGTAACGCCCCGCCTACGAAAGAGAAAAACAGACCCTGTCGTCCGAGATGTCATGCGTACTCCCTAATCTTGTCCCAGTCAGGCAGGCCAAAGATACCAGGGAGACGATTCCAAACAGCCACGCGATTGGTTTGATGTGATTCAGAAGCTCTAAGGGCGCAGACCTCGCACAAGTCGGCCATAACATCTTCAGGGATGTCGTCCAGGGGTGCCACAGTAGAAACAGGGAAGAAACAGCGCAGAAGAAAGTCTTTCGTCGCATCCGCACAGGATATAGATTGAGTGTCGCATTCAATACGCAGGAAGGAGAAAGTTTCGTTCGAGAGACTCCAAAACGGCTCAGTGGCGAGAGCGCAGGTCTGTCGAGCCTCGGGAGACAAAACTTGCACGACCTCTCCAGTTTCATCTCGAGCTCCTGTTAGGATCTCTTCGAGAGAACAGTAGCCGAGACACATGTAGTACGCCGCAGGTAGAACAACGTGAAAGTCCATCTCCCGCGCAAGGTTGATCATGGCGAAGATGATATCTTTACTCAAAGTTACTTCCCAGGGTGAAGTCACTTTCCAGTTCTCCGTCAATCCGCTATGAAACGCGGTGAAACTGCTCGGAAAATCCGCGACCATCCGAGACTTGGCCTCTTGAAACAAATGAGGAATGTCATACTTCTTGCCTAAACGAAGAAACGCAGCTACTACTGCAATGGGTACCTCGTCGTCTGACGAGGAGCAATAACTAACTCCGGATAAGCAAGGAGATGACAACATCCCATCGACTTGCTCACCTGCGGTCGTAAAATGCCCTGAGAACATGTTGCAGATCCTCTGCCGAGTCGGTGAGATGGACGACGGGACAACGCTCAATTTCTTCTGGTCCTCCACAAGAGGCCGTGAACATGTCCCGAAAGATGGATGAATACGAGCATAATATGCCGCGGTGGACGCGATACAGTGCAGAGCAGTCCGCGGCTACGAGGACGACGTTTCCGTCGTCATACCATGGGGTGAGACGCTTGGTACGTGTCCAGTCCCCATCTACAACGCAGACTTCGGTCGACATCAAGAGTTGCAGGGTGCGTATTGGTGGTGGATTGACGGAGAGGAAGAGAGAAACTTAACCGTTGGACGCTGGGATGAAAGGCGCCTGCGATCAAAAATTTCGACATAATGGGTCACATGCACAAGTCACAGTGCCGTGCCTCGAGGACCCGGAATTCGCGGCCCTAGCCCCTATTCATTCACCGGCTACATATTGACTCACCAATGGTCGCAAGCCTCAGTCCGCATAACTTCGCTCACTTGACGCAATGTACTTTCTGCGTCAAAAATGTTGCATCGATTCAAGCGACAATATATATCTACGCTAACGCGCTAAGCGGCTGGTGCCTGTGCTACCACACCATCATCCTTCAGATCATCCCAGACCGTTGCAAGATTAAACAGAGCTGGGAACTTGTTCCACGCATTTTCTCTTCCTTCATTGTGCAAGATGAGGTTATTACTGGCGCACAGAGAGCACATGCCCTGATTCCAGTCATGGTCGAAATTCTCCAGAGCCTGGGCGGCGAAGGCCGGGTAGAACTTGTTAGATAGAACGACTCGTTTGCGATCTGCGCACAATGTTTTGGAACGGCAGTACGAGTTTGACGGTGAAGGCATAGGAGAAGCCCATGAGAACGTCTTGGAGGCTAGCGCTTGGAATGACTGCCACGAAGCCACACAGATGGCACGGTTGTGAGACGAGAGAGATGCTATCTCGCCTTCTTCTTGCACCCCGTTGTAGATCTCTGCTAGGGAGCACTCCGTCATGCATGCGTATAGTGCTGCGGGTAGCACCCTCTGTAAGCCGACTTCTTGTGCTATGTTCGCGACTTTGATGAATAGCGCCTTTTGAGATGGGAAAGAGATCGAGCGAGAACGAGAACACCATGACGCGAAGTTGTCAGGAAAATCGCATAGAAGGCAGATCCGCGCTTCCTCGTAGAGCTCCTTGATCTGGTACTTCTTCCCGAGACGCAGGAACGCTTCCACCACAGCGAATGGAATCAGCATCGCCTGACCCCTCTGGTGATGATACCTATCGAAACGCCTGTGTTACTTTCATCTATCTTTAGGATACTCCATGATGAACTTACCCTCTTCCGTAGAGAGCACGTAGCACATGCTCGATATCATCTGCTTGATCCTGCAGGTGAACTACAGGGCAGCCGTCGATGGCACCTTCTCCTTCGTGAGAAGCGGAAAACATGTTGCTGAAAACCTCGGAATAGGTCGAAAGAACGCTTCGGTGAACGCGAAACGCCTTGGTGTCATCAGCAGATGCAACGACGACATTGCCGTCAGCTAGCCAAGGTTGACAATGTTGGGGCATGAGGGTAGTCTTGAGGTGGTCTGATATGCTGTGAAGAGTTAGAGCGTGAGCGGTATGTAGGCGGGGTAAAGTGCACAGCACCTTGATCAAGAGCTGTATGGGTGGGCGCAGTTACACTAAGATTATGATTGATATCCAGAGGGAAGAAGCTCACCGGAATTTTGCGATGATTCGGCGCCTAGATAAGCCTAACAGTTCGTTCTACGTTCCGGGTTTAAGTACGACCGTGACCTTCGTTGCTCACAATGTGTATTGGGAGTCAGAGCTTACAATATGGCCCCTCCGACTGAGTGCCCATTGCTATGTGATGCATATGTGTCATGTCTTCATCCACAAGAACCCGCTACAAAGGTGACCGAGAGGAAGACAGACATGGACGAAGGCAAGTGACAGTCGCTAGTGTTGGTCGAGTGAAAGGAGCTCGCCAGATGTGCGAGTCGCCATGCGGGGAAATGCCCGGGCCCCTATTAATCCACGTCTGACCAATGACAGAAACGGGATCAGTCAGCTGCAGCGGCTTGTTCCTCTCCACTAGCTCCGACTTGACCTCCTCGCGTCAGTTACAAAACATCTCGAACATCCCGCATCCTTTGTTTGCTGACGATATCTCACATATAAGGTCAATATGTACATGAATCGTCTCTGGAAACACATGAAACAAGTTGAACCAGCCATGTTACTGCGACCCAGATGAATACACGTTTTTAGATGAAGAAGTCACGTTGGTCAGTACTTGCCCAGCCATTTGACACGGTCCCTTCTGATGTTATCACGGTATATTGACAGCCAGCGACTGTCATCGACAAGGACGCACCAGCCATGTCAAAAGCTGGGGTAGACCTCGCCTCCCTCTCGCTCTATCCTGCCACATCCGAGCAGGTAGCCGAATCTCGGAGACGTCAATTCGTCCAATGGGGACAGCATCTCACCGAGGACCAGTTTAACGGGCTCAGCGACATCTACGACGCACGAGAGCAGGCGACCGGCGGAAAGTGGACACCATGGTGCGTTCTCCTCAAGGTCTGTTTGGCTGTTTCATGACTCATGAGATGATCTGGGGCGCTTCATAGGGTCCTCGCGCCCAGGGACGACCCAAAGACGCTCGACTTCATGTGTGCATGCGAGACGTACGAGCCATCCCTCCTAGCCCACATTCTTCATCACTCATACTCCCGCTCGCAGATACCGCCGAGTAGCCCTCGTGAAGCGACCTAACAGCACCACCCTCGACCAAGTCCCCGCATTCGGCCTCGCGTGCGTTCTTACCCCCAAAGCCAACCGTGGCAAAGGCTACGCGTCGCACATGGTGCGCCTCCTCCACTGGGTCCTCGCTGCCGATACCCTCGATCCCGCGCTCTTTCCCAGCGCGTGGGGCGCGCCTCCGCCCAAGCCGCCCGGCGTCAACATCGGCGACGCACAGTTCTGCGTGCTATACAGCGACGCCGGTGCGGATTTCTACCGCATGTCCGGGCCCACGCAGGATAAGAGTGGCGGATGGGAGGTGAAGGGCAACGTCTCGACGCTATGGGAGGTTGCTGCTGTAAACGACAATAAGAGCGTCGAAGCTGCGGACAAGCTGCGTTGGAACGACCTTCGGGAGGAAGCGGGGTTGGAAGCGCTGTGGGCGAGAGACGCACAGTACATCCAGGATTTGGTCGCCGCAGCGAGCCTGCCGAGTCCAAGCACGGCGGTGATTGTGTCGTTCTTGCCCACTCAAGGCATCGCGATGTACCAAGTCCCCCGATCTAGGTGGCACACGGAGCACATGCACACGCTCGATGTGTGGGGAACAGAACTCCACGATCAGCCGGCGGACGAGCCGACGTACGCGACGTGGGCGGTCGACACGGCGTACAATCCTCCACGGCTCATTGTAACTCGTATCAGAGCGAGCTCGAAGACGTTCCCCTTGCTTATAAACAAGATCTTGCGGATCGCGAAGGAAGCGGGGCTTCAGAAGGCGGAGATATGGAATTTGAGCGAGTCGCTGGTAGAGGTGGCTGCGTCACTGGGCGGCCGGACGTATGAGAGGACGGAGCATCTGCCTGCGCTCAGATGGTATGGCAAAGAGCAGACGCGGGACATTCATTGGGTGTTCAATGAGAAGTGAGTACTAGTGGCGAGCGCTTTCGGAATTTGTTCGCTCGAGTTTTGACTGATGATTGTTTCGAACAGGTTCGGCTGGTGCTAGCTTGATCCGTGAAATTCTAGTACTGACCCGTTACTTCGTTATGATGTCTAGCTACCTTGATGAATATTACCTGTCATGAACCACGAAAGGTCCCGTTAAGAAGCAGACCAGACTAGCTCCTACATACTTCGTCTTAAGTGCTTCATCGAGTATACGCACTATTACAAACGAGCCCGCTAAGCAGACCATGGTCACGGTGTGAGTGAAGGGCCAGCCGCGCCACAGCGTCTTGAGAGCACGTGCGGCGTGGTTTGAAACTGGCCGTCATCCGTGAATCCGCGACAGTACTAGTGCTTGTCCCCTCTCCTTATCTTGATCCATCCACACTCGCTGAAAATTCCTCTATACATGCCCTTCTCCACCATTGATGGCCTACAGTTCGAAGAAGACGATCACGCGGTTACCGCCCTCAACCAGTGGCTATCCAAACAGCAGCAAGGAGCAGCAACGGCAACATTGAACCCCTTTGTCTTGAATGCGCTCACCCGTCGTCGACCGGTGGTGAAGACTCACTTCCATAGCCTTCAACTTGAATGTCAACGCCTGGGAGATCTGATCCCGGAAACATTGCGCAAGGCTTTACTAGTAGCGGGGAAGCCACGCGTCCTGCGTCCGCTTCGGGAGTTGGAGGTGCTCGTTGAAAGCGACAACCCGGCATATATACTGCTCAACGCCGCCGAACCCCTATATGGTAAGTTCCTGCTATTACTCCTGGAGCTTCTAATCAGAGCCGAAATCATCCAGAACCTGCAACCTACGGAGGGATGACGCGGAGGTCAGTACTAGCGCTCTTCGTCGGTCGCTCAGCCACTCTCTTGGATACCTAGCTGAAATCACTCTATCATACCTAGGGGAGAGCAGGCGTATTACTTGTATGGTCCATTCACTAGGAAATACAGGGGAAGCGCTGTGGACGATTTCGTGAAAGCCCTCGATATGTACGATAAGATGTACGACAAAGACAAACACTTCGGCAGGTGTATCCCTATAATACAGTCCAGCGGCACGGGAAAGTCGAGGCTCATGGATGAGCTTGCTAAAACAGTATGTAAAACTGTAGTCTTCCTTGGTCGATAAATAAATAAAAGGTGTTGCTCAGGTGCCGTCCGTCACAATATGTTTCCGACGCGACAGGCAGCAATACGATTTCCAAGATGGATGGCCCCCCCAAGATATGGTTCCCAGAGATTATCTGATGGAAAAGCGTCTATGGGCCAGGGTGAGCGCTCTCGCCGTAGGCACCCTCCGCGATATGACTGATGTGCAATCTTGTTCCACATGCCTCAGGCTGAGATAGCTGCAGCCGCTTTCCTCGGCGCAACATCTACTTTCCTCAACGACATATGTGTCCAGGAAGCAGAGAACCTTACGCCTGGACGAGTGCCCCCCTGGGTGACGTCGTTCTCATTGCAAAACCCTGCAGCGCCGCGGAACTCGAAGAGGCACCGCTCGTTTCTCGAAATCAACGAAATAGCAGAGAAGCTACTCGCTGAACATGCTGGCGTGCTATCCAGGTCTTACAACGCGGACGACACATATTATGTGGAAGATAAGTTTTCGGACGGCTGCATTCCCCCACTTCCAGAAGCCGAGCGGATCTCCTTGTGGTGTCAGCAAATCTATCGAATTATGGTCTCCGACGCAGCTGAGAAGCTAGCAGCGACACTTAGGCGGCACGGCCATCGCTTCCTAGTCATTGGTTTCAACAAATGTCATTATCTCAACGACCACGAGTCCTTGAGAGACGCCGGTTTCACCATGTCTATGCTCGCCATGCAGAGGATCATAGCCGCAGCCGATGAGTTTTCACTCGAAGACTTCACCTTTTGGTTTACGTTCGTCAGCACCAACCCCTCGGTATTTGACCTTGGTCCGCCCAGGGAAGATTATCCGTCGAATAACCTCCGACATGGCAAAGATCTTCTCCCGCCGTACATGTCCATTGGCTTCGATCAAATGGTTCCTCCGAATCTATCCACGTCACCGCACGTAGCCCTTTCTCTGGATAGGCTCAAGATGTATGGTCGCCCGGTAGGTCCACCATGTTATATACTCTGCAGATGTTGCTTCATTCTGAATTAAACTGTAGCTCTGGTCGGCGGAGGTCGAAGATACACTCATCCTGCAGGCTTTCTTGAAGCTGTTCTGCGCTGAGGTATTCGTGCCCATGAAGGTTGATCATGTCCTCGCTGCTTTCTCCCAGCAAGTCGGTCTCAAACTTGCACGTTCGGAGGCATCGGCTCGCGTTGCCCTAGAAGGTGTTAGGCGTCACATGAGGGTGCTACTTGCTGTCGGCGATCGCGCTTATGTTGAATCAAAGGTCCCATCGGAACCCTGCCTTGCTCTAGCAGCTGCTCGGGCGCTCCGGCCTTCGTTGATGGATCTGGGCGTTGCACTGGATACGCTAGTTAAAAAGCTCATTATGAATGATAGGCTCGTTGATTGGAACGCCCATGGGTTTGTCAAACTCTATGCTCGACTTCTATTGACTCTTGTGCGCGATCAAGCAACGGACAAAGACGGCAAAACCGAGGATTACTACGTTCACAAATCACAAGAATATCACGTCCGGACTGTTACTCTGGCTGACCTTCTCGTACAGCTTCACGGGGACGGCGGTCAAAGGAAGAGTTGTCAGGAAGATGCGCAAAATCCGCAGAGCAACATGTACCAAAGCCTCCTGGAGATGGCGCAGCAAAAGCACGTGAATTTCACGCACTTTTGGCACCTCGAAGAGAGCGTTGGGAACCTCTTGTCCGATTTCCTTCATTATCTATGGGACTGACAATGCGCAATTCAGTGCTCGCACGATCAGCCTGTCATCGATATCATCATCGTCACTTACTCGGGCTCGCTCACTTCAGAGTGGGACGACGGCAATCTGGGCATGTTCTGCATCAAAGTGAAGTTCGGGAGGTCGGATGATTCAACAATCTTGGCTGATGCACTGGTTGGCCCTCGAATGAACGGGGTCAGACCGCGTGACGAGGTTGTAATGCTGATGGACTTTGGAGATCACTCTGACTTCGAAGCCGAGCCACGATATCATCAGAAACCTGCCGTCACGCCATCGTCAGAAAACTGGAACGGCTACCTTGACCAAGAAACAGAACCACGCTGGTGTATCCACGTTCGGGGGCATGGCCAAGGGGCAGGCAAAAGTGTATATACTCATATGGGGTGAGGGGGGGAGGGTACCTCTGGATGGCCTTACAGAATCTCGGACCAACTTCGGACTTGCCCGAAATGTCCATGTCATCCCACCGGAAATGGCTAGAACACCCCTATTTGCTTAGTCACAAACCCTTTCCTAGGGTCCCGCTGCGCAGCTAGGCTAGCACAAATTACCTAGAACTACTGTAGCAGTTATTGTAGCAATTATTGTAATGAAATGGAAACGCGTCTGAGCTACATCTGATACCCCTCCCGATCCTCCTCGCCGCGCTGGGCGTACGCAAAGCAGCTATATATAACAGCGAATCAATGAGGAGATGCCCAAGAAGTCTCGGAAGGGTAAGGAGGTACGTACCGATGCACACTTGTTGCGACGGGGTGGGCCTTACTTCGAATCGTAGAAGGAAAAGGATGCCGATGGTAACGACCTCACGGCCTCGTCAACTATGCCGTGTCCCAGTTGCAAGGAGGTCGTCGTCGTCGGTTTCGGTGGGCGTGCAAATCTAAAGATACATCAGGCGAGCAGTCAGTGCAAGGGAGATTCGGAGAAGGACAAGGCCAAACCAAAAAAAAGACTCACCCTCTTCGACCTTGGAGTCAGGCAGGTTGCTCGTCCACCCTCCGAGCCCGCCGCTGCCGCCGCTGCCACCGCCGCCAATGCATATCTCGCCCCAGCTCTCGCCAACGCTCCGGCCGCTGCCCCTACCCCTGTTACTCCGGCCCCTGCTCCATCCAATGCGGCACCTCCACGACCGTCGACCGCGCTGCCAGCTGCGGTTGACACGCTCCTCTCCCGGCTCAGCGACTGTGTTGCCCGTCTACCTCCCGATGTCCCGGAGGCCTGTTCTACCGACGAGATAGCCAAGTTCGCGGATCTTCGTCTGGCGTATCGAGGCGTGGATCCCGAAGCGATCTGGGAGGGGGCCGATAGGGAGCTGAATGTGTTCATGGGATTTGGACGACCTGAGGAGGAGATAGCTGCAGAGGTACGGAGCGGGGTAGGGGGACTGCAGGGGTTAGCAGGGTTTTTCCGGTTCTTGATGGTCGATGTCGGCGTCGACCCCGTAATTCTGAAGGATCGGGTCGATCGCCTGGAGCGTGCAGTTCAATCACTGTGAGCAGAATCAGATAACACGCGCGAAGACTCACTCATAGGCATGTTATAGTGGTCAGGTCGATGTAATTGACCCGGCTCTGGTCGATCTTCACGCGCCATCACCCAACGTGCTGCTGTCTCAGGCACTTGCAGGCCCCGCACCGGCGTCTACGTTGTTGGAGCTGCGTGCCGAATCCACGACAGAGATGCGACGGGACTCCTCGCCATCTTCTCAGGTTGGCAGAAGGCGTTCGAACAAGGGGGTGGAAGTTGGCCGCCCGACTCCATCAGACGCCGTCCCAGATGTCATCGACGTTGACAGAAGCGACGACGAACCGGAGCTAGAGGCCGGGGCAGTAGTGAAAGTCAGCGCGTCGAAGCGGCAGAGATGTGGTGGATATGAAGTACTCGCCCCTGCGGGTCAGTCCGCCGTCCTCCTCTATCCATGGGGCCTCCACACCCAATTCCCCCTCGGCTGGAACGCCCACCTCAATACCAATCGTGTCTGGTTGACATCTCTTCGATGCTCGGGCTTCACAACAACGAGCTCAGCTTGTGCGGCATGTGGTGGTCTGTCGAAAGATGGTCAGCTCCACTCCATTATGAGGAGGATGAAAGAGGGAGTGCACGAGAATACGCCTCACATATACCAGCCGTTGGCAGGGCTGTACGCAATCCTTGGCCAGAAGACAGCCTTGATCCAGTCAATGCGGCTCGGACGCGTCAACTTGACGAAGAAGCTTGCTGGCAAGATGTCGTCACTGGACGACTACCAGAAGTTTGTTATTGCCGCGGGAAATAGCGAGTTGACGCGATTGGATGCGTTGTGTTGTGTCTGCGTGAAGCGAAACATGTCGGGGGAGGCGATGCTGGAGTTGCTGGACAAGGCGACCAAGGGGCTATACAAACCAAAGGGCTTCACCGAAGCCGAGCTTCTCCGTAGTGTCGTATTCAGGCGCGTTGCAGGAGACCGGGCGCAAGAGATCTTGCAGCGATCGACTGGTGCACCCTCGCTCCGCACGGTGCGCAGGTCCTCGGTGGTGCGGCCGGTGCGCATCTCAGCTGCAATGCCTATCGTGGATGACATCGTGTATAACATCAACGGGTCATTCGGAATCGGAAAACAGAGCAAGCTTACCGTGGGGAATGAAACAGGTCCAGCGGGCTACCAGCTCATGATCGACGAGATAAAGGTTGAGGGGAGGCCAAGGTGGGACGACAAGACCAACATGATTCTCGGCATAGCAAGAGAGGACGCTGGGAAGGTTGGGCTCGAGTTCTGCTCGATGGCTGAGGTGGAGACGTTGTTGAAGGCGGTGAAGGCAGGCGACGTGAGACTGGCGGTGGAGGTAAGTGGCCTTTAATCTATTCTAAGTTACCTTCTCACAGATCGGTTGTCTCCATTCATTCAGGCCACTGTTGCGGCAATTGGACTACTGTCCGACAATGCACATGTGTATGCTGCCCGACCAATCTTGGTCTCAGGGACCTGTAAGACTGAGAATGCACAGACGCACGCAAAACTCATTCAAACAATCATCGACGCCTGTAACGCTGAGCCAAAGAAGATCCCTGGCCGTCTCTACAGCATAGCTTCTGACGGTGAGGCCCAGCGTGGGGCCGCCCTGGTCCAGCTCACACAAAAGAAGAAACTCTCCCCTGATTCCCCCATCTATGGCTACATACACGTTCTTCGTCTCCTGAACCAGCTTGTTGGTGATGATGACATCACCTCCGACAAAGATTATAAGCATATCTTCAAACGTCTCCGGAACGCCCTTCTGCGAGAGATGGGCATTATGATCTATGGCTTCCATGTTCATCGTGCAGTTATTGAATCTCAGCTGCTCTCTGCTGGTGTCCCTCGCGATCAAATCACGTACCTCCTTAATCCCAATGACAAGCAGAACGTTGGCTTGGCATACAAGCTGCTCAAGAAGGTTTGGTGCCTTCCCGAAGCGGAGCCAAATGCTCGACCCGCCTTGGCAGCAGCACGGAAGCATATCCGAATTCTCGGCGACTTCCTCAGGCACCTGGTTACCCCTTATACACGTCCCAAGATGACGCTACGTGATCAGCTCTATCATTTGAGTGTTGCCTCCCATCTTATGTGCAGTCTCTACACCCATCCAGCGGGTGGCAACGCATTTCTTCCAAAGGTCTTGTACACAGATATCCAGATTATGATCAAGAATGTGTTCTTTTCCGTCGCAAAATCGAAGGTAGATCGCCCGCTCGGGAACTTTTATATTATACTTCTTGGGACAGATAGGCTAGAGATCCAGTTCGGCTTGTACCGCACCGTAATCGGAAACGACGCCAACGCCGACATCCTCCAACTTGGTGGTCGAATCGCCGGCATTGCAGAATCAGCCCAGATCTTTGTCGATTACCCCCAGTGGAATGTTACACCACGCCGCTTAGACCTCCGCCCCGATGACGATGATGATGATGAAGCCATCAAAATCGATCACCTCAACCCCACATCCTGGCAAGGGGACGTAAACGTTCAGTACATTCTGCCGGTAACACCCTGGAATGAGGGTCGCCATTATGTAGAGTGTCAGTATGCCGAGTTCTCAGCTAGCGAGTGCTTTGCTCAGCTAGAGGAGACTGGCGACTTGTTGTTTCCTAGTGGCTATCCTGCCGGGGGTGTATACCACTCTGACAACGACAAGGATGGTCTCGAGGACGATGCTGAGCCCCCAGTACCGGCCGTCGAATCAGATGTTCTCTCGCTATCAGAGGACATCGATTTAGAAGATCACCTGGCTATCGAGGCAGCAGCCCGTGACCCTCGGGGTTTTGCTCCGCATCTCGAGATTGCTGGAAAGAACATTTACAAAGCTCGTATCCTCCGTCAATGCTTCCGGCATCTGTCCTCGGCTGGATCCACAGATCGTCTCAAACGCGTAGCTGGACTTGTACGCTTTGGCACCTTGCCAGAGTCCGATGGTGCTGATATGATGGCAACACTGGCGTCTTTTGGTGGTCCCACTCTATCTATAGGCGAGCCTCTAGTCACTCTGGTAAAATGTGATTCACGGCTTTTTCTGGCGGTGGTTCAGATCTCGTCGATTCAATTCCGTGGGAGAGTTCTCACTGATATGCCGTCAAGAGCCCTCCGCGAGGAAGGCGTCTTCGTGACTGCGCAGATACTCAATATCGCCGAAACAAGCCTGCTTGGCCCGAACGGCGAAGACTGGGAGTTTTCGGGAGGCTTGGGTAGGGTTCTCCGATCGTCGCCAGGGCACAACTACGAGCTTGTCAGCCCATACATCCGCCCTGACCATCCTATCAATGGCATCCCCCCCCTCCTCTTCTCAGCCGACGTCCTTCAAGCCCTCTCTCTAGCCCTGTACTCACAAATCTCGGAGTCATCAACTGGTGTTGCCCGCCTTCCCATCGTCCCTGTGTCCGACACATTCCCATATAGATCAAAAGGTATGGATAAGTTTTAGTTCCAACTCAGCCGCTGACATTATTTATGGTCAAGGTCGTGCAGCATTTGCATGCGACATTGATGCTAACACGTCGAAAGCCCGTGCTGGTGGTGGTGATGAACTCGACCTCTGTCCCTTATGCGAGCCCGAGTTTGAGCTTGATCGCGAGAACGGGCCCCGCTTGCTCGAGCATATGGGAGCCCATGTCTTATTCGACAGCAAGGTTGATCGAACGGTAGAGCTGTGCGGGCTCTGTGCGCAGCCAATGGCAATTTCCGGGTGCGTTTTTTATTTGCGAAAATCGAAGGGCTCAACCGGCACCCTCCAAGTTGACCCCACCCGGTCAATTTGTCCAAACCTCGTGTCCTTCGCGTACCAGCCGGCCGCAACATTTACGCCGAACGCTCCTTGTACCAACGTTCCCATCCCCTGCCCTCTCTGCTCTGTTACCGACGTGGCTGGCACACGGATGCCAGCTGTTTGGCGTTACTCCATGGAGGCGCACTTGCGCTCTCGACACTCGACCTCCCAGCTACTCCTCCATCTCATCAGCTCGCACGCGATCCCCACAAACGAGAGCGACACCATGAAGAGCCACATCTGGAGCCGACGGTTTGTCAAGTCCCGCCGCTCTCGTAAAGTCTACCAGCCACCAAAGCTGGTTATATCTGATGCTCACCGCTCGTCAAACCTTCAAGATGATGAACCACCGGCTCCCGACAAGTCAGACCACAGCGATACCGACGCTGAGCCCATGTCTGAGCCGGCGACTCGCCCGCCGAGTTCTCTCGCCTCACCGGAACCGCAAAATGTCGATGAACTCGACGTTGACGTCAACGGTTTGTCGCTTTATTACGCTTTTTCGCACCCTTGCTCATAACGTCTTAGATCCCGCTTACGACCCGCAGCTTGACGGCCCCGAGTTCACTGACAACGCCGTCGTCACGCAAACCGGAAGGAAGAGCCGTAAACGTGACTTACGTACGCTCCTCGGTGATTGCGAGTGTGGAATGCCGGTAACAGAGAAGGAGATCGAGGACGGAGTCACTATTGAGTGCTCCGTTAATGGGTGTGAAACCGGTCAGGTATGCTCTATATTCTGTTTCTCTGACTGTGCGCTGCTCACACCCGTTCACAGTATCATATGGTGTGCGTTGAAATGAACAGGAAAGACAGCTCCTGGAAATGTCCGGTGCACTCGCGGGTTAAAAGAGGAGGGAAGCGTCAGCGCAAGACTAGATGAATTGGTGAGCGCTTTGTTCGGTTTCGCGTTTTCCGTCACACTAAATCGGCCCTCTTGTTGAAGCTTTATGATTTACGATTGCATTAGCACAGCACGTAGTAGTAGTCGCGTGTAAGTGTCTTGATAAGATAAGATGGCCGAAATTATTCCAAATGCGGTTAGATTATCCTAATATGGAAGGGGGGGAGGGGGGGAGGGGTCCCTCCTGCACTCGTTACAGCGAGAACCGACCCACTTCGTAATTTTTAAGTCTTGCCTGCCCCTTGGGCATGGCTCAAAGGAGTACCCCATTGACAAAGGACTGACGCGAGTATCACTGGATGCACAGTCATGTTTTTTAAGGCGGAATACTGTGGAAAAACAGAGAAAATACTCAAATTATTTTCAGCGTTTTTCAGGAAAGAAAACAGGATAAAAACCAATGATTTTCTCACCATATATGGTGGATCAAAATCGGATGAAAACCTTGAGAAAACTGGATAGCAGCTTGCAAAAATTTGTGCACATGTGATCTGGTTTTTATACAGTATATGCTTAAAGTTTTAATGCAGAAAATCGAAACTTAATGATAAGAAAATCAGAAAGGAACTAACATGTTTTTGTTTTGTTTTCTTGGCACAATGTTTGAGAGATAACTAAGTATGGATACACCATAGGGATTCAATTATTGTTGAAGGAAAATGGAAAAGAAAGCAGAGTAAAAAATTTAAAATACTTACCC